ATAAAATATATAAAAATATATTAATTATAACTATAATTATTAATAAAACTTTTCGATTAATTTTAATTATCGTTTATAAAAAGCTAAATTTTTTAATTAAACTTATTTTTTTTTATATTATAATTAATTATAATCTTTTTTTTTACTATATATATTTTTTATATTTATTTTATATGTTAATATAATATAATTATTTTTATTAGTTTATTTAAACCGAATTTAATTAAAAATGTATGTTTTTACATCGAATACGAACCGTTATATAATTAAATTAATAATAAATGATTTTATTCGTTATATAATAACGCGCGGTAAATAGTTATATAATAATATCGATATAATTATAAAACGGGACGAATATAATACGAAACGATTTATTTTTTTTATAATAAAATTTAAATCGATAGTTTTAAAATAAAAATCGAATTTTCCTCGTTTTTTAATATTTATAAAATATTTTTATATATAATATTAATCGTTTATATAAATTTATTTTATATTATAAATAATTTATTTACTTATTTAAATATTATTTAAATAATATAATTAATCGTAAAAATAATATTATTTATTATAAGTTTTTTAAACGTATATAAAAAAAATTATTAATATACATTACCGGGGGTTTATAAAAATAACCTTAATTTATTATATAATATTTTTTACTTATAATTATTAAAATAAAACCGTTCGATTTACTTTTTTTATTATTACTTTTATTATTTTTTCGTTAAAAATAAATATAAAAATAAAAAAAAGCGTAATGGATTTATTAATTTATTAACCCCGTAATTTATTTTTTTTTTATCGAATTCGTTACATATTATTTAACTTATTATATATTATAACTTTAATATATTTTTTATAATAAAGTATAAGCCGATTAATTTTTTTTAATATATATAGTTTTAAATTAATTTTATTAATAACGAACGAAATAAATATAAGTTAAATAAATAAAATAATAACGTTTTAACTTATATAAATAATATTTACACGTAAATATTAAATAAGTAATACGTTATTAAAAAGAAATATATTAAAAATATCGTAATAAATAAATTAACGTATAATAAAAAAAAAAATAAAGTAATTTTAAAAATTACTTTATACGTTTATAAATATTATATTTACGAACATGGAATAAAAATAATATTTATAATAATTAAATATTTTAAAATATATAAGTTAAATTTAAGCTTATTTAATTAAAATTATTTTTATAAATATTATTTAAAAAAAAACGATATTTTAATTCTTTTTTTAAAATAATATTTAACTTTATAAATTTAGTTTAATATTAATATTATAAATTAGTTTTAAATTAATTAATAAAAAACCTTTAAATATAATTATTACGTTAAATTTATTAAAAAGTTTTAATCGATAAAAAAATATTATATTATTATTTCGTTAATAAATATTACCGAATATAAATAAATAATTATTAATAATTTATTTAAAAAAAATAAAAATTTTTAAAATAAATTAAAACTTTATACTAAAAATAATATTTTTAAAACTTTCGTAATTATATATAAAAAACGAATTAATATATTTTTACACGTATAACTCGTAATAAATCCCCGTAATTTTTACATTTCCCGCATTTCGACTTTTATTACATTTTTACTTATAAAACGGGTTAAAAATTTAAATAATTCATTTTTTAAAAACGATAAAAAAAATTAACTTATACGACATTAACCGATATATTCGTATATAAATTTTAACTTTATTTTATCGCCGATAAAAAGTCGAGTATTATAAAAAGAAATTTTAAATTAATTTAATTTATTATTATTAATTTTTAAAATAACGTAATAATAAAATTCGAAAGGCTTTACTTTAAAACGTTTTAAAATTATAAGTTTTATTAAATTATTTTTATTATTAATTTATCGTTAACGTTTTTTAAAAGAATTTTATATTAACCGGGCGTTTCGTAATTTATATAATATATTAATAAATTAATTTTATTAATAAATTACTCGTTATAAATTATAAATTTCCAAGCTTTTATATTTTTAATTTATAATAAAAATAACTTAACTTTTTTTTAAAACCGAAAATAAATAATATAAACGAAAAAAGTTTAAAAGGATTTATATAAAAAAAACTAATTACGTTTAATAAAAAAAATTTATTTATTTTTATAAATATAATATAAACCGTTAATATAAAAGTATTATCCGTTTTTTATAAAACATAAAACATTTTTAATAAAATTACTTATTAATTTTAATTTTTTTAAAACGTTATTTTATTAAAATCGTAATAAAGTTTAATTACTTAAAATAAAACTTTTTTAAATAATTAAAATTTAATTATTAATATAAATTTCGTCATTATAATTACCGCTTTAAAACATAATAATAATTATAATTACGTATTTATTAAAAATCTTTTTACATTTTTTTATAAAAACTATTCGTTAAAATTTAAAATAAATGTTAAAAAACGAAAAGTTAATTAATTTTTTATTAATATTATCGATTTTAAGAACGAAAAAAGCGGTTTAATAACGCGTTAAAAAAGTAAAATCGTTTAATTAATAAACGTAAAAAAAAACCGAAATAACGAGTTATATAAAAGCCGTAATATTTTAAATTCTTAAATTAATAAAAAATTATTAACTTTTAAATATAATACTCGTAAATAATCGAAATTATTAAAACTTAAATATTATAAAAAGTTTATTAATAAATAATAAAACATTATATAAATAAATAAGTTTAATATATCGTTTTAATTATTTTAAAAAATAATAAACATTATATAAATAAACATTTTATTTTTAAAAATTTTTTATAATATTAATATTATATTAATTAATATTTTAAATATTAAAATTATATAAATATATTAATTTTTATAAACTCGTTTATTTATAATTTTATATAATATATTTAAAGTATTTTTTTTAATAATACGTTATTACGTAATATTATTAAGTTTTAATAAAACTCGATATAAGTTATATTATTTAATTACGTTTTTTATAAAATATTAATATTTTTAATTATAAATAATATAAAATAAAAAAATTAAAACTTATTTAAATATAATAATATATTAAATTATAATTTTTTTTATATAAATTTAACTTTAAAAGTTAATTAAATATAATTAATTAAAAATAATATTTTTTAATTTAATATAAAATTATATATATTACTTCGTATATTTTAAACTTAAAAAAAATTTAATTAATTATAATAATTATTCCTTAAATTTTATATACTTTAATTTAAACGCGTTTTTTTCACATTATAATAATAATAATAATAACGATATTATAAATAATAATATTAATTTTATTTAATAAATTTTTATTAACGTTAAAAATATATCGTAATTTAATTTTTTAATTATTATTTTAAATTATAAAAATAAAAAAAAACCGTGTTTTTTATTAAAAACGTATTTAAATTACACTTAATAACGTTTAAAAGGTTTTTAATAATATATAAAAATATATAAATATTTTAAATCGAAATAAATCGAAATTATATTATTATTTACGTAAAACGGGTAATAAAAAAATTAAAAATACATAAATAATCATTTATTATTTAAATAAACACGAAATAAAATAAAAAATTATAATTATTAAAAAATTAAGTTAAAAATAAAAATATAATTATAAAAAATAAAAGTAAAAATAAATAAAAATTATATTAATAAAAAAAAATATTAAAGTTAAATTCGAAAAAACTTTATTAAATAAAACTTTATTTTTTAAAAAAAACATTAAATAATTAATACTTTATTCGTTAATCGTAAAATTATCCTTTTTATTATTAAAAAGTTATTATTAAAACTTTTTATTTTTATATTTAATATATTTTTTATTTATTTATTTATTTTCGAAAAATTACTTAATTAATCGTTAAATTAATAATAACTTAAAACTTAAGTTAATAATATATTAAATTACTTTTTTTTTACGTTCGAATATAAAAATTTTCGCTTATTTTAATATAATTAAAAACTTAAATAACATAATAAAATAATTAAATTAATTTATTTTTATTATTATAATTTTTAATATTATAATAAATAATAATTATATATTTATTTATTTATTAAATATTTAAATATAATAAAGTTTAATTTAATTAATAATTATTATAATATTATTAAATAAATACTTATTTTTTTAATATTTTCATAAAAATAAAAAAACTTATTATATTTATTTAATAAGTATTTACTTATACGTATTATAATTTATAAGCCTTTTAATCCTTGAATTACAAAGCATAGTATATATTCATCATACATTATATTTATATAATATACTTTTCAATACATTAATTGAATTGGCGGGTTAGCGGATTTGTCCTTATGGTCCGCCGTCGGGAGTTCTCTTTTCATGCTTCCAATCGAATACTTCCGACAATTAAGATAACTTGATACTAGGATGATATATCAATGGGTCGACAATGGATAGGTAGCGCCTTTCTCCTGAATATTCACGTTTAGTAAGGAGATATTTTGGATCTTGAATCTCGAGAAACAACACTGGATTGGCCATTGAAGGCGATGGTCTTTTTTTATAAAATATCCATTCTGAAGGATCAACGGTTGAACAAAAACTGGTTGAACTGGAGGCTCGTAGGCACGTGCTTGACGGCATCTGTACGCTGCATTGAATCTCATTAAACCCGGCGTCGCATCCATTTAAATAGGTTCATGGTTCATGGTAGGACTGAGAGAAGCTTCGATATGAAAGATATGAACGGTATCGGATTGGTTCTCGTATATGTACTATGCGTAGTGTATCTGCCGTAGTGGAGTCTTGACGGGGTCTTGATTGAAGTTGACCTAAGTCTTAGTGGATCCCTCCACTGCAGGAAGATTCTAGCTTTACCCAAAGCCAACTGGCGGGGTGGGGAATTGAAAACCCGGGCCTGCCAGTTGTCCTACCCTATTTGTTGTTCCTGCCCTGTCGACCCAACCGGCTGCCCTAGCAACGCATTAGCAACTGCGAGCGAAAACATTGGTAGCATTTGACCCCGGAAAGAACCACACAAAAATTCTCCATTCCTCAATTGGACCTTTGGACCTGCCCAGGTCATCTAGGTATTTACTAGGTACCCGACCGAATAAAGGAACTTGGGTGGACACATCATCATGCGTTATGAAGTTTATCTGTAAAACATACTTCATAATCCATAACAATCCATAACAGTCCATAATAAATACCCTCTCTTTCCCTAGCAACCTTCTACTACGTAGAAAGTTTGTAAGTAAACAGCAATTAATCATCATCACATCACATCCGAAACCAAATATTACTTATTTGATCCTACAAACTGCTCGCTGATCCAATTAACAATCTCTGTCAACAGTCAGTAATTTTGCAAGTTGACGACCTGATCGCAAATCAACCTCAACTCAAATTAGCTGGACTCCACCTAAATCCGTCTGTATATTTACATATTCCGATTTCGCAGCGCGCAACCTGCAACCTGCAACTATGCCGCGAGGCAAGTCAAAAGAAACGTCTTCGACGAGACGAGTGACGCCGCCGTCACCTACCTACATGAACAATGACCAGTTTGGTGAGTACAATCCATTACTATATGATCCATGTTTATGTGTTTATAGGGTCAATGCACCGGCACTAACATTTTCGATAGCTGCTTACCTAGCAAATCTCCGAGATAATCGCGTCACTCGACCAGGAGGAGCACGTCCACTACCACAATCGTCCATACCGCGCCATGATTCCACAGCTCGCCTTGCTACGGAACGAGTTTCTACGGGCCGCCCATCCCTTGGAAGTACATCTCTCCTATCCGACGCCTCTAGTAGCCATATAAGAACACACTCCGATAGCCCGAAGCCTCGAGGTAGTCGCCCAAGTTTCGCCCCCAGTATAGTTTCTCGAGCATCTAGGTATTCTACCCTGACCTCTACTACTGGGAAAGATTACTACCCGGAGAATCCTGCCACTGCCCCTCCTCCACTCAGGCCTAACGAAGTTGTTCCCACTGCCACCTACATGGAGCGTGGACAGCGGTGGATGGAGAAGGAAGAGGCCGTCTCGATTCGCGATGCGATGGAAGTTATGGATGCTATGGAAACTTTGAAACTCCATGAGCAGGACAAGGGAAAACAACCCGCCGGCGAACAAGACGATGACGAATCTCGACTCTACAACGCCGCTCTAGACGAGGCAGCCGAATTAGTTTGGCAGCATCAACATGGAGTAAAGCCACCGGAGCCTGGTGCTCCGTACCGCTACAAGCCACACCTGCGAAAGGATAGCTATGCCCATGCTCGTACCGCTAGTAGCGGACGATATGGCAGCGAAATCGGCGCCACAGGTCTTGCAAGAGACTCTATTCGATCCTTTTCTGGAAGCTCATCTAGTAGCGACAGAGCGCCCTCGCCAGAGAGTGCTCGGAATAGTCTGGATCAACAGAGGACGCATTCCATAGGATCGCAGAAGTCAAAGTCGTACGGTTCACTAAGTGGTGCGGCGCGGTCAAGCTCTGGCGGCCGCCGCCTCAGTAGTTTGAAGCGCAACATCAGTGGAGAGGTCGAGAAGCCATTCTCAGGAGATCAAATCTGGGAAGAGCCGGAGAGCACTACACCCGAACGCAACCCAAGGCAACCCCGTCTACCAGCGACCACACAACCTCTTGGACTCAAGTCAAGGGGTATTCCCAACAGAGTTCAATTCGCTCCTACTACAACTTCGGATTATGCCTCTCCCGAATCATCGGTACCCGCCAAACCCCTATCAAGATTTGAGATTCATAAGAACCCGCCATCGCAATCTCGCAACCCTGGCTACACGACAAACAGCCACAGCCATTCCAACTCCCCACGGTCTTCTCAGGAGAGCATTCCCACGAAGAATGGCGTGGAGATCCGTGGTGATGATATTAAGCAAGCAACTACAATGCGGCTCAAGGACCGCAGTGCGAAACTCCCCACTCCGTCGGCCGTCAGTGACAGCCCCGGACGTCCAATCGTAAGCTTTGACAAAAACTGGAAGCCCCCGGAGAAAGAGGCGACTGATTCAAAGTTAGAAGAGTCCAAGCCCAGCGCCAGCAACCAACGCCGAGTCGGACCTTTCGGGGTCGTCGGAAAAGAGCGTGCGGGTACACAAAGTCCGCAGCCGTCTGTCCCTGCTATCGCAGTTACGGAGGCTGCTGAGGCCTCGAAGCCGTCCCCAGCTTCACGGCCTTCTGCCCGCGCGCCGTCCGTCCCAAGTATTCAGGTAGATGGGGCGGACGACGGTCCTACGGTGCCGGTCATTTCCGTTTCGGGCGATGGCCCAGCTGTACCGACAATCATGTTACCCGATGACGACAGTAACAGCGGCAGCAATGCACCTGGCATCCCAACTATAGTTGCTCCCGACGAGAACCGAAAACCTTCGGCTAGACCGTTACCAAACCCCAAGGCACTTAATAACGTGCGAGGACGCCCTCGAAGCCATTGGTCCCCTGCACCAGGAGCAGTTGGTCGACGTGCGTCGGCAGTCTGTCATGAATGTGGGACTCCTATCGAAGGTCGCTTCGTTGCTCTAGCGGGAAGCTCAGAGAGGTTTCACCCGCAGTGCTTCCGTTGCTACGCGTGTGGGACGGCGCTTGAGGCGCTCGAGATTAGCCCAGAGCCGGATAACTTCCGGGGTGAGCGGCTTGATCGTATCCGTCGCAGAGCAGCGGGCGAGATCCTAGACGAGGAGCCAGGACAGACGATGGCGGAGGACGGAGACGACCGATTACGGTTCTACTGCCATCTCGACTGGCACGAACTTTTCGCGCCGCGATGTAAACACTGCAAAACCCCGATCCTTGGGGAGCATGTGGTAGCGTTAGGCGCGCACTGGCACTACGGGCACTTCTTCTGCGCGGAGTGCGGCGACCCGTTCGAACGGGGCGCGACGCACATCGAGAAGGACGGGTACGCGTGGTGCATCAACTGCCAGACGAAGCGGACGGAACGCCGGGCGCCTAAGTGTAAGGGCTGTCGCACGGCGGTCATCGGCCAGTACGTCCGGGCACTCGGCGGCGAGTGGCACGAGGAATGCTTCCGCTGCGCGACGTGCGGGGGCGGCTTCGACGACGGCCAGATCTTCCCCATGAGAGACCGCGGCGACTTGGTGGTGCTGTGCACCGCCTGCCGCTCCGCCGAACTCAAGATGTGATGATGAATTTTTACGAGTTTTATGATGGACGGGTTTGACGAGCTAAATCGAGAGTGCAAGACCCGCGGGGGTTTTTCAGAACATATCGGTGTTTGCTGCTTTTTCGCTTTTGCTTTTGCGGTCCATGGTTTAGGTTGTCAGGACAAGTAATGCTTCGGGGCGAGAATGAATCGGGTTTTTTGCTTTTTTGCTTTTTGAGTCGTTGGTGGCGTTGTGTGTGTGTGTTTTTATTTGATTTCTTGTTCGGAGTTTGGCAGACACGCAAAGCAGAGCAAAGTGAAAACAGGCAGGCAAGGCAAGCATGGCAGACAGCAAACAGTTCAGTTCGGAATACAGAGATTTGCATGGTTTGATGATTCGATTTACTATCTACTGCCTAGATGTGTATTTTGTGTACTGTGCTATGTTTTGCTTTGATGTGGTGTGATATGTTCTAGGTTATTCTTGAGGTTTTCAGCTGTGCTGTATTTTAGGCATCCATCGGTCTCCGCATCTCCTATTTTTGCCTCTATCGCCTATTTCCGAGATACGTTAGATCTATCGAGTACATCCATAGTAGTGATTGCATATTTGTTGCCCCCGCGTACACACTAGATATTTTGTGTTGGTATCACCTATATCAACTGTAGAGATGTGGTTTACATGTAATGAGGCAAAAAGCATCTTAGATGATACGACGCGTAGTAGACGTGGAATTGCAGTGACTTGGCCTGTCTCACCTTAGGAGGCTGGAAATTTGTCTGCGAGGTCTGACGAACAGGTGGTAACGGAGGACAACTTCAGGAACGATTCATGAATGATTTGGTGGGTAGCACGAGAAACAATGATGTGTAGAATAATAGCCATATGGCGGCAATGACGAAGGCAGCTTCTCGTTCGAGATTTAGCCGCTGATTCTCAATTGATGGGAAGAAATTACTTCTGAAAGATTTGCAAAAGCAGGAATCTAGATGACAGATGCTCCTTAACCCTTACCTAGAGGGGTAGGGAGAGTGGCGACGAGGGTCTATGAATGACCATTTTTAGGTTCCGAGACGATAAGAGAGAGATCAATCATCAGGGACCCTTGTTGCTTTCTACCGTCATCCGCTCGAGGTATATCACGAACCCCTACTCCATTCCCCGAAGTCCTTAATCCATGTATGATTCAATGTCATTTTGTTGACACTGATTCTGCTAACTCTGATGAGGTTGATAGTGTTAACGGCGGCACGCGCCACCAACCTGCTCCTGGTGAACTTCTAGGGTATCACCGTCTGCCATCTCCAGCTATGAGATGATAATTATCATGATTAGCAACTGTTAAGGTCTAATGGAAGTGCTGGAATGCTTCAATGGTGCGACATAGAGTATATATTGAAGTTGAATAATAAACTTACGGAGTCGGGTGTATCACTCTTCTGCACTCGCTGTCCCTCGAATAAGAAACGGACAGCTTCGACACTCTTGCCTTGGCGCTCACAGAAGGCTGTCATCAACTTCTCGAGCTTGGTAGATCTCTTGATCTTGAAGAAGACCTCGTTGTTGTTGTCGGTCACCTTGATGTTCAGGTGTTCGCTGCCGCCGGCAGGGGCGTCAGAGCGCTCAGCCGCAGGGCTTCCGCTATCGTTTTCTCCGGACATCTTGGGTATGGGGGTTATTCCGTGCAGGCGTTGGGAATGTTATAGGGTTTCTATGCGGTGGTATAGCCTTGATGAAGAGCTTTATTTGCTGCCTATATGTTGGGATCGCCGAAGGGGGCGTCGATTGTTAGTTGTGGGTTTGTAGGCGTGTTGGAAGAGGTGGAAGTTGGTAACTCTAATGGCGTGAATTGCACAGCGGTGGAATGGAAAGACTCACAACTCAAAGTAGACAAGGTGTGGAAATCGCTTAAGAACTAGAGAAGCCTTTGAGGATATTGAGGTATGAAGAACTGAATATATTCAGCTCGGGTATCTGGGAGTAATTCGGGGGTGTGGGAAGAAAATGATGGCAAAATGTAGTTTAGAAGAAGAGAATTAAAAAAGTGAAGCGATTGCGGTGGTGAAGTTTAGAATTAATCAACCGCGAAGGCTACGGCCTACGTGAGGCGCCCTTCAAAGTGGGAAACAGCGACCGCAACCACGCTAGATGCGGGGCAGGTACTTTTACACCAGCAAATACTTCTAAGGTTCCTGCGGGTCATACTTTACTTGCCTTATCCGTGTACATCCATGTTTCTCTGGTAAGAGCCACGGTGCAACTCAACCCTAAGCAAAGACAGCTAAAGAATTACCTAATAATCCAAAACCTTTCCACGTTGTAGGTGCTTTACAAAATCCATTCTTTTCTATCAATCTATGGTTTTAGAGAGTCTATTCCATGTGTAAGAGGTGATATGTAGATTTGGGGTTTCCGAGCTAGAATGGCCATATTGTCCGCTATGAACGTCTTATACCTCTTATCTCCGGTTAGTACCAGGTCATATTGATAAACAGGTACCTGGTATTTTAGCCTAGACTCTCATACATATATGCATGTATACTATGCTAGTTGCATACCATCACACAGCTGACTTCTAGTTGCTGAAAGATAGAATGGCTAGGCGCCGTATCCTTTCGTATATTCCTGGGTACTCTCTATGATTAGCTAGTAACGTAGAAGAGGCTTATAAAGCTTAGCAGCCTAGAAGTGTTCTAAAAGCTAAAGACCGGAAAGTCCTAACCAGATTCAATGTTCCATACTATACTCTACCTACTTATTAATAGAATATATATGTAACTAACTAAATTATACATTGCAGGACTCTATGAAGTTAGTTGACATTTCATCGACGTCATATTTATTAGATCGATGGAAGGGGATCTCTTGGCCTTCCGAAAATTAAAACGTGCCGCTATTAATCCACTGAAGTGACTACCATTGAACTTTTGGCCTGTAGATATCAAATTGCCTTTCTATGTAAAAATTACTTATCAATTTTAAGGTTTACATAAAGAGACGATTGAACGCTCTATAAAACTAGAAAATGGTACGTTTCATTGAACATCATGAATAGCGTACTAAATAAAAGATGTCCTAAATTAATAAGAGTGTAGGGTTTGAAAGAAGATCTCGAGTCGAAACCTCCATGCCACCCTCGTGCTGTGAGTTATAACATTCCAAAAGGCGAATCTTTATGCACATGGGACTGACGGGACTAATATAAACCTCTTAAAAGTGTGCTATTCAAGGTAGACAGATCTGGTACCCGTTCTTTGCTTCGTCTAACATGAACAGATTGTCTAGCAAAGAATAATTACAACGAAGCAAAATGCTCACGTTTTATTGACGCTCTGTACGAATGTTGCGATGCATTCTATCGAAAGCATGGAGACAACGCAACGAGCGTTAGTTGTCCCAAAGCCAGCCTCCTTCGGTTGAAATTGAGGCAAAGGCAGGAAGAGCAGAACAGGTGAACGGCTATGGCTTTACGGGCGAGGGCGCATCGCGAACATTTAACGGCGGAAATATTTTATCTGTCACCCATCACAGTTTATTCTTGAGCAGTGTATATATCTGAAGGTACTTAGGTAGCATGTTCGACATCTCCTTATATGCGTCAACCTAGACAGGAAGCGAGGCAACATTTATGAAGAGTAGAAATCGTTCTAGGCGATCATTGAGCGCGCAAGAGGTCCTTGAAGGACCTGGATAAGCATTGAAAGCAATAGTTGGCTTATCCCGAGACTCTAATATGAATGCCGATGACATTATGAAGAGAAAAGAAGAAAAAAATAGAAAAAATTTTAGACAGAAATTCTTGCCTTTGTACTTCCCCACTGTGCCTACTGAGGCTGGTGTAATGAGGCTGGTGCTCTTTTTGATTGGCCTAATTTTAAGGTTAGGTCCGGGATCCAACATTGGGCAATCAGTCACCTAAGTTAGGTACGTACTTGCTCACCTGCCAACCTAATTCGATTCAGCAAGCGCTACAGACACGCCTTAACCGCGTCAAGATTCTTTTCTATGTTCAGAGCTTCCTAAGCTCCATTCTTTTTCTTAACAACACACCAATAGTACTACAATACCACAACACATCAAGCCCGTCGCAAATCATCACCTCCCTCGATAGATGATAATCTGTGACTACCTATTTGACTGCGATACCTGGCGACTTTGGAGGATGCTGGCTAGCAACCAGCTCCCCAACCAAAAATACTAATCGTATTCTAGATTACCTCCTACCTATATCCTCCCTACACGATGTCTCAAGGACCTCAGAATATGTACGGCCTGCAGTTTGGTGCACCGTCGCCACCTCTCGACGTGGATGAGCAAAGTACAACATCACCAATACCATCAATTGAATTTGAGGAGCCAATGGAGACTGACCATCCCGTTCCAACAGCATCGCCTTTCTATACCCAAGCCGAGAACGAGTTCGCAACAGATGCCGAGGCGTTCGCTAGAGACCTTGATTCACTCTCATTAGTGCGAAAATCACCAGCCGAGCAACGAGCGGAGATCTTTAAGCTGGTCGATTCCTACTATCATTACGCAACTAAGAAAGTTCATGCCATACGTAAATCGCAAGGAAAGGGAGCCAGCGCTGGCCAGAGTCACTCACACTATGCCTCCAGCCAAGATTCAATGGAACTAGACGATGCGGAAAACTCGCCGGAATCACCAGGTTCAGCAGAAACACTTAAGAGATGGGAGTTAGAAGCCCAAACTTGGGACCTGCTGCGTCGCCTCTTGCCCTTACGATACTCGAACAAGACCTCACTGAAACCGACGCGACATGATGTAACAAGATTTCAATCATCCTCCGAGCTGTGGGAAGATTTCTTGCAATCAGAGTCAACTGCGCAAGAGCGCAAGGCAGTTTTGGAATGCTTACAGACTAGCGCAGATGAATCGCGTACGGGTATCGATGAATTGGTACGGGATTATCAGCAGCGAGCAGAGAGGGGTGATATTATCGCATATGGTTGGCTTCACACGCGATCTGCTATTAAGATGCAAAAGAACCTCAACGGTTGGTCCGGAGCTCTGGACCCTAATGCTCCTGACGTTGTCCAAAAACTCCGTAACGGACCGAACCCCCTAGTCACCCAACTTGACCCTGATGTGACAACAAGGCAGAGTCGGAAACTTCAGCCGCAAGACGAATATTTCGAACGAGCCATTTGGGTTGGGTGCTACGAACTGCTGCGACGAGGACGAAGCATCGCCGAGATTCGAGACTGGTGCGTCGAGAGAACCGAGGTCTGGAGAGCAGTCAGCATGTCAGCTATGCCCTTGTCCAAGGAAGAAAGTGATGTTCGCTTTGGTTGTGATCCGCTCTCCATACTTCTCTGGAGGCGCACTTGTTTCGCCCTAGCACGACAGGGCGGTACCGACGACTTTGAGCGTGCTGTCTATGGAATCCTATCGGGCGATATTCAAAGTGTCGAGAAAATCTGTGAAGATTGGGACGATTTTGTCTATGCGCACTACAATGCCTTGTTACGAACACAATTTGACGCTTACTTGATGAAACGATCTCCGGCAGATGCAACCGCCGCCATTACCCAAAGCTTTCCCGCCGCCTTCAACGCTGTTCAATTCCATGGTGATGCTGCTTCAGTCGGAGAACGTCTTGTGAAATCCTTAGAGACGAACAATAAGACTTCTAAAGAGGCAAGAACGCCCGTGAAGACTCTCCAGGCGGCTATTCTTTCGAATAATTTAGATCAGTACACCTATGAACTCGGTCTTGCGCTTTCCAAGTTAGCAAACAAGGGGAGCGCATCGGCATTAATACCACGTTTTAATTCCGATGATCAAGATATAGACGAGACCAAATTTGTCCAACCGGCGGATCACAGCAGTCTGCGCGTCCTGGTCCACGTGTATCTGATCTTGTCAAATCTGGAGCAATTAGAGGGTGGTCTGCATGCGGAGCTTTCCGAACGTCACAAAGTACAGGAAAATGTTCTCTCTGCGTATGTGAGTACTCTAAGGCTAACGGGCTTGACGGACATAATGCCTCTATACTGTAGTCACATACAAGGAGACAGGGCTTTCTTCACGCTCAGCCGGAATGTTACTAACGTAACTGATCAACCGGAGCGGGAGGTTTTCTTAAGACTTATGGAAAAGCTTGGTATGGATATTGCCGAATTCGTGCAATTCCAACCTCGATCCCTTCTTCAGCAGCATCCCCTACCGGCAGAGCGCCCGCCACCGTTTGGCAGGTTCACCGTGTTCTCCAATGATCCACCTACGCTCAAGTATGGACGTCCTCTGAAGCCAGATTTCCTGGGAGAACCTCCGGAGAACCTCAACGATGTAGACGAACATCTCATACAATCCTTAGAATGGTTCCTTCTTGTTGATGGACTTTGGCACGAATTTTTCCATTACGGTACTGCCATCTACAAACGCTTTCTCAGTAAGTTGTCATATTGCCTACAAGAATATGTTTATCCAATACTAATATTATACCAGTGCAATTCAATCTCCATGCAGCACGTGCCTTGGCTGAGCGAGTTCGCTGTGCCGAAGTTTTCAAGAGGAAGTTTGATATTGTGTATTCAGATGATGAAGATGTTTCGTGGTTTGAGGAGGTCCGAGCAAGTGCTGCGGCCGGCTTGTTCGAAGAACACGGTATGGGTTCGGAGGAAATTGCGGCAGCGCAAAACTATTTCGAGATGGAATGTATGACCAGAGCTCTGGATTTGATGGAGACCGTTGCTTCAAGTCAATTACTGGTCCAAGAGCAAGTCACCACCCACGCAGCCCATCAGCATGGCACGCAGCTAACCTCCCTATGTAGTCCAGCGGAGAGAGTGGGCAGGGACTTCTGGTCTCATATAGGCCGCGAAGTGAAGACCATCAAGACTCTCATGCCTCCAATACTACACAACTGGCTCACAGAGAGTATCGAAGGTAAGCCACGACGACTTGACTGCGTGGGTAATAATTGTTGCTTACTAGTTGGATTAGAAGACGAAGACTTCGCGTACCTTCGAGATGCATATATTCCGGAGACGGTCATAGGCTACGTGAGCGTGCTGCATTTTGCAGGGACGATGCTAACCCGAGATAACCTGCTGGAATGCATGGACCTTGCTTCAGTGATCGCGAAGAAGGATGCGGACGTGCAGGCAGTAATAATGAAGGCTGGCCGAATGAAGGAGCTCGTGGAGGGTTTTGCAAATTGCAGCAAGGCACTTGCAATAAGCAGCAGCGAGAAGAAGGGGGCCAGCGGAATCAACAGTAAGAGAATGCTGCGCGAACACGGATGGACACGGGAGCTGTGGTCGGTTAAGAAGTGATATGACATGAACATCAATGGTTCTATTCTGCCCATGCATTTCAGGGGGGCTATGGCTGAAGGGCGTTGGTTGGCTTCTCAGATGTTAATGATGACTATCAAAAGTAAGGGCGTTCCTTGGGGTACGCTCAATGCCCGTAGTGCGCAGCACGGTGAACCTGAATACAAATCAGTGTGTAATTTTATAATCCTCTGCGTTTCAAAGTGATGCTTGTGAATGTATGTAATTCTATCCATTACTTTGAATGTCGCCTACATACTAATAAGCTATAATTTATAGTAATTTATGGGTTGGTGATGATGTCCATTATGAGGAAGGTTAGCTACCCCTGACTATTAGGTACCTACCCGGCCACCATTACGTAGATGCGACCGGGCGATAAGATAAGCGAGCGGCGGTCTTGGTATCTTGGACCTCTTGATTCAACAACTTGGAAGTTTAAACATATTTCACTTTGTCAACATCACATTCGCCAACGCAAGCGCAGTCTTGCTGAAATACCGAAAATACCATTACACCTACATACAATCCTAGGTGTGACTTTACTACAAGATATAGCGAAGGGGAAATGTACACACCAACTCCCCCACCTCCGGTACCTCCGCCGAAACCCAGCAGCCACGAAGCTAGCCGCCTAGGAACACCCTCCGCCTCCAACTCTCCTCGCCCCCCGCCGCCGATTCCAGACGACACTTTAGCGAGGGATTCACAGGGAAAGGGCAAGTCGTCAGCCTCTATAGATGCGTCGGGTCTGATCCCGGCCCCGATTGCGGGCGGCGAGCACGAGAGCATACCGGATCCGGGCGACCAATGGCTGCCCAAGATTCTCGAGGATAAATCGTACGTCTCTATCTACTATCATATACATATACATCTTCACATCTACTCCATCTTCACGCATGTATATATATCATATACCCCTTACTAATCCTTCCCCCCACAGGAAACAAGACCTAGCAGACATCCTCTCCTCCCCACCAACCCTCGACGCACTAACCCACGCACCGACCTCCGCACACCCATCCCTCATCCAAACCCGCGACGCCCTCCTCTCCGCGCTCGCCGAAAACGTCGGCCTCGCAACACACCTCACAGACCTCGAAGCCCGCCTCGCGGCCCAGCGCGCCCAGGCCCAAGCCCAACTCCTCAGCACACACGCGCTCGAACGCCAGTGGCGCGCCAAACAGGCCGAGATGGACGCCGCGCTGGCGCCGTTCGCTCCGGGCGCGTTGTATGCCCGGTTAGGACAGAGTTTGGGGGAGCAGGAGGCTGTGTGTCGGGCGCTTGAGGAGAGTTTTTTGGAGGGAGGGGGAGGGGGGGATAGGGGTGGGGTGGAGGGGGAGTTGGCTTCGGAGCGGGAGGTGCTGGACTGGGTGAGACGGTATAGGGATGCGAAGAAGGTGCTGTATTTGAGGCAGGAGAGAAGGGAGCGCTGGAATGAACATCGGGTTGGGGGGTGGCGGTGATTTCGCCTGGGTGGAAGAGAGAATATGGTTACGTCCTTACGCTGGATGGATATTTGGGCCCTGTGGTTGCCGATCAATGAGGTGCGCCAAGGTTATAGCTGTCGATGATGGCGATACACATATCTGCCTTTGAAGTAGGCAGACCGCGTGTCACGAGGGATCATGAGACGATACCATTCCTTCGATTATCACGCCGTCGATCGGGTTTTGGGTGGACAACGAGGCCAAGATGTTGTGTATCTATACATGAATCCGTCCGCATCCTCACGCCTATCACAGAGGAATCGGGCCGGAGTCAAAATAGATGGTCGGACCCGGCTAGCTATCGAAGACTACGGGAAGCGGATTAGAAAGGATTGAGGCGCTTACGGGACCGATCAATGGCGATAGGCAGTTAGTAGGAAGGACAGGATTTTTCATGCGACCAACGTTTAGATCCTACTTAGTCGCAAGATACCACCAACACCAGGCTCTAGCTCAGGTCTCAGTTAGATCACATACTCTATCAAATCTAACCTAAACAAATATCTACTAGTTTCGCAACATATACTACAAGAGGCGTGGAACGGTACGTTACCAACGCTCCCTCACCGGCCGTGCTCCGGACGCGGCTTACAGATCCGGCATCGAACGTGGACGTGGGCGGGAGCGGTCAGGATTAGGCAGGAAGATAAACGGACGACGGCGACGAATCACAGCTGAACACAGGCGCGCGCACGAATTTTTCAGTTTCAAGTTTTTTTCATGGCCGCAATTGCGACGATTACGTTGAGGGAGGGGGGAAAGGGAACGGGGGGTGGTTGTGTGGCCCCCAAATCGGACCGAAGCCAGGCGGATACGGGTTACAGCATGTGACATCCACAACCTTTTCGAACGAAACAAACCGAGCAAGACATATACCTAGCTTGGTAATCTTAACATGCTACCTTTTTTTTTCTCGTGACCCCGCGATTGGGTCATTGAATTTTTTTCTTATTATTTTTTCCGTTATTCTTTTTGTACTATTTGCGGAGTTTCCGTGAACGGTTAAGGGCGGAACTTCCACGATGGGGGGAATTTTAAAAAACCGATGGAGCGTCTAGCTTGGGAGTAGCGCGGGTATGGACTCGAAACGAATCGAAGATGCCGGATAGAGACTCGGGTATTCCGTCGGTATGTATGGTTTTATCGCAGTTACGGCCACGATTGCGGTCACGATAGAAGGCCCTATCCGTCATACATGCGTGGGTCGTATTAATATCGAAGGCCTGATAAACTTAATACGATGTTTCTATACATACTATACGTTGTGCTTGCTTGCTTGTTTGCTGCCTACCTACATGCATGTCTGAGGTAAAATATTGTACAATGCGTTAGGGCGGCGTAGATATCTAAAGGATTCGCTATTCGTGTTTGTTCAAATATTGTGTATGCCCCTTGGATAGCCTTGCCTCTGTTTTTTCCTTACAGATATAATCTTTATTAAGGGGAAGCGATGCGGCTTCGATGCGGTTTGTTGGGATAACGACATATATCCTTCGCAGTGTCTTGTCATACGTCTGTCTTACTCAAATATCCTTACTCACTTCTTTTATTCTTCCTTTTTACTAGGATGGTCGATCATTAGATATCATAATAGGTAGGTTATACAGATCTTCTATATATCCTAGTAAGTGGTTCGTCATCGCACACGCAAGAGCGCGAGAACTAAGCGATTCTCTCTCTACTCTCTGGCGGTGACGGAATATGGGCGCCTTGTTGGCTAATATCGCCAACCCTTTCCTTTCACTCTTTCCCTGTTACCGAAGTTTGCTCAGCTTCCTCGCTCTACGCTATCATGATACCCCGACGTTTCTTCAGATAGACACGCCCACAATTTCTCGCGTGGCCGTTGCGGGTTTGCCCTTTTTAGCTACCGGCCGACGTTACCTTTCATTCCCCCAGCCGCCCCAGATACCGGGCCCCTTTTCCGAGGCCCTTTCCCTCCACTTATTTCGTTCCACTCTTGCTCCATATTCATTATACTCGGTCAGCTACATACTACTCTAGCACGCCTCTTCTCCACACTCCATACCTATCCCAGTTTTACCTCCGTTCCCCGGGTTCGACTCCCCGGGTTCATTACGTATGTAGCATGTCTTTTGTTTAAAATTTCCCCAATCTCCAGATTTCCACATCTGTACGCTATTTCTAGAACCCTGTCTAGGGCTTCGGGGGTCTGAGGCTTTTCTTTTCCCCGTCCTACCTCAGAAGTCCGAAGGGGCTCTTGGTCTTCATGTCTGGACTCCGTGGGCTCATCGGCAGCGCGAATAGCTCGTCTTCCGTCTCCTTGCTCTGGGTTGCGGGCGGCTCTGCAGCGACTTGCGTGTGGTTTCCACCGAGAACGGCGTCGAGGGATGCCACGCCGGCGACTGGATCCGCGCCTGTTCTCGGCGGCGTCACTTCGTCCCCTCTCTTGTTGGGCGGGGGAGGATGATCAGGACCCTGTAGATGTGGGTTTTGTTGCGAGAAGTGGGTACCTAGAAGCATACACGTACGAGGTGAGTATGGATGAGGCTGAGGGGTAAATACTTTCCCAAGCTGAACCGAACAAGCCAACCCAAATAATGGGGAACACAAACAAAGAAGCGGGAATATTACCTAAAGGATTTGCTAAATCCGACGGCGAAGTCGCCAACTTCAACCCCCTCAACTTCTCCCCCAACCTCCCTCCTATCGGTGATCTTGGGCTCGCGGGTGGTAGGGATGACACGGGGACCGCAGCGGCAGCGAGACTTGCTTCCTGAAGCCTTAGGTCGTCGAGGCCAAAGTGATCGATGATCCATAGCCGCTCCTGGACCGCCATCTCAAGACCCACGCTCTCGCTATTATCCTTGAGTTCGGCACGGATCTCATCCTGCAGCTGCGCCGCTCTTAGCCTCGCCCATACGGTATGCAGCACGCCCCTGCGGCCCGCGTCGCGTGACCCGACACCGAGGCCGGGCGCGAAAATCGCCGGCATCGACTTTGCGGTTAGCGCGCGACCGGAACCGGCATGCGAAATAGTGACGACGGGAGGCACCGCGACATCGGACGGAAGGAGGAAATAAACGCGCTGTCTACGTTGCTGGATCCCGGCTTCCACCTTCTCTTCGACACTTTCGTCCTCGTCCTCTACTTTCTCATTTACCTGGAACGTGGTCTTCTTGCCCTCCCACGTCACGACCCAACCGTCTTCGCCCGTCGGCTCCGGATCCCACTCTACCATCAAGATCTTAGACCCTTCGTTTCCGCGACCAGCCTCGAACTCGAAGCGCGCAAGAGCGTTGGGAGAGGCCGGCGATATCGGCGAGTCTATTACACCTGCCTCCGGCGGATGGCCGGTAGTGAAAGAGGAAGGAGCGCCTGGTTCGGTTATCCGGAGTGGGCCGGGACCGGACTCGCTCGGTGTGGATTCCATGGCCATCTGCGTATATATATATTTATATTGCGCCCGCTTTTTTCCTCGGTGTGGGTTACCTTGCGAGGCGAGTGAAGTTGCGTCTTGCGTATGAGGAACTACACAAGCTGCTACTATAGGCGCATGGGAAGCCAATGGAGATTGGCTGGATGGGATAGGGACAGGTTCGAGAAGGGGGGATGGGGTGAAGTGGCAACGACCGCGCGTTTGGCGCGAAGAGGATCAACGACGGGCCAATCCTTCCAGAACACGCGCCGCACGCACGCACGCAACATACACGCAGCCGCGCTGCGGGGGAGGCAGAAGCTGTTAAGCTGGAGCTGTCTCGGGAAGAATGTCAAGGGACGGCTGAATATGCTGGGTAAATCTCGAGTGGCAGCGGCCCCAGTAGCAACGTTAATGTATGCTCCTATTCTTGGCTACTGCCACTACGCCTCATACGAGGCAGACATCGGCAGTTAGAGGAGACCGGCGGGAGGGAGACCAAATAAGAATAATAATAATAAAAAGCTTTCGAGTTGCAGACGAAGAGCGAGGCGAAAGCTATGTTTGTCCGGGTTCGGCTTTAAGGCCTCAACTTTCAACGCGGGGCTAGTAATAAGTGGAAAAAAGGATGACAAAAGATAGGAGTCGAAGAAAAGAGCGGTTTAGATAATAGTTAATAATAGAGACGAGTATAAGTATAAGCTCCACCGACTCTTCCCGTCGCAATAACTGGATGGCTACCAAATTCGGCAAACTAGAGACCTAACCTAACCTTACTGGTGTAGTCGTGTTATAAAAGAATGGCTACTGTATTTCACGCATAGGCGGAGAGGTGAGGAGCAGGATCAGGCGGGGAGAGCTGGAAGAGGAACGAGATGGAAGGAGAGAGATCGGATGGTTCTTTTTTTCCCAAGTGACGACTCTCATGGCAGAAAAGGGAATGCTCGACGTCTTGGCGGCGTTGATGATGGTACGTGACAGGGACACGCATAGTCAGCCGAACTCCTAACAGCATTCGACGTTTTGGCCGTCGTTTTGGAGTTCGAACCATGTTGAACCATGTAGCTCATAAGTACCCTCTCAATAAGGGACGTCAGTGACGGCGGGGGGGCCAGGAACGCCACCAGTGAGAAAATGAAGAGGGACAACCAGACAGCCCAGACAGCCCACGGCATACATGTGGTTTGCTAAAAATAGAAACACACACACACAAGCACGCAGCACGCCAAACCGTTGGTTCGGGGCTAGTCGGTCGGTCGATCTCTGGCTAAGGAGAAATCGGAAATTGGGGAAAAGCCTTTTTAGGTGCGAAGAAAGCTGCTCAGTGCCCATTCAGCCATTGCATCGAGGCAGTGAGGGAGCCCAGTCTGTTCTGTCAGTTCTGGCATAGTAATTGGAAACCTATGAGGGATTCCATTCGTCCACCAATAATGCCCATGTTCCTTTTTCATAACCAACTTCCTAATTGGTATAGTAGGTGAAGCTGAGAATATGGGGCTCATCCTTGAAAATTCGTAGGGGCTTGGCTCCCCCGTCTTCTTAAAAGGAAGCTAGAGAAGCTTAGAACAATTCCAGGCCGTCCTGATGGCCTTACGCGCACGCGTTCCCCATATCCGGTGTGTAGGGACGCTGTACTGGCTGTACTAGGTATTCCGACCGTACCCATTCTGAGTCAGCGAGCGCCGCCAACTTCATGATAAGGCTTATTTCAAGCATCACTGCACCTGACATTTGCTTTCTCTCTCTAATGCGCCGTTTCTTATTCGTGGCCGTCTCCGATCAGGTGTAGCACGAAACAAGTTCGGAATATGCATTGCACCTCTGAGGGGTACAGTTGCACCACCGCCTCTTAAAAAAGGAGGCCGACCGATAAACCGAACAGGTCAAGCTGGAATTGGGTGATAAAAAACAAGAATATTCACCTACCATGAGAAAAATAACTAGAAAATTTGGTGAAGCGAGGGATAGTCGCCGTCTCACTTGACGATTTTTTCAACATGATACGATTTGTAGGTTACCTTGCGTCTTGCGTCATGGATGAATCGTCCTGCAGTATCTATCGTCTCTTTTGGAGATTGGCTTGGGTGGTTTCATCTTGATCTCAAGCCAAGTTCATCGCTGGGGTTCTTATCGCTTTGTCCTGACTGGCGAGACAGATAGGCAGCATACGCAGGGAGACTTGGCTCGACGAGCGGCAATGTCCCTAATATATTAAAGCACCTTTTCAGGGTCTTTTCAGGGTAGGTCGCTTGCAAGAGACATCCGACCGAGCTCTTGAGAAGCCGGGCCTAGGCTGAGGGGTTACGATAGAAACAGAAAACTACACTTTCATGTAAGTGGTGCTCAAACGTTGAACTCGAGTCTCGGGAGAGAAAGCCCGCGTTAAGTAGACGATAGGCAGTAGATGTCATAGCTGAGAACAAGGCTTTGCCTACAGCAATCCCTTAATAATACCTTCCGTTTCGTTGAGCTCGTGTCCCGCATGGATATCGTCAGTCAAAACTTGGTCACCGCTGCAGGGCAACTGGTCTTAGGTCGGGGCTAGATCAGAGCCAACTCCGATGACGTTTTCCCCAGGGCCCTTTCTGTAGCATTCGGCAGCTCGCCATACATACTCGGCTTGGGCTAGACTGAAGAAGTAGGCCCTCCGGGCAGTGTGACCTCTTCAGTGGAAACACACCTGCCGAATGAGCTTCTTTTCGACCAGCCAAGCCATTACAGCGGCATCATCAGTCGGGAAAGGCTGAGACGACGAGCTACCACCAGACCTTGGTCATATTCAAGGAGCCTACCAAATTGTGTTAGAATATAGTAACGTGAATGCTTTAGAAGCTGATGAATCAGCCTTAATTTATGGGACGATGTTCGCAGTCTAGGCCACAAGTAGCATGCTTCGTTCTCCAAATTCAAGGTTTTTTTCTTCTTCTTTTCTTTCATTTTCTTTTGTTACGAAGACCACGTTGCACTCCGACAACACAATCATATACGTGATCCTCTAAGCCGACTCGCTTCTTATGGCCGAGGACAGCTAAGTGAATTTGAGCTGTCGCTACTTGGTCCTACTTGAGGTCCTAGCCTCTACGCTGTAATCCTAGGAATATATCCACGGTGACGTTGTACTGGTGAATACATGACTCAGATTCATAAAAGCCCGTTCAAAGTTTCCAATACGAAGATATCACCATGGTCATGTTAAAACATGCTTTTCTCTAGCCTTGAGATAGCAGGTGGTAGGCTTAAAAATTGAGTGTCGTGAGTGTGTATAGCTAGATGGCATCGAAGAAAAGGCTGCATTTGAGGATGGATAATGGAGCAGCTAGCCAATGAGGAGGAAATTACGTCGGGTACTGGGAGTACTGAAAAACGACCGTAGTAAGGCCGCCGATCCACATGGGCGGTCCCTTTCTTGCTGAACATGAGAGGACGGCCCCGGCGGCTCTATCGCGGGGAATTCCTAAGCCCTTGTTTCTAACGGGCCACGATCACGGCACGTTTGTATTGTATTGAATTGCAGGTAGGGAAGGCGTTCTTTCTATCATTGACAACTGCCAATGAACAAATGACAGGCAATGAAAAGCAATGATACCGTTCGATCACCGCTTGGTATTTTAGGACTTCTCGAGTCAGTGCGAAAGCTCATCGCTCACACCGATGACCGGTCATATTTTGTTTGGCTGTAGACCGTAAACGACGCCAGATGGAGGAGATTATGTATGCCGGATAAAATGAAGTGCTGACAGGAACGGCCTTGGGCGCTGCGGGAGTGATTACGCCGAGACGCATGTAATAATTAAATACATATGCGGTAGGCTCGTGTATGTATGACCACTGACCACTGACCATCGAAGTCATTGTATTGCCAGTCTGCCAGTGTCATGATCTGTGGTTCTTCTGGCTGTCTGGTTCTCGATTTTCATGAATGAAACTCGACGACTCAGATTGAGAGGTCATGTGCAATGTCTCGCAGAGAAGAGATTGCAAAAAAAGGGGCTCGAACCCATTGGGAAAAAGTGTGGTTTTGCTGTCTCGCCGTCTAGGTGGCATGTTACACTGCAAGACCTAAATGAGAAAAAGCAACCCCAGAAGTGCCGAAATCGAATGCAGATCCTTCCTAAAGGGTCATCTGGATCACTGGCGCTGGTGAATCGTGATGAAAGACATCTCTCCCCGGACTGCTTGTTTTATGTAGCCTGTAGTCTGTAGCCAGGTAGTCGCCAAGAGCTGTACTAATATGTATATGATGAGAAAGAGAGCCCTACAATCTGTGCATGAGCTGTGTGAGTGATGCGAGTGATGTGAGTGAGATTGACGCGATCGTCAGTCGCTATTGAAGCCATGCTCCAACAGCTAGCTCCAACATCCTCATCCTCATCCTCACCCTCTTCGGTCTGTCAATCTGTATGTAGGTAACGTAGACAGAGCAGAGTTCAGACACTCGGTCAAATACCGCAGATGCCAAGCGTGTCACGAACCGTGTCGATGAGATAGATCACAGATTCATAGATCCGTAGGTTATGGTAACCAAGTTTACAAGCATCCACGATCTTCGAAAACCTTGAACACAAAGAAAAGAGTCGGTGCTACTCTCGGCACTGGCCGCAGTGGTTGCTCGGATATTCAGCGAGACAGGATCGGAAAACTACGAGGCTCCGCGAAGTAACTAGGTATTTTTTTCTTCTTTCAATATGCAAGCTATAACCGAGCTGGTAATAGGCTAAATTGGGAGCATCGTTTCGTGCTGCTTCATTAGATAGAGTAGACTCAACCACCCAATCCAATCGTGAGATCAGACTAGACACGGGTTGAAAAGTAACGTATGAACCTGATGATTAATGTGGTGATAATTCTTAACTAACGGGACCGAAAAGAAACGGACGTGAAGCTAGCGACGGAGAAAAGTTAGGTGAGATATCACGGAGAGAGGAGAGCTTTGATGTTTTGGTAAAAGGCCGAGCGAACGAGCGAGGCTACTATAGCAGAAAAGCATTTGCGGACGACCGATATATCTATGGGACTATCGCGGGCCGATAGGTGATAGGTGGTTTTGTCCTGATGGTAGTCGGATGGCCCAGACTGGTCAGGACTGATGATACAATACGAATGCCGTATGAGGAAGGATATCGGTCATAACCGCACGATGGAACGGTCACGGAATCTGACCGAACTGACTTCATCAAGGTCATAACGTGGTAATAACCGATCTTAAGGTTCGGTTCGCCTTTTTATTAGCAATAAATAAGCTGATGCTGGGGTTGAATTTAATATTGATAATAATAGTGCTTGGGTAGAAGAAGTATAGGTATAGTCATTAGGTCGATTATCCCTATCACAACCTCGACCTTGAACGAAAATGTGATTGTATCCACATGTTGAGATAAGTAGATACTGTATGTAAGTAGATGACGATTCAGTCAAATTGGGATCCTGATAACGACATCGACGAATGGTGTGGATGGATGGTGAGGATGGTGAGCGATGGAGATCGTGAGAATTAGGATTGATGTTCGATGTTTCTAAAACAACTAAACCGCTAAACATTAAGGTACCTACCTGGACCATGTGCTCGGGGCTATCGGGCGCTCCTTCGCAGCTTCGTCATTTTTTCCCTAGTGGTAAAGTTCAAGCACGATAAGATTTCGCATAGCGGGATGGATTGATCCAATGGATATCACTCGCTGGCGATAGGTCGGCAGCACTCCACTATTTGGCCGGTCAAATCGCCGTAAGCAAAGAAAGGACGCCCCCTCGGGCACCCTATTTTATAGCTCATGCCACCATAACACCGAATGTTTAGTGGATTAGTGCCACCCACGCCTGCCACGCCCCGACCCAGCACACCCCTAGCACACCCCCATGGGCTACTTCCTGGCACTTCCTGGCCCTTCCTGGCTCTTTCTCAAGTAACAACAGCGTTTCTCCACACGCACTTCGCGCCGTACATGCTGTACATGCTGTACATGTACTAAATTCTCCCGCTGTTTTTCCCTTGGACCACTCCTGGATCCACATCGACCACATTGTCCACATTACAATCCACTCTCATCCACTCACTCATCCACATTCTAATCCACTCCCGTGCCCTCCCCGTCCACTCCCGTCCTAACCAATTCTTTCCCTTACCCCCAATGACCCAAGTTCCTAATACCTACCTAGTAGTTCCAAGACCCAAAGAACCCAAACCACCCAAGATACTTGCGAGCCGATTCCCACGATTCCCACTTCGTTCTCGGCCTCATTTTTCCCACACTCCTCAAACCTTATCCACTTTCACTCTATTTTCTGTGCTGAGCTGGTGAATCTGCTTGATCCCTATGGGCCGAGAGACTTCTTAGTATCCGGCCGTTTGGTGTCTGTCCTATCTTGCCTCTTCTGTCAACGTTGCCCTTCATTTCCGCTCAACACCTTTTTTTCCCACACGACACAAACGACACACTATCTCTACCTTCCCTCCCGGATCTTGGCTTCGGAGAACCATTGCGCCTCGGATCTTGGACCCCTAATACTAGACAGCATTCTCTAACATTCCGAACACGCTTTTCTTACTTGCGCCGCCGCGATAATTTCCACGTTGCCGTCGAATATCGATTGCGTGTCTGGGACATTACCAATCCTCAGGGTCTGCGACATCCGCCCTAATTTCAGCAACCACGTCGGCCCCGACGAGACTTGACATTCCAATTCTACGCCTACGGCCGAGACTTGCACCAACCAGAGTCAGGTGTAAGAGAGAAGGGAGGCAAGGAGCGCTGTGGTTATCGTACTACGTCTGTGCATCTGACGTCGCTCGCTTCTCATCGCATTGTTGTGGCTGTCATTCGTCGCTCTTTCGATCTTCGCCCTTCACCCTCGATTCAACCTTCAATCCACAACCCGAAAAAAACCATTAGGTCGAATCGTACCTTAAACGGTTTCTGCTATTGACGATTTAATCCGACGAATATCTTCAATGTCTCAACATGTGTGATTTGCGACCGATCACTTTCGATACTACCGATTTCGTTGCTGTCGCCTTTTCTGTCCGATAGAGGACAAGCGTGCGTTACAGGCACTGCCTGTCCTCCCTTTCGATACAGGCGTGTCCGTTCGACCACCTGACGAAACCCAATGATGGATCCTCCACACATTACTGAATTCGCCTCACAGCGATATTTCGAGAAACTTAGGCAGCTAAGCGAGTCAAAAGAACAGCCTCAAGATGCTGTTGCACACTCGCACGATGGTCCTATTGTGGCCGAATCGTCCACCTTTATATTACCCATTGGCAAGGCAAAGTCAATTGATCAAACTTCCCACGATTTCCAGAAAACAGAGAAGCGTCGCGCGAATTTCAGCTTCAGGACGATATTACCGACCCGCAGTTCCGTCGATCACGATACTCGGAGATTGTCCGTTGAGTCTACAAAGAGGAGGAGCACGCCTTTCGACCAATTATTCTTGGCATTACCCAACGAGCTGAAGATTCAGATTATCGCCTCCTTACCTTTATCTGATATCCTTAACCTTCGTCTAGCGTCGCGGTCGTGGCATGCGATGATCACGGTCAACGAACTCCCGATTGCGCGATATCACTTACAACATCACGTACCGGCCTATGCGAAACGATTATATCCGGCACCCGACCCGACTACCATACGGCTCCATTATCTTTGTGGGATATGGCACCGACTGCATGTTGCCTCCAAGCTCTCCTTTTTAATATGCGAGAGGGTAACGAAGGAAATATTTCTAAGAACTACTGAGGCTCAGCGTCTCGAATTCGAACCACAATACGAGCGGATGCGCCGCCGACTAATACCACTACTCTTCACGATATTTCATTTCTTCGAAACTTACCGGACATTACATATCGAATATATCAAAGAGCACGGACATGGCTTATCATACGAGCCTTATACTATCAACCCTATCGAAGCGAAGATCATGAGCATGTACGATGATCAGACATTATTACGCGTTCACCAGGTATTTCCCCTGGTTGTATCTTCTTTCTGTAGACGACTTCGGCCTCCCTCGTATGTTGGTCGACTAGAGCGTTCTTTGAGAGGTTACTTAAAGGATCGACCGCCTGACGAAGTTTACGTAACGGCTATGTGTGTTGGTGGGCTTCGACAAGTAGAACGATTTTGGGAGATTAAGGGATATAATTCAAGAAGAGGAGCCGTGGATTCGTGGTATAGTTCGGTTATGAAGGAGCCGCCACCTATGGAGCCGGCGACAAAAACGCGACGTGGATTTATGGGGATTAGCCGGAAAAAGTCGAATGCTGGCGAAGAACAATTCACGAAATTTGGAGAGGCGCATGGGGGCGGTCGTGGACGGCAAGGGTCGGAGACGGGTCGAAGGGGTAGCGACGTATCGATGGTTAATGCGTGGGAAAGTTTGGTGTTCCATAGCAGCCTAGGCGAAGGCATGCCGATGGGAGAACTATCACGAGAACAACTTAAGATACTACTGCCCGATCTACCGACGTTGCAACAATTGTGGCTCCCGACGGCTGAGGCCCTTATACTCGACCGAGGGATTGTCGAGCGGCCCCAGGACATCAAGCGCAACGCGCAGGTTATGCTGGAGTTAATTCGTGAAGACGGTGCCGCTGAAGAGGACGAATGGTGGTACGGGCGGGCAGCGCCAGACTCTGTCCGACCACCCCTCGAAGCTATCGAGGAAGATCCTATCGAATAATCATATCTATCCTACTATTTATACCTACGAGGAGGCGGTTGAATTTAGTCGATTGATACCATGCATGGGCGTATTAGAAGATATCCGCGGGTGGGCTTAGCCATTGTCTAGCCATGTCATATCATATCCCATATATCATGAGCATTTGCAAGGCGTTTATACAAGGGGCGGAAATTTTTACCATTTACCATTTATCGTCAATTCGTTATCTTTTTTTTCTATTCGGGGATAGGACCATTATTTTTCTCATCCCTCTTCATGGTTAGGAAGGGGAAAGGGAAAGAGGAGCTAGGGCGAAATTATAGGAGTTGGTACACATTCAAGAAAGCCTCTTTACCTTTTTATTTTCATCTTTAGTCTGGCTTTTTGTTGCCAGACACGGGGGAAGATATATTATACTACCTACTCGTACCTACCAACTCAAGTCGGTGGACTATTCTCTTTTTTTATGTCGTTGCCATTTACATCTGTCGTCATAGGTTATTAACCGACACGGGGGCATAACTCCATTACCTCATTTTCTTTTATGTTTCGCAAGGCATCTGCTGTTGATCATACAAGCTTCACAGCCTTCCCCCCATATAAGGAGAAAGGGAAAAGCGATAGCGGGCTCTTGTTTATTGGGGAAAGGACGAGACGAGAAAGGGTGACAGAGGGTCCTTCGGTCGGTTGGTTCATGCAAGTCACAAGTCGCATTTACAGCGCTCTTCATGAAATGGGAGGAGAGTAAAGAGGAACCAAGCGAGTCAAAGTAGATATATATCCCATATATCAATCAAATGATCTCGGGCCTATCCCGTCGTTCCATCTAATCCCGTAAATTCAAACGTCCTTTACCTTTCCCTCTTTACTCCCACCGATGATCCATTCCATCCCTTCGTCGTAATCCAACCCTGCTCCCTCGCCTTCGCTCGTATGGAGTTGTAAATCAGATGATAGCCAGGGAGATCAAACGGTCGATAAGTAAAAGCAATAGAGGTGAACCCAGCGACACAAAATGGTATATTGAGACAAACAAGCAAACAAACAAAAGCAAAAAAAGGACGATCCCGTAAGCTCGCAAGACCGGCTCCTAGCTCTTCCCTATATAAAAAGAGTTGTTTTGTTGGACCCGGGAGAAGTAGAGTAATAAGCATCTGCTATAGATAGACAGTTAAATCCCTCCCACGCTCCCTCTTCCCTAGACCCATAGACCGTCGAAGACAAATAGAGCTTGCCCGTGTGTACCATTCATTACGAGGAAGGAAGAAGGATATGAAGTTGACGAAACAAAAACAAAGACGCAAAACCCTTCCTCGCTATCCTTTCCCGTTCCCGTTCCTATACTTTACTTTCCATATATCCTTGTGAACATTCCATCATGAACCATGCTTTCGAAAGAAACGAGAAAAATAAGAGAGGAGAAAAACCAATTAGGTCGCTGTCGCGACCCTGAAAAAAATCCATGAATTCAAACGCCACTTTATATTTTTTTCGTCCCTTGCCTATAAACGCCACATTCCGTCGTATATCATGTGCAAATTTGAACCCCTTCCCTCCTAGCGCTTCCTCACCCTCCCAGATATCATGACATGAGTCAGTTCATGATGGCCACCTATTCTGGGTGGTACGACCGACATTTGAGGATAAGTAGCTATTACTCATCCCTGTGGTTGAAGAGTAGAGGGATGCTGCGCTTGAGGCTGTTGTTCGTTGCTGTGGCGGCACGCCGCCGCCGCCTCCGCTTCCGAGGCCGTATGAGCCAGTGCCGAGTCCAAGCCCACCGTGATTACTACTAGAATCCAAGCCTTGCATATCAAACAGGCCCGACTCTGTGAAGGGCGTGAAGGCTGACGACATTGTAGGGTGTGATGTGCTATGGGTAGTCGTTGGAGTCTGACGCGCGCCGAAATGGGGCGAGTGATTAGATACGCCATGACCCGTACTACTACTCGTGCGGTAGTTATTATCGAGAGGCGATGCCGAGGGCGTCCGACGGGGTGGGTACCCTGGGTTGTTATGAACCAACGATGGTGATCCTCTGTAATTAGTGTCCCCTTGCATCAAAGGCGAATTAGATTGTGCGCCAAACTGGGGGGAATTAGTTATGTGTTGTACAAGGCTGGTCCCAGGAGAACCGGTAGCCATATGTTGAGGTTGTCGTTGGTTCGTAGAATACGTGGGGGTCTGTGCGTTGTAAGATGAGCTGAGAGTCTGTGCTTGGGGGTAGTAACTCTGCGATGTCCTGGTCTGTTGATGTGACGTTAAAGTAGAAGGCATTTGAGGACCCTTTGAAGTCTGTGATGGAATAGGCGAGGCGGTCTGAGCGGTTTGTTGTTGCATCTGTTGTCGACTAGCCGTCGGTTGTCTAGGATTCTCTTGGCGGTTCTGGAGGGCAGTAAATCGCTCGTAATGAGCCTCTAACCCTTCTGCGGGAACCGGAGAGGCTGTATGTCCAATCGGTGCCGTAGCTTGGTGATGCTGCTGCTGTTTTTGGGAGCGATTGGCGTTTCCTTGCACTTGATCACCAAGATTCTGGTTTAATGCAGCTATACGTTCGTAATGGGCTTCGAGGCCATCGGCTTGTATATGTCCTTGAGATGAAGTTGCCACTTGACTAGTTTGGTGAGCTGGATCTAAGGTTGCTGTCGCAGAGTTCGCAGAGTTCTTAGTTCCCATGCTATTCGGGGTTGAGCGTTTGGATGTATGAAGCGAGCCCGCCTCCTGTGATTTCCGAGACCGCTTAGCTGACGGTGCTGCTGCACTACTAACAGGTGGTTGGATAGGCTGGCCCGCTGACGATTGAACTTGAGAAACCGATGTAGGAGTTGCTTGAGAGATAGTAGACGACCCTTGCTGAGATATTGGATGGCTCCCGCCAACGCTATTCGAGACTCCATCAGTCTGGGTCGGGGGGTTAGTAACGCTTGCGGGAGCAGGCTGGCGTTTGCGCTTCTTGCCGCTTATTGTCGACTCTTTTACCTGAGGAGTCGGCATCGGGACTTGAGTGCTGGACACACCAGATGATATTGGCCCTTGGGTTTGTTTGTCCTTCTGAGAAGCACTAGCATTAGTGATAGCGGGAGCAGTACTACTACTAGCAAATGAATGACTAATTCCAGCGGTATAACTCGGACGTTGACTATTCTGGTGGTTTAATAGATCAGGAGTCTGCTGTTGAGATGTAGTTGAATCCTGAGCTGTTGGCTCATTGGGAGCCTTTGGGCGATTCTTAGAGCCCTTAGGTCGTCCCGAGTTTGCCTTCTTCTTATTCAACTGCTCACCCAACATCGGAATTGGTACTGGCACTGGAGTCACCTTCGGTGGAATGGGAATTGCCGACACATGATCAGCCTGATGAGATACGCTTAAATTCGAAAGCGCAGATTCAGCTGACTGCCCTCCAGGTTGCGAACCGGTCATTTCCTTAGGTCTGTTTTTAGAACCCTTCGGCCGGCCACGCCGCTTCGTACTAGAATTAGGCGCAATTGTATTAGAATCGTTAATGGACTTGAACCCGCCGGTCGAGCCACCGGTGGCCGGAGTGTTGCCGAACTGTGCCGCATCGGGGACCCGTGGAGGTGTGCTCGGAGCATTCGCCAACGCCCTCTCGATTTCAACGAGGTCATCGTCCCCATTTAGTCCCATAACACTTTCATCCACATCCACCCAACTATCATCTTGGGGCTCTTGGGCTCGGTTTGACGTTCCCTTATTAATCTTCTTAATGCCCTTATCGCTTCGGGATTTGGTGGCTTTGCTACCTTTAGGCCGTCCCCTCGGTCGCCGCTGATTCATATACTGTGAGGACGGAATCGGCGCCCGCCTTCGAGGCTCGTCAAGATTAGGAAATATTTCAGCGATCCACCCAACAAACAGAGAGCCAGGGCCGTTTGCCTCGGCGCTTTCAGGGAATTTGCCATCAGTGGGAGGTGGAGCATCAGGTATACCACCAAAGAACGCCAATGCCTTGCATAACTGATCAACCACAAGAGCGGGAGCCAGAGTCCTCAGAAGCGTCAACAACCGGGCTTGTTCGGCCTTTGTTTCTGCCACCGTAAGGGGTTGGGTTAATGTCGGTCCAGCAGCGGCGGGAACTGCTGGTGCTGCCGCTGGTGCTGGCACTGGTACTGGCGTCGGTGTTGGTGCCGGCACTGATACCGGTGCTGGTGATGCTGCCGGTGCTGCAGAAGCCGGTGGTTCGGTAGATTTCCTAGGAGATGTGAATTGTTTTAATCCAGGCGGCCGTGGGTAGTTAGCCCTTCGTTGATGGGACACGTAGGTGTCAGTCTGAGCTAACTTAGCCTGCAGTGCAGTACTTTCACTCGTGCGCTTCGCAGCAGCATCGCGACCTTCGCTTGCGCGGTGGCTAGCAACATCCATATGCATAACGCTGAAATTTCCTTTCATTTGCTCGGTAACATCCTTTAGCTTGCTCGGAACGGGATTCCTCACTCGTCCATCTCGGGGGTATAATCTCAAATCATGATGCATAGATGCATCATGAGGTAAGGTAGAAGGTAGCAGGCCATTGGCGTTACCATTGGCGGTAGGGCCGGCTAGTGTTGGTGACGGTGCGGTCAGTCCCGGCGTGGGAGATTCGGAGAGTTGGTGGCCGCTAGTGTTCGAGTTTCTCGCAATGGAGGATGTATTGTTTGCCAAATTGGCCGATTGCTGGCCTGCAAGACCGAGTTAGCCGGGGAATCAGAAGTGTAGGATCTCGCAATCCCGTAAGGGTGGAGAGTAAGGAACGGCCTACCGGACGTGGTAGCCATTTGGATGGTGCAATGGCGACCATGACAGAGAGAGGATGTGCGGTCTAAGTCTGTCTCGTTCGCTAGGACTCGGAGAAAAGATTGGGACTTCACTCGGGTAGTTGAGTATGGACCAGTTGGCGGGATTCCATACTCATCAACCGCTGATTACGGAGGATTAGGTGGTAGGGGACTACCAGCGCGTCATTGCGAGGAGCTGATGCGACGCCACGGAGAGCCGAGGAATACGAAATCAATCAATGGGGTTGAATGCGCCGGGTAGATTGGATTCTCAGTAATATCGGGAATAGATAGTGGTTTATTTTTCGGAATTTCGAGGTAAGACTGAGATTGAAGTTGGACTAATAGAACTAGAAAGTTGGGGCGACGAATACGTTGCAGATTAAGTTTGGTATGGTCAGTGGTGATCTTCAGCCGGCGGCAGCAGACAAGGTGGACAAGGTCAGATAGGGCAAATCAAAGTCAAAAGTCGTCGATGGCGACAGGTGGTTGGGCTTCATAGGACTGGTTGACCGCTATATTCTGGTGTAACGGAGTATAGGACGATGTAAATTTTCAAGCAGTCGACAATAATGAGAGGAGAGATGGTTTCGAGAATGGGTTTTCCTTCGCTATTGAATGGTTCGGACAGTTCTCGTGCTCTTTCAGCGGCGGCTATTGGATTTACACGTTGACTCTTCAGGATTTGGGGTTGTACTTCTTCAGATATGGGATTGGTGATTTAGTGGATTCGTTGAATGTTTAGTGGAAATAGTGGAAATAGTGGATACCGAGTTCGCTAGGCAGGTCAGGCCAAAGCGGAGTAGTCGCGAAGAAGAGACTTGAGAGATGGCTGGTGCAAGCTGGTGTGCCTTCTGTTTCTGGTAGGGACGCAGAGAAATCAATAAACAGGATCGACCCTGAACTGCCTGAGTGGTCCGTGACCTGTGGCTTACGGCTCGTGACCCTGTCCCGCACTGCCGCACTAAAACCAGAATAGAACACCCGCTATCTACCTGTGGATGTCTCGTCTGGGCAATTTCACACACTATCTTATCATTTATACCTATCTGAATCTAGCACCTGGGCACCTATTTCAGCTGACGTCTCGCGAGAGTTCGACTTCGATATCGTTCCATTTTGCGTCCTCCTCCTATATTCTCTATACCGGTTGGTACATAATTGGCTGCCCCGGGTAACATTAAAGTAAGGAGTTGTAAATACTCCGTTTATTATAAGAGTCTAGATGCAACTTACATGCAAGTCGAATGGGGAACAGGCTGGGGTAGATGTATGCATCTATCTCGCCAAGTAGTTAGATGATTGGTTTCGAAGACGTCGAATTTGTGTAGTTGAAGATGACATTGATAAAGCTCTGAAAACACTTAGTTAGCTATCTTGATTAATAAAGCTTATATAGAGAGGGTCTATATATAGAAGAAGTAGTGAATGAAAGTTGTGGAATTATATGTTATATTAACTACCTCTCAACTTAACTAACGCTGACAGACCATATAGGAGAATAAGAGTTATGGACATGGGGTCATACTAGCCAATAGTACATATTCGATTGAGAATAGAGGATCTGATTAAAATATATGAATGTGTATGGTAATATAAGTTATTCATAAGAATAAGGTTATTAAGGTCGAAGCTGCTTCCTAATGCTGCTCCAGCAGTCCAGTTGTATGTGGTATTGAAACACCCCACTTAAAATTGAACTAAAGCCCTGGAGAGCGTTCGAAACACTGACGTTGACTTGTGCATTTGTACCTACAGTTGTACCTACAGCTCCAATCACACAACAGCCTACAGCCTCAACTACGCAGCTACCTATACTAAATCTAACAACCTACAACGACGACTTTGCTCTCCAGTATCCCTCTTCGTCGCCCGTATTTTTTCTTCTCTATTCCGGGTACCTGTACATCGTCGGTCGGTGTTATTCACATACATATTGTATCTTGGCGATTAGTTTAAATCCAAGACTTTGGTTTATTGAGCAATATTCCCCAACTTCGTCACCAGTAGCTCTCCCACCTCTCTAGCTTTGGCGATCACCCTATCCTAACTTCTACCAAGCAATACCTGTTATATTATTCAGCTGAGGTATAATCCGACTATTTATTACAGCTCTCAACCGCCGCAATGGCTCCGACTCCGGCGAAGTACGTTCTCCTATCGCTACCTCTTAGCACCTTCGACACAGGCGACAAGGAAGAAGCTCTCGAATCTGTCAAGGGAACTATTACATCCAAGAATGGGACTGTCGTGCCATTTCCCGTCCCCAACTTTAAGATAGGAACTCTAGACGCATTGGTTCAGCAAGCCGACGATTTGGCGAAACTCAATACTGGCTGTGAGGGGATAGTTACCAAGGTCGGCGACTCCTTGCGCTCGCTGTACGAAGGCAATGAAGAGAAGGCATCCGAGCAAAAGAACGTTAACGACAGTTCGTTGCCCCTATGACCCGCGTGATCAACATCGCATTGTGTTGACTAGCTTTTAGAGCCAACGGATCAGTATCTACGCACCTTTAGTTGGAACAAAGTTCGTTACAGGGCCGACAAACCTGTTGGTGAACTCATCGATATCCTGCAAAAGGTATGTTTCGCTTCTAGGTATAGTTTTCGCTTAGTATGACTATATGATATGCTAATATGGAAACTTTGGGCTGATAGGAATTGTCTACGATCGACGGTGATGTCAAGGGCAAGTTCAATCAATACAACCAAGTCAAGACAAATCTTGCTTCCCTACAAAGAAAACAAACGTAACCCGCCCCGAAATAGTTGCAATCCTGTCTGGATTCTACATCAAATACTGACATTATTTCCTGGGCTTAGCGGCAATCTCGCAACCAAGTCACTTACGCCGATCGTCAACCCGTCCTTACTAGTACAAGATTCCGAATACCTCGAAACACACCTAGTGGCCGTCCCTACCAACCTTAAGAAGGATTATCTTAAGAGCTACGAAACTATCGCGCCTATGGTGGTTCCTCGGTCGTCTATACAGGTTGCGCAAGATGAAGAGTTCATTCTGTTTGCCGTCACTACGTTTAAGAAGCATGGTGCCGAATTTCAACAGAAGTGCAGAGAACAGAAGTGGACGCCCCGTCAGTATAAGTATGTCGAGGGTGGCAGGGAAGAAGAGCAAAAAGAATTAGATCGCGTAACGCGAGAAGAGAAGAAGGTTTGGGGCGAGGCTTTGCGGTTGACCCGTACCGGATGGAGCGAGAGCGTCATGATATGGGCGCATGTTATGGCCCTCCGCGTCTTTGTAGAGTCCGTGCTGCGTTACGGCTTGCCATTAGAATTCGTGTCTGCCCTCGTTTTGGTAAGCGCACACCATGTCTCCCTAACCTTAACCCGACCTATACTAATCTCTAGAATAGACAAACACGAAACTAGCAAAAGAGGTGAAGTCGGCTCTGGACTCGTCTTACTCATACCTAGGCGGAAACGCGTTCGGGAGAGATAAGAGAGGGAGGATCACAAAAGACGACGCAGCTTTAACGTCGGAGATGGCGGCGGCGGGTCTAGGACACGGAGGTGAAGGAAACGAGTACACGGCTTACGTATACTATGAGTTCGAACTATAAACAGCATGCTACAGCTACAGCTAATTTATTAGGATGGCGTTTCGCGGGCGGACAAATGTCATGGCTAGCATCCCCTTGAAATGGGGCTTCGGTTGTCATATCAAACATGGAATTATCTGTGTACACTTCTTCGGATACAAGTCTATCCAGGATTTCATGTCTCGCCTCATCTTGTCTCTACGTGTTAACCTAATTTTTTGGTTGGTGAATCGACGATTCCATGTCTATTTTTCATTTCTCCTCCAATTTCTTAAATACTAAGCAACCTAACCCCCTACGAAGCAAGAGCAGCGTTACCTGACTGACCAGCAGCCTCGGCCGCAGTAGCAGTCATGGTATGAGTAGGAATCAACTCCTTCTCCTCAAGCCACCTCACGATCTGCGCAACACACTCCTCGACAGAGCTCTCATGGGTCTTAATCACGATCTCCGGGCTCTCAGGGGCCTCATACGGGCTGCTGATTCCCGTGAACTCCTTAATCTCGCCAGCCCGCGCCTTCTTATACAACCCCTTCGGATCGCGCTGCTCGGCAACACTAATCGGCACATCGACATACACCTCAACAAACGGGATCGGGTCATCGTTCGCGCCCGCGCCTTGGCTCGCCGCAGCGTGCAGGTCCCGCGCTAGCTGGCGGTCGGCCCGAAACGGCGAGATGAAGGACGTGATGGCCACGGTCGAACTGTCGGCGAATAGCTTCGCTACCTCCCCGATCCGTCGGATGTTCTCCTGGCGGTCCGCGTCGCTGAACCCTAGGTCCTTGTTTAATCCGAACCGCACGTTGTCCCCGTCGAGTCGGTACGCGGCGAGCCCCAGGTGAAGCAGGTGCTGCTCCAGCGCGGTGGCGACGGTCGATTTGCCTGACGCGGATAGCCCTGTGAACCAGAGCGTGAAGCCCTTTTGGCCCCGGCTTGCGTTGCGCTCGCGCCGGGTTAGGGAGGGGTGCCAGGTTATGTTGCTGCGTTGGGGGTTAGTTATGCTGTTTATGTATTCATCTTGTCTTTCTGCGTTTATGTGCCATCTTGCTTGTTCATTGGTTCTTTATAGAACGTCCAATGGCACAGCTACGGATGGAAGTGGGTTGAGGTGAAAGGTAAGGGACAGAAGAATAGCGGGGGAGGGGTAGCAAAGTCATTGGAATTGATAAAAAAGCAAGGGTGCTTACGTTGCCATCTTTTCCCGATTTTAATACAAAGAGTTTCTCAACACCGGTGAAATTTTTCGATAACTGAAGGTAAGGTATGATGGAATAAGAGGGAATATACAAATAAAGTCGACAAGCAATCCAATCAAGCTCTCATAGAAAAGAGACTTTTATTGGAGCTTTAGCTAGGTGATTTGAGTTACTGACGACTTCTTAGCCGCAGCGGGTATTAGTTAGTTACCGTTTAGGATATCGGGAGTCGGATGACGTGCTTAGACCGGTCTCCGATGCGCGGGAGTGAGCTTAACTTGGCAATTGACTTTATACTTTGTATATTTTAGCAGGTAGGATAGGGGTATAGGTTTTAAGATAGGAGGTAGGTAGGTACCTATTAAACATTTTCTCTTTAAGGGTGTCCCTCAATGGTTTTCTCTCTTATACATCCGAAGACTCATGGTCGACAGAAATTTATCGATACACCTACGCCTACGTCATCTACCTGCGTAATACACAGGGGATAAGTTATATTACCTAGGAGAAAAGACGTTTCGTTCCACGATCTTTGACGTGGTCTTTTGGACACCACTCGTGCAAAGTGCAACACATAATACAGCACCGTAAGATTATACGCGCATGGGGGAGGTAATGTCAAAAGCGTTGGTAGATTCTTCTCTATTAAAAGTCAAGAACGATTCGAATTCCCCAGCCAACCTAACCCCGACTTTATAAGTCTAGTAGGGGTAAAACCTAGACACCGTACGATATCTTAAGCAATGCAAGTCCTCAGCCAAGCAAACTCCATAGCAGGCGCAAATCCCGCCGTCTATCCCGATCTAGTAAAATCTATTCATCATTGATCTATCTTTATCATGTGCTCGTGCTCATGTCGTAGGATATACGTTCGCCATCAACTGTAGAACATATTAGCTACCTAAGTTTCTAAAGAGTTACCCCTTAAATATGATAAGAAAAATACTAACCGCAGCCTGTTTCGGCATGATGAACAACGCCGTCGCTTCCGCAAGAACCAAGGGTTTTTCGCCCTCACCAACTAGTGTCTCAATACGGCCCTCGACCCAGGCCTTACGCCCCTCTACTTTGGTCGTCGTAGCCCTGAGCACGACATACGAGCCCGCGGGGGCCGGGGCGCGATAATTGATGTTAAGATTAGCTGTCATGCCGATCTTATGGGGCAGTGCCGCGAAGCAGCATCTCGCTAGCCCCTCATCTAGGATCGTCGCGAGTAGCCCGCCATGTATAATGCCCGGGTGTCCGCACAGCTCGTCGCCCAAATACGAGATCGACACCAAGCTCTTTCCGCCCTCTTCCGCGAAAATGACAGGAGGCACGACGAGCCGACCCGGCCCCATCAACGTGCCACCCGTCAGATTGTAATTGCGGTATGCGGGCGGGATCTTGAGGTGAGGTCTGGCCTCGGAGAACTCTTCTTTGGCCCGCAGATCTTTGGTCAGCGGGTGGTTCTGGATGAAATCCTCGACCTCACGCTGGTGGTCCGTCTCCGGCTCGAACATCAACAGCGTCTCCTCGTCCGTGGGCGGGTTCAGCAGCGCGCTGACGGCGGGGATGGCGGGCGCGGCTGCCATCACGGTACCGAGCGTAGTGAATACTATGCCGAGGGCTAGAAGGGAGGCGGCGCGGCGGAGGAATGATGGGCGGGGAGGAGGTTCTGAAGAGACCCCTTTATGTCAGCCTAAGTAGGTGATAGGGTGATAGGCACGGTGCGCCGTATCAGATGTAGGGCAGGGCAGAGCAATATACCTAGGATAGGGGATGTGCTGACAAAGCGACGAGACAGAAGCTGCTGGCGAGTCGGATGTAGGATCAGATTTATAGTCGGGTTAACGGGTATCTGACGGTTGCGCACGACGCTAGCCACACCACGGACGTAGGCGTGGACTTGCATGCGCGCGGCGAACATGGTCGCGATAGGGGGTTCCAAGGCCGAGTGGGGGCCGCCCCAAGCCAGCGGATTATTTTCTTTTGTTATTGAACCAATTAGACCAACTCCGATACTAAAATGTCCCTCGTCTATATCCCATCTTTTCTTAGAACAGGCACGGTCTTGTCGTTATGCGGCGGGCTGTTGAGGCATTCCCTCTACGTGCGTATTTTCCCAACGAATTTCGCTCCTCCCAGTTATCCGTCAGCCGCTAGCCGTTTTTGGACCCATCTATTTCCTAAAAGGGATAATACCGAGGTAAATTGGTTATGTAAGCTGGAAGAAAGATCCTACATTCGGAGTTCCAGGAGTTCCTATTTATCTGATATCTTTCATACCAATCTATAATCGAGGCTTAGCTATTAGCTCTTAGCCCCCTATATTAGGGGATAGACCCTTTAGAAATCAATTGATATTATTCTATTGGCTTTCGATAATATTTATCAATCTCCACCAAAAGCATTGGTATCGAAGACAAGAAATCATTGCGTGGGTGGCTAGATTATTAATGAGGGGCGCATCTAAGATCTGCAAGGGACGTGAAACCTACACCCGTCGTAAAGACCCTATTAAATGGATCTGAACGATGTTTCAGAGTCTTATTTATGGGTGAACTATGACGTCTGTCTGGATATACCTAAATTCTAAAATCTAGACAACCAGCAAAGAGAATGCCCTTTCCTTAAGTGATAGCAACTAGGGCAACTAGGACTAGGTAGTTGCCGTTTAATCTACAACCCCGGCGGCCTCCGTGTTAGCGGCCAAGCTCATACAGCCAATCCAGTTGTGAAATTCGCCTTGTCCTATTGAGTCTCCAGTCGCACAATATAGCTCGCAGCTACGTAAGCACCCTGTCACTTGGCAGCATCAACCTACTTCTGACGCAAACCACCACCCGAACCTGTGGCATTCTATGCCGATGATTCGATAACCTGTTTATGTAAATTGACAGGTCTGTCACACCATGCTCGAGTGATCCCCACGTTTTCATGCGGAGTATAAACATAAGAAACTTGAACTACCTCTTCGCCTCGAAGCTATAGAATCTAACTATCAATACACACTAACAGATACCAATTTCGATATTCAATTCATAAATCATACCTACCTACCTACTTTGACAAAAACCGATAAATATTACTTCACAATCATGGTTAGTAGTATCGTATATACCACCAGCACGCTTAGCTAAACCAATTCTCCCTAGGCCACCGCAGAAACCGTAGATCTAGGGCCTGCTCATCCCCCTAAGGAGGAGTCTATCAAAGCCTTCGGCGAAGTCGAGCACGAGTTGAAGAAGCAACTTCTACATATGAAACACACCTACCTAAGTAAATCTCCCCTCTCCCCTTTTACCCCTCTCCAAAGCCACCTACGTAACCACAACTAACCCGCCCTAGAGCACGAACCAGAATACTTCGCAGCCGTACAGGACCTCAGCGACGGGGACCTGACCTCATTCACTTCCTCCGACTTTGAGGAGGTCCGCGTCGGTATCTCGGCGTACGGCCTGCACCTGTTCGGCAAAGTGCGCATCCCGGCCGCGTCGGACGCCTACATCCGTAAGTAACCCCCTCCACCCCCTCACCACCAAGACCCATTCCCCACCAATTTCGATATATAAAGCGACTTGTGTTTCCGGAAACGACGAAAATCACCAATACAGGCTAACTCGACTAAAAAGACATCCGCCTCTTCATCGGCGGCGACGGCCACGACGAACCCGGCGTCGCAACGCTACATAGCATCCACACTGAAGATGCGGAGGATCCCGAGGGCGGAAGGAAGTACCGCGCCATCTTTACCAAGGATGACCCGCTGGAGTGGTTTGACACCTAATCGCATTCAATTTCCGGGTTAATGTGTTAGATTTAGGATGGTTATGGCAGATTAACGAGCACTGAATGAATGAACAAATAAATGCAGTAATGTGATAGTTCGCATCAAATCGGGTATCTTGAATTTTCAAGTATCTGTTCCCAGCCGGAGTGAAAACGCCCGTGACTACTCTATGTTCATGATTATGGCTTTCCGCTACTAGTTTACAGATCATCCTCGTCTTGAGCGAGCATCTCTGCGTAGTCATCCGCGGAAGCGAACATGGGTAGGCTCTTGATAGCCTTCCTTCTCTTAGTGCGCTCCGATTCTGGTTTCTTCTCTTTCTCTTCCTCTCCCTCGTCCACAGGCGCCTTCTGGAGCTCCGAGTCCCCTTCGTCGTCATCATCATCCGAGTCATCCCAAAATTCGACTCCACCCTCTTCTTCATCTTCCGATCCATCATCCAACTCCGCCATCTCCTTCTCCAAATCTTGGTCATCATCGAGACTCATCAGGTCATCGAAATCGGCTTCGTCGTCAGACTCACCCTCGACCTCAGGGCGGGAAGCCACAAGCGCATCCCAAATCTCGTCTTCCGCAGCCTCCTCGGCATCTTCGCCCTCCGCGGCCTTGTCCTTCTTCGCCTTCTTGCGCTGGGCCTGTTCGGACTTACCAACCCTAGAGAAGTATTCATGGAAGAAGACGTCTTCTACGGCGACATCCTCACTCTTCTTATTCCAGAACTCTGCCGAGTTTAGGGAGCTTCCCGCTGCTTTAGCCGAAGGCTTGCTCGACAACAGGACGGAGCCCTGGCCGCTGGCAGCCACAGGCTGCATGATGGATACGCCCTTCGTCGAATCGACGGCCTTGGCGTTGCGGTACACGAATTTATCTAAGAAAGCTATGAGCGTGTGATTCGCTAACTCTGGCTTTTGAGCGGCTTTCCGTCCGCTTATTAGAGCCGACGCGAAAACATCCACGGAAGGATGATAATGCTTGAGGAATGGTAGTAGTTCCCATAAACAGCTGCGATGCGCATTGCTGTATTCGGGGTTTCTCTTTCGTCCATCATAAACACTATCAGCCTTCGTAGGTTGAGCTTCGGCCCCGCCGGTAAGTGTCTCGGCTGGGGCGTCTGAAGCCACACCAGGAATTACTTCGTCGTCATCGTATTCTTCCGGCTCATTGATTAATGTTTTAATGTCAGGGAAGGTGACGCAAAGGTCGATTATGAGATACATTATTCCGCAGACAAAAGAAGGCTGGTGCAAGTTTAAAACTTGTAACATCCTCTTGACAAATGCTTTTACGCGGCGGACATCCACGTCAGCCTTCAAGCTTCGATACAGCAGATTGAGGTAGAGGGCCTGCTTGGAAGAAGTGATGAGACGGGGGTCCAGAAGTGATTCGTACAGAGTGCGGTAGAATCTGTCCGTGGCAAGGTGTCGGTTAGCTGCCAGCTGTTGAATGAGCATAAGGGCTTGGATGCTCGTATTGAAGTTAGATGAATGTGTGATACGGAATAATGTATCCAGGTGAGACTCGAGACTGCGAAATATTAGTATGACCTCACTACGTTAAGTTAAGGGAATAACGAGACATACGTAGACTGCTCTGCTTGAGAAAATGGAACAGCTCGGTTTACCCCGGTGAGAATGGCCGATACAAGCTTTTCGGCAGCTTCTCGATCGCCTGAAGCAGCCTGGGCCTTGTCCTCAGGTTTCTTCACTGGCTTGGATTTTTGATAATGGCGCTTGCCTCCTTTAGGGGCATCGGGATTGTTATCAAGTTGGCTAAGCTCTCCGCTCTTTAGCAAAGAGACAAATAGCCCAAAATATATATTTAGCAGGGAGTCTGCAATTTGAGGTTCCTTCGTGCTGAGGATAGTCTGATTCAGTGTGTTGATGGCGTAGTACTTGGCTCGGATATGCTGGCCTGGTCTGAATATGATGTCCTGTTCGATACTGCGTATGACCACTTGCTTCATTCCAGGATGAGAGTTCAGGAGTTGAAGAATTAGGTAGGAGGCCCTCGAAGAAATTTTACGTTCGCGGTCGCCAAGCTTATTTACTAAAAGCCTAAGCAGGTTGGACTCCTGCTCGGGCTTGTCTCGCAACAAAGCATACGCCAGATCAACCGCCTTAGTACGAGCATACTCAACTTCATCATCACACCAAACCTCGAGGTTTTGAATCATCCTGAAATAAGACTCTTTCAACCAGTCTTCGAAAATCCACGATATTAAGTGCTCTTTGGTGATTTTTCCAGGCAGTTTTTGACCGGCGGACCAGGTTTTCACATTGTACTTCTGCAGAGTCCCAACGAGACCTAGCTGGGAAGAGAAGAGACGCAATCGCCTGTCGGACGGTAGAATCATTCCCGGCCCAAACAAGTCCACCAGAGCAGCTAGAGCAGCCAGGGCCTGCCCACGACTCCTTTTCGCCGAAAGACCAATGAGATTCTCGAGGGCTTTGATATTATGTATGGGGGACTCCTGGATTGCCAAAGTCAAGGCTGATACTTTATCCGACATCGTACCTGAAGACATGATAGTGGACATGAATCTGTGTGATGAGGACGCAGACAGTGTCTTGCTATATGCGACACTATCTTCGTCTAAGGTTGATTTGGCGTAGGCCTTTAACTCAGCTATAGCAGCCGCATAAGGAGTGATATCATCTGAAGATGGCGTCGGTAAAGTTCTTAAACTAACGGCGTGCCAGTCAGAACGAGGTTCAAATTTCTTAGATGACAATCAGTTAAGCTTTCACAAAGAATTTGACTTATAGAGATGCTTACTAACCGTCTTCCTTTTTGGATCTCGTATGGACTTCTCGTCACTTTTTATGACTGATGCGTCGTCATCTTCACCTTCATCGTCGCTGGCACCATCGGCTTCATTCATATCCTCATCCGCTCCCTCAGATTCGGATTCCGGTCTCACATCGTCAAACCCAAGACCAGCGGCAAATTTAGCCAACTCAGCTTGGAGACCCTTATCCTTGTTCTTTTGGCCCTTCCCATTATAAAGCTCCTCGTCGTCGGAGTTGGCATCTTCCACCAATTTTAGATCCTCCTCATCCCCACCGAGGGCCTTAATTTCATCCAAAAGGCTGCTAGACTCAACTTTCTTGGAAGCAACAACAGGCTTCTGTGTCTTTTTCGACTTCTTATCGTTCCTGCGGCCGTTCAGGTCGGATGTACTCTTCTTCTTATTCGGAGGTGGCTGGACAGGATCTATGGTTTCATCCAGTTTCCTTTTGCCTTGACCCTTTTTGCTCTGGGGTTGCTTGGAATCCGTAAGCTTGTTTTCGATCTTAGCCGTCAATTGCGACAGCGCTGCATCGTCGAAAGACGCCATTGAAACAACAATTTTGAAGCCTAAGCCTCTTCAATCGTTGTCAGGAGTTCGGTCGTGAGGAGGCTAAATTCGTGCTGTCGTAAGTTGAGGATAGGGAACATATCAGTCCTAAGTTTAAGGTGTGGTTTATCTAGCATTGAATGCGACAGGCCAAAGAAAATTTCAAATTCAGAGAGTAAAAAAGTTGGCGGGGCCGTGAATAGCGGGACTCATGTCTATCGACCAATAGATAAGGCACGATTACTTTACCTAGTACTTCGTAGCTTCCTGCATGGCCGGACATCCCTGCAATCTATCATTAATCCATGAATTTTCAAGTACCAGTCCTAAATATATGCACTGTATTTCACTGGATTATAGAAATTCATACTTCGTTATGTTTTCAACGTGAACGTATTTTCGGCTTAGGATTTGATACATATACCCTTGACAGTATTCTGCCCTAAAGTTCTAAAATCAGTTGAGCATGCCATAGCTAAGATGATACCCCTCTCCCGTATACCAAGGAGAAACCATGTATCTGCTTTTAAATGCTCGATGGTGTATGGCACTCGGCCTTACAGTGACCTACGAGGTCCAGTGAAATACAACCTGGTTCGAACAACCCCCTTCATTGAATATTATTAGAATTTGTATTAACGGTGTTGTTAGGATCAATTTCATAAACAGGATCCCTTCATCCGTCAGACTAGATTTGGGATCCCTGCATCTCAAGGGCTCCAAGCCCGTCATAATGAGAGTGTGTAGACTCAATTCTAATGGTTACTGGTGTCTCGTTATTCTAATATGTAAACTAGCTACTCACGACAAGTTAATGCGAGCCGGCTATCTACGCCAAGTAGGTATCTAGATCAGGGGTTACTCTAATTTCTTTATACTTGTCCTAACTCTTTATATTCAAGTCACACTCAGGGGTTCATCATATGCTTCCTCTAGGTCTAAGGGTTGAGGAAAAGTTGCAGGCGTTAATAGATAAGTATATGCTTCAGATAGGTAAGAATCACTTGATCCTACTACTGGCATTATTCGTTCTTTACTTACCTATGCAAAGGCGCGTCTAAGATGTCGCTATCGTCTATTTCTCGTCAGTCACTATGGGAAAAAACGAATCGGTTAGCGGGCTATGGCCAGGAGGTGAGCTAACAGAAATGATTCGGAAGTTGTGTTCATCCTGCTCATGGAATTTCTAGCTATTTCGCTTTCGTGATAGGAAAGACGCAGCCTTATTACTTGCGCCAACTCATGAAGAAGAGATAACGGCGCTTGTGTCGGAATCGTTTAATTCTTACAAACAACTTCCCCTGAAGCTTTATCAGATTGGTGAGCTACATTGAGTGTCTGCCTATGAACAATTTCTCACTTTAGCAGGTCGTAAATACCGCGATGAGTTTCGCCCACGGGCAGGACTTCTTCGGTCTAAGGAGTTCCTCATGAAGGATCTCTATACTTTCGATTACTCAGTCGAGTTAGCACTTTCTACCTATGAGGAAGCACGGGCTGCTTACTCCCGGCTTTTCGATGAGTTAAAGCTCCCAATTCTATGTGCAGAAGCTAGCTCTGGCGATATCGGAGGGGACAAAAGCCACGAATATCACCTTCCTTCCTCGCTTGGAGAGGATTTTGTGGTGAGATGCAGCAGCTGCGACTACGTCGCAAATGAAGAGGTTGCTTCTACACAGATTTCTCCCCCGGAAGACAACAAGGAGGATATCGATTGGAGCACCGTTAGTGTCTGGCGCGGTGTCTCCAAAGATAGAGAAACTCTCATCAACGTCTGGTATCCTGCTTCGTTCAAGGGCAGCGATATAAACACACACGCTATCAAAGCAGTCTTTCCCGAATTAGACTCAAGTCTTGACGACTCAATTCCCTTTTGGTCTTCTGCGCCTCCTAATTTAACTAAGCCTAGAGAAAGCTTACGAATAATGAATATCGTCGATTTTCGGCTTGGACCACATTTTACCGGAGCGATCGAAGCCAGGCTAAAGAGCTCATCTTCTAAACTAATAATACCTAAAGATAGTGACATCAACGTTTCTGATACTACTAATAGTTTCATTCTATCATCGGCGGATGGAAGTCTCCTCAACGTCATTCATATTCGTGATGGCGATACGTGTCCCCGCTGTGAGTCTGGAAAGCTAGACGTCCAAAAAGCAATCGAACTCGGACATACATTCTTTCTCGGAACGAAGTACTCTCAGGCACTCAACGCCAGCGTCGACGTACCTTCACACTTACTTGGAGACGAAGCCATGTCATCTAAACCAGGGGGCGTAACGCGAGTACACTATCAGATGGGTTGTCATGGTATTGGTGTATCTCGCATGATAGCTGCCATCGCAGACCATCTAGTCGACGAAAAGGGGCTCAATTGGCCGCGCGCCATTGCGCCTTTTGAAGTAGTACTTATTCCGAACGAACATTCGGAAGAAGACAACACCACCGTGCTACAACACCTAACAGAGCCAAATGGCCCCCAACCCTTCGATATAATGCTTGACGACCGTAACGGAACGATACCATGGAAACTCAAAGACGCTGATCTGATAGGATACCCAGTTATTGTACTCCTGGGTAAAAAATGGACGGCGAGTCGACTCGCAGAAGTTCAATGCAGAAGACTGAAAAGTAAGGAGTTCGTACCACTCGAAGATATTCGTGCGCATGTCGAAAAACTTCTTTCACAACTCTAGAAATATCTCAGGTAATATAGGGGATTTCGAGAACTTGCGTAGGTATTTTGCATGGAGGCTATTCGTTTTGGCTGAAGAATTGAGAGATAATTGACCAAAGAGATCTTTACGATTAAGCCAACCTGCACATGACCATCACGAGCCGTCCTCGTTATACGATAATTCCAAGTCAGCCAAAATCTCCCCTCGCCTTGGCGTCCAATAGTGGACGAATTCTGCCTTTGTTTTACGCGCCGAGCTGAAACTGGTACATGTTTCGATGAGGTGAAAACCCGTTTATATTCCGTAGAAGCGATTGTAATGAAAGCTACCAGCCACTTCATCATCCGAACCGTGATCATCAGGACTGCCAATCTAGGTACCTTCTACTATTTCCATGTATCATATCCGAGACTTACAACTTTCAATCCTAAGTGGTATGGCTTGCATGAGATCTGCACTCGCTCCTAAGACATTCCCGGTCCTCATGTATCATATTTTAATCTAAAACTGACAAAGCAAAGCACCCGCAAGAAAGGCTTACGAAAATTCAAAGCGCGAGAACGCGGGCATCCCCACACGCCTTTCCGTGCCACCCATCCTTCCGGATCGTCCGATTCGACAATATCCATATGTACGTAGGAAATTCTTCAGCGATAAAAGGTCCGTTAGAGAATTGTGGCTTTAGACCTGCGTCTGCTAGTCATTAAAATTGGTCTTGGCTCCGACCGTCGAACTTAATAGGTACCTAGACATAAGCGTCTTCGTCATGGCCGCGCCGGGGAACAAGTTCTTCATCCAGGAGAAGCTGAAGCTGACGGCGCCTCATCACGAGAGCTTCAAGGCGCTGTGGGAGACGAAATGGAAGATTCCGGTAATTTGCCTACCTACCTTGGATTTCCCCGTCAAGGGGTCCTCGGACTAATTCGCGGGAGTAGTGTAAGATGGGTATATACCCATTCATGTACGGCGCCATCGCCGATTTCCAACCCGTCGTCGACGCCATCGTCGCCAAGGGGCTAAAGAGACCCTACGACTGGGACGAGTACGCGCAATGTTTTTTCCCTACAGCAGAGGAACTCGTAGCCCACGCCAGAGCCGCCGAGGACGAAGGCGACAAGGAAAAGGCGTCGGAGTTGTACCTGTAAGCAGCGGTCCCCCTGCCCCCAAAGCAGGTAATTAAACATAGGTACCTACCTACTTACCTATATGACAGACGCGGCTCAGCCCTCTACCGCATCGCGCGCTTCCCCGCCCCGCGTTCCGAGAAACAGGTTTACGCGTGGGAAAAGGGCAAAGAAGCCGCGATCAAGGGGCTTAGTCTGGAGCGGTACCCCACGGCCGCCGTGGAGATCCCGCACGTCCACGCGGTTAACGGCGACGGGCCCACACTCCCCGGTTTCTTCCACTTACCTGCGTCGGCGTCTGCCTCGAGTAAGGTGCCGCTGGTCATCATATTCACGGGCCTCGACGGATACCGCACCGAGCTCTCGGTGTGGAAGACGGGGTGGGCGCAGTTGGGGTGCGCGACGCTGGTTGTTGAAATACCCGGCACCGGCGATAACCCCGGGGCACCGAATGATCCGGCGAGCCCGGATAGGGTGTGGAGTAGCTTGTTCGAGTGGGTGGCGCGGCAGGAGGGGATTGATCAGGGCCGTGTCATTAATTGGGGGTTTAGCACCGGGGGTTACTACTCGATACGCATGGCGCACACGCATGCTGATAAGCTGAAGGGCGTGGTGGCGCTGGGGGGCGGTGTGCATTATATGTTCGACCCGGAGTGGTTGGATGCTGTGGATGACTTGGAGTATCCTTTCGAGTGAGTTATCGGAGTTCTCTTAATTGTTGGGGTGGTGATGGGGAAGTCGAAGGGCTCTTGCTAATGACAATGTCTCGAAAGCCTAGCTCATACGCTCTGTCATAAATTCGGATACACGGATTTCGAGCAGTTCAAGAAGGAGGCACAGGACAAGTTCTCCCTGTTGAGGACTGGGATATTGGATAAGCCGTGTACGCGGCTCTTACTCGTTAATGGTACCGAAGACGAGATCTTCCCGATCGATGACTATTATCTGTGTCTGCTACACGGAGGTCCTAAAGAAGCTCGGTGAGTTCAATGCAAGCCCCTTTCTAATGCAAGGAACCTGTCTAATTATTCGATCTAGTTTTGTCCCGGGAACCAAGCACATGGGCGAACCTGAATCTTTTTCTATTATTTTGAAGTGGGTCTTTAAGCTGTTGGATATCGATGGAGATGTTGGTCGGTTTTTATCAACTATTCCATTCAAACCGAAGTACGAGGTATCGAGGTAGTTGGATACGCTCAGCTGGTGGTTGATAATACCCATCATCTTTTCGGAATTAGCCGATGCTATATGGAAAACAAATTTACTATTATAAGGCAATTCTCTAGTTATGGTGAATTATGAAATAAAAAAAGGAATTGTACGAATAGCGTGGAATATGTATTACTATCAGGACTTGAATGTTATTGGGGATTTATGGCTTGTATTGTACCTTTTTTCGGTATAGATTATATTCTCACCGAATGCCTCGGATCCCGACGGGCTGGTTCACCGTAGTGATCGGCGCGGGGCGGACTTGGGGGAGTGGATTGAAGGCGATAAGACAATACCTAGTCAGCCAGATGCATAGATGCCTAGCTTCCGATGGGCTCTAGTCGAAGCCAGGGATGTATGTCGACATTACTGTTAATGTGACCTTCCTTGATAGTGTAGTACATGGTATAAAAGAAAACGGGTAAGCTTGGGTACTATAAAGCTACCCATCTACCCCATTATAGGAGTTTGGCGATAAAACTGGGTAGATATTCAAGGTTATCTCATTATCATCCATACCAACAACTTGTTTACCCCGCTGTCGGCTAGGGTAATGAGATCCGAAGAAGACTCGAAATCCTCTAGTCGTCGGAAACCGACAGCGAGAGGATCTTGGTATTATTATAACCAAGATTCCAGCTGACTGCGGATTCTTTCTCGGTCCATTTTGTGACACTCGACGGTTAGGGTTATTGAAAAACCATATTACCAATGGCAGTTTTGAAGCTTGCAGTGAGCCTGCTGGCGACAACTTTAGGTACAACAGCGGCAATCACAAGGGTCGACCCTATTGTATCAATAAAGAATGGAAGTTATGAGGGTCTCTATCTCCCCGCTTTCGACCAGGACATCTTCCTCGGTATACCTTATGCTCAAGATACTGGCGGTGCAAACCGGTTCCGTATCCCGCAATCTCTGGACGAAACTTGGAACGATACGCGGGCAGCTAAAGCCTACGGACCTGGATGCCCAGATTATTATCTATCGGCTGAGGTCTTACACGGTATGAGTGAAAACTGCCTCAGTATCAATATCGTACGGCCGGCTGGAATACGACAGAATGGCAACGAGGCTCCGCTTCTCCCGGTCATGTTTTGGATCCATGGAGGAGCATATCAATATGGTGGCAGCGCACAGCCTCAGTATAACCTTACGTACTTGGTCCAGAAGTCAGTAGATATTGGCTTTCCTATAATAGGCGTCAGCCTCAACTACCGCAAGGGAGGATGGGGAAACATGTACTCGATCGAAATTCAGGCAAGGGGCAATCCTCCTCTTTATTTTTTTTTAGCAGGCTGACAAGAGGTTTTAGGGATCTGGAAATACAAACTTAGCATTACGAGACATGCGCCTAGCTTTAGCTTGGGTACAGGAGAACATTGGGAGTTTCGGCGGCAATGCTTCATCAGTGACAATATGGGGACAATCAGCCGGGTCATTTGCAGTTGTATGTCTGAGCTGAGTATAATGAGAATTTGACACGAGAACCGATGATAGCAAAGTACAACCGAAGCTAATGTGATTTTTCTCAACAGGGCCAACTCGTAATGAGCTACGGCGGACGGACAGATGGTCTTTTTCATCGGTCTATCCAGGAGAGCGGAAGTGCGACAACAGCTTGGTGTAATGGATCGGATTGGTACCAACCTATTTACAACAAGATCGTCGACCAAGTCAATTGTAGCTCGGCACCGGACACACTAGAGTGTTTGCGGACAATCGACTACGAGACCCTTTACCCCTTTTTAAATTCCTCGGCTATTCCCGGTCCAGGTTTCTATCCTACTGTTGGTAAGCATTGCTCTATTTGATTGCTTAGGATAAAGCATTCCAAGGCAAAAGTTAGTCTATGCAAGGTAACGGGAAATTGCTGACATACAACAGATGGTGATGTATTACCTAACTACCCATCAGAGCTCCTTCGAGCTGGACGCTTCGCACATATGCCGCATCTTTATGGAACAGTCTCCGACGAGGGTACCGATAACGCGCCACTAGGTATTAATACAGACGCGGAGTTGCATAATTATCTTTTGTACGGCGTGGGCTTTGGATTTCCCGCCGGGACCGTTGATCATATCCTGGAACTATACCCCGATGACCCGGCGCAAGGTGTTCCTGTGAACACAGGCGCAGAACGCTTTGCTGATAGAGGATGGCAGTATAAGCGCGTGGCAGCCATTGTCGGCGACATCTTCTATCATGGACCGCGGCGGTATGATGCGAAGCACTACGTCAAGTATTCGCCGACGTATATATATCGATTCAACACTCGGCCGTGGGAGAGCACGTCCTCTAATGCCACTATTTCCGGGGGCGGGGAGCTTGCGCCGGCGTACAAAGGCGTCGAGCACTTTAGCGAGGTAGCTTTCGTTTTTGCGAACCCGACAACGGTGGGGCCATGGCCCGAATACCGCAGACTGAGCAGCCAACTTAGCACCCAGTGGATCCGGTTTGCACATACAGGAAACCCAAACGGCCCAGGACTACCACACTGGCCGCAATATGACGAAGCAGAAAATGGCCTTAATCTGGTATTACAAACAGAAGCACAAGGAGGGTCGTACGTCGAAGATGACACATATCGGTTAGCTGGACGCGAGTACCTGACGCAGTGGTCTAGGAGAAGGCATGTATAAATCGTGAAGCGAATGCCCACGAACGAGGACCTATCTTAGCAGTCTGTATGGTATAAATATACCTACTCCGACGTGGTTTCGGCGATTTCAAAATGAGGCCTATTATTCGTGTTCGTAAATTAAGTGCGAAACACTTCATGACTTGGTTTTGTTATATGCAACCTTGACCTGCGTGGGTATTATCTGCAATATGGAGTGCTGATCTCATACTTGCTAAAATCCGAAGGCTAGGTACCTATGGATGATATGCGGGCGGCTTTTAAGCAAAGATATAACGATCCTGTAGTCCTATCAATGAAGCCGTTGTACGAGCCCGCCAACATGGAATATGCTCAATTGCGGTGAGCTGACGTCAAGCAAAGGCAACAGAGTCCTTATTGGAATCAATCACCTAGACAAATAGGCAGACGCTGACCGCTTGAGCATCAAACTGAGTATTGACTCATCGATGCTGAGATGATGGTTCTTATGATGGAAGTTGAGCCAAGTTGAAACGATGAAGGGTTTACCGGTAGGCAGCTAGGGTGTACAGACCTACTAAAAGCAACTAAGAAAGTCTCACAATTTTAGGCAAGACTGCTAGGTGGTACCTATGCTTACTACCCTAGCTGCCCAGTTAGAAGCACCAAGTCACAAGACTTCGCGACTGCGCTGCTGCGTCAACCCCTCGGCCCCTGCGTTCCTCCACTATAACCCCTCTTGCCACTCCATAACCTTTTCTTTAACTTTTCAAAACTCAGAAACATCCTTGTCTTCCCAGGCACCAGTCGCGCTAGATGCCTTCAGCTCTTCAGTAGCGCGTTATTAACCGAGGGTAGTTGCGAATGGTCTCTTGCCAACATGGCGCTATCCAATTCATCAATCTCTATATGCCTGTAAGCATCGTAATACCTCAGGAGACTTTTGATCTGTTAACCTTCCTTATTGGCGAGTCTGCCTAGTCTTGACGATCAACCTGCCTACATCGAGATCCATACCGACCTCTTAGTCTAATGTTCTCACAACGAATATAAACCATTTATAACCTCCAGCTTCATTTCTATCAAGTGTAGTTTTCTCTCATGCATGTCTTGACTTAATTGACTTGACACATCTCATATTCTCATATTTCTGTCTTCTTACCGTCTTAAATTCTCTTATACTGTTACCGTTCTCCTTAACTACTTCACGTCCCCTAGACTCCTTTACAAGATACTTCGTTATTTGTGTCAAGCTCAGCTGAAATCGAACACGATGGCCGTCTCAGCCCTTCCGAAGCTGCCCGTGGCTCACGATGTGTTGGCAAATTACATCGCCAACCATCCCAAGACTCCGGTGAGAGAATTGATGGATCCTTATCGCAAATTTGAAGCCCAACTGCGTGAGATGTACGCACAGGAACGCAACAATCCCGTCTTAGACGACCCTTATGTCAATGTCCTACCCCTTTTCACTAAGGATACCCCAAATATTAAGACCCGTGCGCGTAACCTTGAAGCAGAATCGCCCAGCGAAAAGGAGAAGTACATCATGTCTCTTCCCGACGATAAGCGGCGCCCTAACGACTCACCCGCTGTCGTATCTTCTCTCAAGGAGTTTCGACACAACTTCGGCGTCTTTTCAGAATCGTCTCTTGTTGAAATGAACTGGAGCAATGTCATTGCTGCTGGTTCGTCTGTCGTCAACTGTCTTCTTCCCGTTCCAGATCAATACAAGAAGTCTAAGAGGGCTCTTCGTAACTACTATCACGAAAAGTTCTGCCCGGCTTCTGACGTTGATTTATTCTTGTACGGTCTTAGCGAAGAGCAGGCTGTTGAAAAGATCAAAGAAATTGAAGCTCGGATCCGTGATGCGATCCTCTCCGAGGTCACAGTGGTCCGAACTAAGAATGCCATCACAATTTGTAAGTGTGAATTGTATTAATACGTCCGAAGGCTACCATCTAACTTGATTGTAAATAGGCAGCCAATATCCCACTCGCCATGTCCAGGTATGAACCAATTCATCTTGCTCATCGTCTTTTCTATTAACGCATTTCAGATTGTTCTCCGAGTATACAAATCAATCTCTGAAATATTGACTGGATTTGATATTGATTGTTCTGGTGCTGCTTATGATGGAAGCCAAGTCTACTGCACTCCACGAGCTTTGGCTTCGTATATCACCCAGATCAACCCTATTGATCTCACGCGGAGAAGTCCATCATATGAGAACCGTCTTTCGAAGTATAGCCACCGAAATTTCGAGGTTTACTGGCAGGAGCTTGATAGATCTCGTATTGATCCTACTATCTTCGAACGTAGTTTCCATAGGACTCTTGGACTTGCCCGCTTGCTCGTCCTAGAACGTTTACCGACTACGAACGCTAGAGATGAATATCTCAGGAAGCGCCGAGAGGAACGTGGAAGGCCACAGTTGGATAATCGGTTTCAGTATCGCATCCGGGGAAATATCAAGGACATCCACGAAGATGAGGTGGCAGATTGGGTCGACGAAAGCGAAGTCTCAAACTACCATACCTTCAGTATTCCGTATGGCGAAAAGTTCCACGCCAAGAAGATTGAAAAGCTTTGCTATACGAAAGACTTGCGTAAGTAAACGCCTTTTTTTGTGGCTATTGAATGATTTTCTTTAATCGGGTTGTTAACCAAGATTAGTTCTAAACGCCGAATGGAACCAACCTAAGGAGAGGGAAGTTTACTTGCATAGACACCCTGCTTTCTTTGGACGAGTCGAAGATGTAAGTTACCGTGTCATTAATTTTACAAGCCGAACACGACTCTAATGCTTTCAAGGTAATCGGCGACTGTTGTGGCACCTGCCCAAAGCCGCACACAGCTGAAGAATTTGAAGTGTTCGAGAAAGAGAGTGCGATCTATGTATCAGGGAAAGTCACCTTTCGTATCGACGATCCAGGCAGACAGGTAAGCATCCTTAATCACATAAATTCGGTATGATTCTAATGATTTTATAGCAAATTGGTTCGTTCAACCCTCTTACGGATGATGACTGGACTGAGATGGCATATGTTGGCAACACTGCTCGCTTATGCCAGGCAATTGTCGATGGAGATATCGAGCATGTCGAAGATTGGCTTTCGCAAGAAGGTGCCGACCCTAACAAGAGGGATTACACTGGCAGAACCCCTCTACATCTTGCCGTTATCAGCTCAACACCTCAGGTAGTCAAGTGCCTAGTTGACCGCGGTGCACGCCTTGTCTCTCGCTTAGCCGATGGCCGAAGTGCACTTCACCTAGCTGCAGCGCGTGGCGATGTTGAAATGGTCAGGATTCTACTCGAGAAAAGCGAATCGAATGAAGAAGATGAGGAAGAAAAGCAAGACCAACGCCGCAAAGCTCGTTCTACAGTGAACAATGGTAATGAAGTGGACAAAATTGACCAGAAGGCCACTGCTACTAAGTCCGACAATAAACCTGATGATGAGGATTCGGAAGCAGACTTGGTTAGCGATGCTTCTTCTGAGGATGGCAATGATGCAATATCTATCGCTACTGGATCATTTGTCAAAATCGGCAAAGATGGTGAAACTGAGGAGAAGGATGCAGCGATCCTCGATGAAGATACGAGTGAGCCGGACTTCTACAAGGTCGACGCTGTCGCATGGGATTCCAAGTGCAGCGCTCTGCACTATGCTATCGTTGGGGGCCATTGCGAAGTTGTCAAACTCCTTTGCCAGGAGTTTGGTTCTGATGTGATATCGCCTGTTAAGATTGGTGATGGATCATATTCAAGCCCTAACGTGGCGATATTAACAATGGTCTTGGCCCTTGCTCTCCCTGTTGAGAAAGCCCTACGCATGGCAGAGACATTACTAAGCCTGGGCGCAACATCTTCGCAAGCCGATGCGGATAGCATCACTGCATTTCATCGATATATCCAAAGTGGGCCACCTGAGTTGGTTGAGTGCTTATGGAATAAGGACAAGATCGGTGTCAAGGCGGCCCTTAACCATGTATCCGTCACAGGCTCATTCTACAGCAGTGAAGTTACAACTCCACTGTCGACAGCTATCGACAATGGCGACCCGATACTTGTCCTCAAGCTTCTTGAGGCGGGAGCGAAACCCCAGATTGACTTTGACTCATGGTTGAAGGGTGCCAAGTTTGCCTTTGAAGGTCAGCTTCGCGTAAGTTTACCCCTAATAGTTTTTTTTGCTCATTATTCATATCCAACTTCTTAAAACAACCTAAGTGCCTATTTAAGGCCTTGGTAGTATAACAGGCGCCCTCTCAACGATACAATCACTAACTTTTTTTTAAAAAAAATTAATAGGATTACGAAAACAACGTCGCACGTTACAAGGATGCTACTGAACAGCCATTGGTAATAGCTATCAAGTCACTGCATCCTTCCAATGCTATCGAATTGTTAGAGAGGGGGGCTGACCCGAACACGCTGACCCGAGCGAGCCACAACGTCATTTCGAATGACTGGTCTCGAAAATATCACAAGGGTCGATCTGTTCTCGACGTCGTCCATGATTTACTCAAGGAATATTGGGATTTTAGGAATAATTTGACTGGTACACCCGAAACTGGACGGAAGCCAGGATTCTATGCTCCTAAGAAGGGAATATATGTTGAACGACCAGCAGAGCCCTTTGGAACTACTGAGTTCCTTTCAAAGTTCACCGAGGGCACTTACACACACTATCTCGTTTCCACCGACATCGCAGATCGAACCAATAACTACAAGAAGCAGCTGGAGAAGTTTGAGAAAGAACAAGCTGAGTCTGTTGCCGAGGAAGAATTAACAGAGATGGACGAAACCACCCAAGATCTCATCTCGCAACTTGAAAGAGTACTGGAACTTCTCGTATCTAAAGGTGCGAAAACTTTTAGGGAACAGTACCCTGACATACAAGATCCCCCCGAATCTCCAAAGGAGTCATCTGAAGACCGCTCCTCATTACCGTATACTCTGGAAATCAAATTTCCCCACGCCACAGATGTCACCGACGCACGGAAGGATGCATACATTAGACTGTAAGTGTATCTCAATACTTCATATTTCCTTTTGACATTGCTAAAAAAAATTTGAAGCTTTGAAGCAGCATGGACAGGCGATCTCGAAGTGATCAAATCACTCACCTTAGCTTCGTGGGGTGTAGATGGACAAGAATCGCCTCTCAAGATGGCAGTGTCCGATATGAAAGGCAACAATCCGTTCTCACTTGCATTTCTTCGCGGTCATTATGAGGTATCGAAAGCAATTCTGGAGATTGCACAGGCACAGTGGGCGCCGAAATCAGATAAGACCACTCGCTTCACAATGAATAAGGATGTTAATGACGAATATTATTCCTGCGAGGAATCTGAGTCTGATGACGGCGATGAGGTTGAAGTATATAAGAGGGTCATCGATGACCAATTCACGATTGAAAATGTTGGTCAGGTCTCTACGCAAGTTAAAAGCCAAGTTCTTGCTAGTGCACTCCTCGATTGGGAGGTGCCCACGTTTGTGTCGTGCGATGGCTCGTTCAAGGCGAAGGAGAGGAAGACTCTACTTCAATTCGTCATATCTGAGAATGACGCTAAGGGCTTCGACTTCTTGATCAATTTAAATGTCCACTTCGCTCGTGAGGAGCCTGTTGGGGATGATAATGATGAAGAGAACCGATTTTACATGTTCCCTCAGCGCTACTTCGATCACGCTTTGTGGCTTGGGCGAACAGAGATGCTTGCTAGTGTCATTCGACGAATCGGCGCAGGAATTCCTATCGAAGACTTAGTGAAGAAAAGCGGTACGGAACTCAATGTGAAGCCTCGCTACTACCAAGGTTTGAGCGTTTATGGGAAGAAGAGGTCGGATTGGGCTAAGGCTGGCCGCAATCTTGTAGTTAAAGCCACCGGAAGCAAGATCCCGCCCTTGCTTTCAGCTGCTCTCCAGGGCTCGTTGGAATCTATCGAGTGGTTTGTCAGCGACACACCAATGCGACACTATGTGGAGTTTGGAAAATCCAAGGTTGCCAAGGAGGATGTTCGCCTGAAGCATCTAACTGAAGCGTCTGGTGGATTTGATCGAGCGATTTCCAAATGGCTCGGTGTTCAGAGTAAGTACATTGATCTCTATTTCGCTAATTGGATGCATCTTTCGCTAACCGCTATTAGATGATCTTGTTATTCACTGCGCAGTAATGGGACCCAGGGGGGAGAAGACCAATAAACTCATCGAGTACCTGATCAAGGTTTGCCCATCATCTTTCGAGGCAAAGTCAGATGAAGGATACACCCCTCTATATCTAGCTTGCCTGCTCGGAAGAGTCCAGTTCGCAAAGACACTTATCAATGCCGGAGCCGACCAGTCAGTGAAGGATAAGGATTTCAACAATGTAATCCACGCTGCCTTGACGAACAATCCCGAGCCCGAGCGACTCCGAGAGCTCCTAGATCTTCTTGATAAGGATCTAAGATCTCATATGTTCCTCCAACGAAATAATCTCACTCGCGGTGGTGATACACCTCTCCACTTTTGGCTCAAGGAGGCTAATCCAGTGCAATACTGTTGGAATTACTGTCGAGGCTACAACACTTCTCGCCGCGAGCTCCAGGACGAGAATACTGCTAACATCAAGATTCTCAAAGTAATCTTAGAACTCTCCGGCGGTGCAGAGCTCGAGACCCTCAATGGTGCCGGTGACACAATTCTCCACACCGCAGTTCTTCGTCATCTTGCGGGTCACGTCCGAGTGCTCGTCTCCCAAAATCCCAACGTTCTTTACCGCGAAAATGCGGTTGGCCGAACTCCCGGCGAGATAGCCTATGATTTCTTCATCAACTCTAATGTAGTCGACATAGAACCCGTCGTGGTTAGGCTTGATACGGGGAATGGGAATATAAAAACCGTATTGCTCAAGAAGAAAGGCTTTTCTAGAGATAAAGAATCAACCGACTCTATCGGACAGAACCGCAAAGAGCACACTTGGCAAATCATTGAGGAACAGCTCGGTAAGGCCGAGGGCAAGCGTCGCCTGGTCAGCCTCAACGAGGCAAACGACGTGGCCAAGCGGCTAGGCGAGAGCTACTCCTGGCAGCGGTACTTCCAGAAGCGCAGAACTGCCGACGACGAACAAGAGGTGGAGGAGCAGCGAGGGAAGGATGATGAAAAAGAGGTCGACTTCGTCACGACTGAGTATAGGCTTTTCCGCGACACCGCATGGATAGATGAGAAGGAAGACGGCGAGCGAGACTAGGTTCTTAACGGTATTCTGCGGTTGCTTTCAGTGATGTTACGAGTGATTTTATTAGAGATGCTATGGATTTTGGAAGTGGATCTGGGAGCGACGAAGGAAATAACGACGAGCTTACGTTTTCTTATGTAAATTCAGCTGCAGCTCTTTGCTTAACGGGAAACAAATTGGCAATGCATGGAAATTTGTAAACATACTCTACGCTTCGGAGAAAGTATACAACGCAATCAGGTACCTAGGTAGATAGGCAAGTAAACGAACGACATGGTTCGTCATTTCAATGGAATGATTGATCGGTATAATCTACTATCAGTGTATAAATAGATTGAAAACTTTTAATACCCATTTCTAACGCCAGAAACCCATTGTGTTCTACCATTGCTCAGGTAAATAGACTGAACAGTCTGTTCGTATAAGGTGCAGAGATAGGAAAGAAATTTCAACCCCTAGAATTAAATCTCGTGCACAAATGCTTCGTTTTTAGCCTTCTGTGTGCTCTCGTCGGCTGAACCGTCTTGGTTGGTTGAGGGGCGGTTTGCAATTAGGCGCTGCGTTCAGTTAGTACCTATGCACCGAATATTCATTCCCGGGTTCAACAACATACCACTAAGTTCCTCAGCAACACGGCGATGGTGACTTTTCCAACTGAAGGCACATAGATCGAAGCCTTCTCCTTAATAGCCGGGCCATCGAAGTTCCTGTAGGAAGAAAAGTTGATGCAAACAGTTCCATCACGGATAAGCTCCGTTGGCACCTTGTAGCTCTCCACGGGAACGCCACCGATAATAACGTCACTAATGGGTATGCATTGCTCCAACGCCCATCCTTCCTTCTCCTGGACTTGGTGGCGCGGCTGCTTGATACCCTGGCCACGAGTGAAGAGCTGAACTCCAGTCAAATCTACGGAATATACGGTGGCGCCGTCATTAGCGAGAAGAGCAGCTAGTGGCCGGCCGTTAACCTCCGAGCGGTTGATAACGGTGATAGTCCTCCCGAAGAGACGGTTTCCATAAGGCAGGATGGAATTGTAGATTTGGAGATATTCTAGGATCTTGACCACGGCTAGCGGGGTGCAAGGGAGAATAGACTTCTTCAGGTTTTGCGGAGGATCCAAGAACCTGATATTGTAATACATGTTGTAGATGTGTTTATGGCAAAGGCCCTCGACATCCTTGGCAAGTGACACGGTCTCCTGGACGTAACGGTCATGGGCAGGATTGCCAGGGAATATGGGATAGTAGACGATGATACCATCAACCTTGTCGTCCTCATTGGCGCTTACGATCTCTTCTTCCAGTTTATCTTTGTCTACTTGGCGCAAGTCGAAAGTGAAGCCGCTAATTTACTCAGTAAGCGATTTATTCTAGCGTGCAAATGCAATTACAAATTTCTTACTTTTCTTCACAAGTCTTCTTTGACCACTCGGCATACTTGACAGCTGCGGGATCATCATTTGCTAGAAACGCCACGAGTGTTGGTTGAGTCTCGGGATTTTTCTGGATGGATTTTAATGTCTCCTTCACTTCAGCGAGGAGGCCCTTAGCAATGGTGTCTGCTAATATGACCTTGCAGGTCTTTGGCACGTCTTGAGAAGACATCTTTCGACAAAGATTTGATTTCGACTGAATTCAATTAGTTAGTGAATTTTCTATAAATACAAGATTTTGATTTTTTAAAATTGTTAGATTACAGTAGCACATGAGGTATAAAATTTTGTGAGAAGTATAATATCGCTATTGTACGGGTAACATCCAAACGCTAAAAGAATGCAAGGCGAGAGTGAATTTTTAACGTACCTGCCCCTCTGCAATTGCCCCGCGATTGCGATAAAAAAGACGCGGTAGGGGCAACGACAGCGTGTGTACACTAACGTAAGCTGTGTTACGAGAAAGAGAATTTTCCACTATACAACAACGACAGGAGTGTAATAGACTATGTGAAGGAATGATTGAATATATGAAAGAAGAGAATGAAAAACGAGTGACTAAACGTAAGTTAATGAATCTCATCACCATACATCCCGCGTCGCTAACAACTTTTGAGCTCAAGTTTTTTTTCCGTCCCTTTTTTCCTCTGTCCCATCGGAAAACCCCACCATACTAGCATAATTGACTTTTAAACCCCTGTCAATTACCTGGTAAAAATTGGCTGCCCCTCTTACTGTTTTGGGAACATTATCTAAACTGCGGGGCATTTCGTCATTTGAGGAAAGTGCATACATCCATAATGTAACTATTCTGATTTTTTATAACATTTATTCAACGTTCAACATCAGACGAGGCATCTTTCTAATATTTCTCTTAGAAGTAAACAACACCCTGAAAATTGAATAAGAAGGGACGCACCCCTGTTCACCTTCGTGGAATAGGGTCACCCTAACGGCGAAAATGGCGAGCGTCAAATTTGAGGATCTTGCCCTGCAATATGTTCTCGCAGATGAGAACGACCAGGAACGGGAAATATCAGAGAAGGCCGCTAAAGGTGAATATCCGTAACGCCACACAATTCACGGTAGACATTGAATGATTATTAACATTTCCCCTTAGCCATTGAAGAAGCTACAAATACCCGAATAGCCCTTGGTCAATGGGTCGCTTCTATAAATCGTTGGATTCAACCAAGCGATGATACTGCTGCCGATGACAACATTATCGCACGGGCCAAAGCATTAGATTTCCTCGCAGCCACTCTTGGCGTTCTCAGAAAGAAGGATGTTTCTTTTAAAGCCGATCAGATTAAGCTTCTGGTCACTTTCTTCGGCTCCCTCTTCTCAAGCGATCACCGGGCTGGTGTCACTGCTTCCGCAAAGGCTTTAAGGCACCTAATTCGCATGAAATCATTCCAACCAAATTTAGGAGATGATATAATTACAAGCGTCTGTAGACTAGGTGAAGACTTCAAATTACAGACCCCTGCGACACGCCTAGAGCTTTATGATTTATTTCTAGAGCTCCTCCAAGATCCTGCCGTGGCCAACGACCTCGAATACCGGCATGGAAACACGTGCGGATTTATAACCAGCCTACTAGACCTATGCAGTAACGAGAGAGATCCCCAGAATTTAATGAAATGGTTTCAGATCCTAGGGATATTCCTCCAGAACTTTTCACCTTCGGAGGACGTTATACTAGAAGTTTTCAAGACCTTTTCCGCCTATTTCCCTATTTCTCTACGAGCAACCGCAGCTCCATCAGGCATTACATCTGATGATCTAAAAAGCGCTGTACGCTCGTGTTTCGCTTCTCATCATCGCGTCGCCAGCTACGCAATACCCTATCTCCTTAATAAGCTTGACCAGGGTGATGCAGTCACAGTTGCTGTCAAGGTTGATATTTTGCAAACAATCAACGCTTGTGTGGTACAATATGAGCATCCAAAGCAAAGTGTTGTGCCGTTCGTTGACCAAATATGGAGCTCGCTTAAATATGAAGTCCGAAATGGCGAGATCCCTGATACTATCAAGGCCACTTTGACAGTCATACGGTCGATAACTACTCGACTTGACGATGATGAACTTCGCTCGTTCTTATCAAGTGCCTGGAGAGATCTAGTCGATGATCTATCCAATCCCACTTACATCGCCCAGGCTGGTCGATTGTTAGTAGCAATTGCCGGAGCTGGCTTCCAGTCATTTTCGATGATCACATCCCAGGCCATTCCCAGCATCCAGACCGCACTCAAACAGACCCAATCTTCGAACCATAAGCAGGAACTTATCACACTATTGAATTCGATCCTTGCTGTACGATCACTTCTGGTCAACACTTTGAAGGACAATACGAGTGTTGACAGGAGCACTGGCCTGTTGAAAGACGATGTTTTTGGCGACTACCTCTTTTCTGCGGTTTATCTTCCCCTTTGGGATGAAGTCTCAGATGGCAAAGAGTCTGTTGAACAAATAGGCATCCTAAAGAAGATTATGGAAGGATTTGCGGTCCTGGTAGGGCAGCAATCCAGTAACACCACTCCGTCTCATCAATTATGTTCAGCCTCAACTTGCGAGAAGATCTTTGGATGGTTGGCAGGCCCGTCTATCGTTAACCCCTTAGAAAGCAGACAATTCAGCGAGGGGATTACCGACGAAGACGCCAACCGAGAAATCCGTGATTCTGCGGTTGCGGCATTGAAGGAGGCAGTGCCTTTGTATCCTCCTTCATTCCGGATATTACTGCAACAATACCTTACGTCACTTACGAAATCATATTGGCACCATCTTGCCCCGCATGACCTTCCTTTAGAGATCAAACTTGTTGCTAGTACACTATGCGACGTTGGTTGTTTAGGTCTACCAGGAAAACAGTTATCGCTGTCAAATGTGGTTTCATTGATCAACGTACTATTAGAGGCACTATTCTGGATGGTATCTAAACAAGCGCCACCGAAATACTGGACACCGTTCATCTGTTCCATCCACCTATGCATTATCCAGTCTTTGGATTCACTGTCCAACCAAGCAGATAATTCTTCCAAATTAAAGCCACAAGGAATTACGAAGGACTGGTTCATCGAATTTACCAAGAAGATTGTGGATGCCGGAGCTCCTCAGCTTGATTTGAACAAGGCGGAGGCATCTGGTCTGGTAGCATCCCTAGTAGGGCAAGAGACCGAAGGCTCTAACACTCGCAAGCAATTATTGGCATACTCTGTCTTCGTTGTACGGCAGCTATACCGACGCTTTACATCCGTCCATCATGGGTCTGACAAGAGTACCGGTGACCAGCCGCCCATAGCACTTGGAAAAGACTTTGGTGCTAGACATGTTTCTATCGCAGACGAAGATGTCTGCATTCACCAACTTGGTCTTTTGGCCACATCTGTTGTACGAGCCTTGAATGAAGATGAACAGAAAGCCTTGGAAATCGGCAAAGACGCTTTCACTCTCTTCAATGAATTTGGGGAGGATGGTGTTGTTCCTGAAAGAGATTTGTCCGCTAAACTTGCCGGAGTGAGCCTGTTGGACGATCTTCGTACAGTACCGTTATCAATGGGTATCCTACAAGGTCTCTACCCTGGCGTGATAAGCCCGGAGGTGAGTGTGATTTATCTATTCATTCCAAAGCCCAGATGTACTAATCGTGTTCCTAGCATCACCTTTACGCCCTGAAAAACCTTTGCACTATCTTGACATCTACACCAGAGCCTTGTCTGGATACGACGCGAGCTGCGTTAGATATAAGTCTTGCGATCTTGTCGAACAAGCTTCGTATTGAAGATAAGGTCAATAGCCAAGCGAAAGTACAAATTCAGCAAACCTTGGTGGATACCTTGACGAGCATCTTGAACAAGGAGTCGAGATCTAAACTGGATGCATCCACTGACATCTGCACATTCCGCAGCATCCTCTACTTCTTGGCTGGCGACGTGGCTCGATTCCGAAGCAGCCCCCCGGAGCAGAATGTCTTACTTAAGATGGTGTGTGATAAAGTACCTTTAGAGCCTACCTTAGGCCGACAATTAGCAAGCAATTTTCAAGTCCTTGTCAGCCCGAAGGAGTGTTTAGAGAAGGCGAATCACGCAATCCAAAAAAGACTAAGTGGCGAATGGTTGTATTTCCAAGCCGTTCAGCCTTATTTAAAGGAATGCTTCCCTAATTCTGGGCTGAACGAGACGGTTACTATCAATCGTGCCGTGGCCATATTTGCGGTACTGAAGCATTTGAAATACGAACAGTATGCTAGTGACATCGGCCAGATTGTGCGGGTTGGCATTCGCTCATTATCTACCTTCGACACGGGTATCGAAATGGAGTCCTGTCTCAGCGTCCTGCTACAGATCCTTGAGAAGGAACCCATCCAACTGAGGGAGCATCTACCCGGCCTAATCTCAGGTATAATTATTGCCTACGAGACGGCGAAAAAGAAACCCAAAGCTACGGAGTCCGAGTGGTATCCTACAGCAAAGGCGCAGGAGAAGGGACGTGTGTTATGCCGAAAGTTCGCACTGGAGTTCTTTCAGAAGCTGCCTCGGACGTACGAGGCGCAATATCTCGTGCCCCATAGACAGAAACTCCTACGCCCCTTGTCTACGGCCTGCGGAGATTCGGTTAGGGAGATTCGACGCACGGCACTAGCGGCTAGGATAGCTTGGGATGCACTAGCTTAGAACACTCTAGGTTGTGATTCTGGATTTTATTAGGTTGCCAGATAGGATGTTGGATGTGGTAAAGATAATCGCTCACGCGAGAGGTTAGGGGATACGTTGAGGAAACTTGAGGAACACTTCATGGGTCGCATTTACCTAGCTATGCGGACTTTATGACTGCTTAGCAAAGATAGGGGCACCGTTTATGGACTAGATGGTAGCTGACGTAGGTAAAAATAAAAATGACAGAAAGACACTCATCCATAGGTATTCATGTAATTCGAAAATGTGGTATCATGTTCATTATGCACGAAAAAAACCATGCCTAAACTATTTTCTTGCTTGTGAATCACGCCTTTCTACGCTTCGACTTCTTGCCTGCTGTGGAGTCCTCGGCCCCGGTAGAGGCGGCCTGGGAAGCAGCAATGGCGTCTAGAACATCCGCGTCTAGGTTGCTGAAGTCGGCCGTGGTCGCGGAGGCAGCGGCTTGGGCGCGCTTAGGATCGGCCTTTGCGATTAAGGGTACGGAGGTCGCGAACATGGTCTGGAAGGGACGCGCGATGAAGTGGCCTTGCGAGTCGAACCATTCGGTGAAGGAGCGCGCTAGCTCGATTGTTGTTGGGGTGCCTTTCTTCGGTGTGCTGGTGATTTTGAGGTTGTAGGTTGGGATGTTCTTTTTCGTGGAGGTGGATATGGAGAGCTGTGGTTTAGTTAGTATGATGTCTTTCGGGGTGGAGGTAGAGGTAGAGGTAGAATGGGGGGATGTGTACTTTCGATCCGTCGGGCGCTATGCCCTGGTATATGGTTCCCTTCTCCACGAAGCCGATCCAGTACGTCAAGACCCCATTAAGTATCGCGTACAAGGCGACGGCGCCAGCGGTGTAGTATTTGGTGCTCTCGAACCCTAGCTTATAGTCCCATAGGAAACAGGCGGCGGCGACGGCGAAGGCGCCATACCCGAGGGCTAGCCGGGTATCAAGGAGGCTGTTGTCCTGCTTGAAGCCGAGGGAGTTGAGGTAGTTCGGGATCGCATCGTCGGATGTGTTTTTTAGGTCTAGGTGGGTTGGTTAGTTTGGTATTCGAAGTAGAATTTTAAGGGAGAGGAAGGCGAACCCGCTAGGTTGTGGACGGCAATTCGTTCTTGAGAGGCCATTGTTGAAGTTTATTGTCTGATATGCTAGAGTAATGGGTTGGGAAGTTGCATTGGCGTCGGTCCTGCAAGAAAGTTGTCGACTTGAATTAGGATCATTGAAGCCACCTAAGCAGTGAAGCTGTCAGCTATTGGATGTAACTAGGTACCTGTAGTAGCCAATAGAAATAGTTATTGGAGTGGGTCGCTTTAAAGTTCAGCCCTGTACCGAGCTAGTGTAACGTCAATCTGAACCTATCATCAGTCAGCAAATAGCTCAAGCTCCAACGTTCTTCATTCTATCTTTCTATTCACAGCCGATTTCTTATCCGAGTCGTCCTCAAGGGAGAAGGGACAAACACATCTTTCGAGATGACTCAATTACCGCCCCAGACGATCCATAGGGATCCTCAGCTTTTGTAAGTGTTGTTAATTAGGATTAGGATAATGTGCGATCATCGCTAATCATGGTAATGTAGTTACTGGATCCTACTCCCGATTACTGTTGTTATGATCTTAACTGGCGTCTTGCGATACTATGCCACCGTTCTCATGCAAACACCCCCTAAACAGCTCGATGAAAAGTCTTTGAAAGAACAGCGATCCTTAATGCATGGTATTGCCGTGCGCAGCAACTATCATGTCTTATCTGCACCATCCTTCCGCGCGCGACGGGACTACCTTACCAATGCTTACGAGTCCGGCGCATTTCTAAAAGACCCCGATCGACGCGGCCAGCCTCCCCCTAACCCGATGACCGACCCTGGTGCCATGGATGGCATGATGGGTATGATGAAGAACAATATGGCTATGATGATTCCCAACACCTTGATCATGAGTTGGATCAACGCTTTCTTCAGCGGTTTCGTCATCATTAAGCTGCCATTCCCTATTACTATTAAGTTTAAGAGTATGCTACAAGCTGGCGTTGCAACCAAGGAGATGGATCCCAGGTGGATGTCGAGTATCAGTTGGTACTTCTTATGTTACTTTGGCCTGCAATTCGTCTTCAACTTCTTGCTTGGTAACGAAAATGGTAAGTTTCCTTGAGGTCATATCGGCTTCGATATATCCATATGCTGATCTTGTGATAGCTGCGAATCAGATGGCCCAGCAGATGGCGGGAATGGGGGCTCAGAATCCTCAAATGTTCGGTCCCGGCGTTGACCCTGACAAGCAATTTAAGACCGAAGCAGAAAACCTTGCAGTAGTCGAGCATTACTCGATTTTGGATGACGTAGAGGATCGATTGCTCGAGGGTATCAAGTCTAAATAAACAGGACTGGGTAGTAGGTAGCTTAATCAGCTAGACCTCAATGCAAATAGCTTTTCCAACCAAAACGCCGTCCCGTGCCAAATAGGTACAGTCTATCAAATAGATGCACCCATGATTATTCCCACCAAAGACAAACTCCGAGCCCCTCTTTCATCATGGACCCGTCGATGTGGTAAGGGGATGACTTCTTCGCCTTGTCTATGGTTTCTTGATCCGAGTTATCCGGTCTCTGATCATGCCATGACTCATCCAGTACCTGAAATCGGACCATCTCGTTATTGTCGTAATACATCGGATCACTTTCAGGATCGAAGACCCACGTCCATGCCTTCTCATTTTGGTTGCTAGAGAGTAGTTAGTTTCCATAAAAGTTGGATGTTTGTATATATCCCCCGGTACTTACTATAGGGTGTTCTCGGGTAGCTCCTTGAACGGGACGAAGATATCTTCGAAGAAATCGGTACGAACTGAGGTTACATTAGTGACCTTGCTTCCTCCCTTTAGAGATTGTAGGAAGCACATACTTGTGATACCAGTTTCATCGGCTTCGGTGATCCTCCCAAACATGACCTCACCCTTGAAAGGTCTAAACACAATCACACGAAACTCGACTAGATATAATAGTTAGCGATATGTTATGAACGGGAAGAGGGAAAAGCAGGGGGTCACAAAGCTATTAAATCAATAGAACATACCATTAACATTCACCATCCCGTCCCCATGACCGATGAGACCCTCTGAAGCCCATAACAGGTCATACATGCAGATGCAGAGCCCGATCTTTTGAATTACTCGGTTTGAATACTTGGAGTTGATGGCGTCTTCGATAGCAATATGGCTGGGCTTTTCAAATTGGTCCGGTCTGATCTGGACTAGATCGGCTATCTTCGTCTATGTTTTTTTGTTAGCGATAAAAGAATATTATGTCTATGGACTGGTTCTTTTTGAAGTAACTTACCAAGATAAACATCTTGTCGATGAGATTGCTTCGAATATTTCACTATAAAATCATGTGTATTATGATTTGGATTTCAATACACTCAACTGCGCCTGTACTATGTAGATGCTACTTTTTTGGCGGCCAAATTGAAATCGAAGTAAAATGTGGGGAACATTTGCCGACAGCTGCCCAGGTGTTCCAGATCCACTGCGGCTGAAGCGCATCGATGGATCATTTATTTTCCAGCGCCGTAAAGCGCTAGTGAGCTAGAACTGGAACATTATTTAAGCATGCGCTAGCACCGCGCTAAAACTCGGATCGCGTTTGCATAAGAAAACTTACAGGGGTCATTTGTAAACCTTGAAAAAATACATGCACGCTGTGCACGCAGAACCACACAACGACACAACATAGACTTTGATCATCTTCCACGTCGTAATCATTTCCATTTCCATTTTCATTCCCACTTGCGATTTCATTCTTAAACCACCTTTTCCAAACTGTCTTCCTACTTCGAGACGTTTTCTCCATCTTCGTATTGCTTTTGACTAAATCAGACTCGGGTTTTATTCCTTTTCAAAAACGTAGCATTTACGAAGATTCTGGAATACATTAATTGAATTGTCATTCCGGAAAGGCTAGCAACGTCTAGCTGGCGGTGAGCTTTCCTTTTCCTTTCACCCTTCCATTTCTTATCTACCATTTAACATTCTCTAACAATTCATCATCCAGTACTCTTCAATCTACTGAATTCCCTACTTATTTCCCGATATTGAAACTTGAATCTTGAAACTCGAACTCTTTCAAAATGAGCAACTATCCCTACGCGCCCCCTCCGCCAGCTCCTTCGGCGGCTTCTCCAAGCCCATATCCTCCCTATAGTCAAGGGCCAGGGTATACCCATTCAGCTCCTCGCGGCGGCCATGCCGCCGCAACGAGCGGTGGTAGAAGTCATGGTCATCATCAACACCAAGGACCTGGTCGCAGCGAATATGGTTCATCTTATTATCAACAGGACTACTCGTCTCCTAGTGGCGGTCCTTACAACCCTCCTCAACCGGCTAGCTACTGGCAAGGAGCTCCATCCTCAGGTCACGGCCATTCCAACGGCTCGTCGATCCCCCCTAACTACCCCCCCAGTTACGCAACCCAAGGTTACCCACAGCCTACTCAATCTTATCAAGCACCGTATCCTAGTCAGCCCACTCGTCCTCCTTATGGCGGTGTCCCGTATGGTCAAGCACCTAGTGAGTATGCGCAACCTCCGCAGCAGTGGGGTGATCATGGTCAAGCATATCCTTCCTACCCAAGCCGCGGTGGACGTGGCGGGTATCCGAGTGACCGAAGTGGTCCTCTACGCAACCCCTATCCTCCTGCGCATCACCAGCCGGCTCCTCTACAACCGCCGTACGGGTATCCCCCGACTACTGCCCCAACATTTCCCGGGCCTCCTCAGCCTCACTATGGATCTAGCAACAGAGGTCATGGTCGTGGTGGCCATACTCACTCTAGCAGAGGAGCTCATGGTATCGGTAATGATCGGGGCGAGAAGTTTCGTCACCGTGATCAGAAACCTCACTTGACCCTTAACTATCAGAAGTCTGATCCTGCTTCTGGAAAGAAGAAGAAGCGCAAGACCAACACATTGGGACTAACCCCCGATGATGATGATTCCGACAAAGGTGGAGAAGTTGTAGATGACGAGAAGCGTCTTGCGGAGCTATTTGGCTCTGATGGTCCAGGGTAAGCCTTTTTTTCTATTTTTTTTCTTTTAAATTCACTGTGTTTCCTTTACTAACATTCGGTTACATAGCATCCCTGATGGGGATTTAGAAAAGTGGTTGGCAGAACGACGGGCTAATTTCCCAACCAAGGCGCGTGTTGCGCAGAAGGAGGCAGAGTTGCACTCACAGCTCGCAAATCACGCTAGCAACGGAAAGGAACCAGTAGCTGTCCAAGTTGACCCAGTCGAGAAAGAAGCCGATCGCCTACGCAAGAGACTCGCCAAACTTGATAGAAAGATCGAGAAGCGCAAACGTGCGCCTAACGACGAAGGCGATGACATGAGATCCGAGTCTTCGGACGAGGAGTCCGAAGACGATAAGCCCGAGGCCTTGCCGACTGATAAGTCAGCTACTGGATTCTTGCCTCCTCCCCCCATTACGCGAGCCGACCCCTCTAACCACTGCAAATACTACTCTACGGGAGGTATCTGTGGTAAGAAGGGCAAGTGCCGTTTTGTACATGATCCAGCCGTTCGTGAGGCTGCCCTCCAAGAGAGGACAAGAAATGGTGGTCAGATGACGCTTAAGCAACGCCTCCTCCTGAATGACAAGGATCAGGACGATATGGAGGTGATAAAGACTATTGTGGACATGCGCTGTAATGGTCGTTTGCACAATCCTCAGAATTTGCCTTCGTTTTCTCAAGTCGACGATCAAGCCAAGGAGATGGTTGGCGCTCCAATGGTTTCTTCGTTACCTACCACTGGTGGAGAGGCTAACCTTCCTCCCAATCCCTATGCGCACCTGAAGAACCGCAAGCCGCTTAAGAAACATAACGATTGGGCGTCCGCAGGCCAGCACCAAGGGTGGAATCCTCCTAGCTACGGAGGCGCAGGCATGCCACCTAAGTAGTTGCCGCCGTCACATTACTCTGGGAGAGCTTAACTTTCCTACCGATCTGGTTCGCCGTTTGCGGTGTCACGCACAACAATATTCATCAATGTGATGAATCAACGTCCACTAAAATGGTGCCATGTGGCACGCGACAGCTTATTTGCGCCTTTCGGATTAGTATCCCCCAGGGACTCGGGAAGGCTGAGTCTATTAATTTATTACATGTGCGACTTCAGGTTATCACTTTCAGACGTCATTTGAACAAATTCGCTATCGTCGCTCGTCTTGCCAAGTAGTGGTAGATACACAGCGCTTGATTTTATGCCGTTCATCATTCGTTTCTTTGCTACTCCCTTTCCCCGTTCGACCTAGAAGCGCAACCCAGTCCAGACTTCCAACAATCCACAATTATTCATCTTTAATAATGCTTCGACCTCCTAGTACGGTGGGCGAGTTTCGCGATATCCTCATTAAATTGGCTTGAATTTTTTTTGCTATCATGATCCATGCTGGCGTTCGGTGGGCGGTGGACGTTGGCGTAGGTAAAGGTATAGGCAGGCTTGCAAGGTCAAGCAAGGACGGTAAAAGGGGCATGAAATAGAAGGCGCTCTGATCCCAGATTGACCTTATTACGGATAGACGTAAGTGTGAGCTCGGAATTATGGACAGAATCGTATAGACTGTACTAATAGCTACATTGCTGTTCTCTTGATGTTATGTGACCGTCCTGCGTGAGGTGGGAATTTTTGCCTCTGTATTTTGGCTCATGATATGGAAATAGATATAGCTAACATTGAAAATTCCTTGTATTTCGACCATACTATGGGTATTATATCAGGTAGTCGTTTTACTTAAATCACAGGGTTGTATGTATCTAGATTATTGGCATTTGTATATTTTGGTACTAGATTTATGATTCCTTTTTCATACCTTGCCCCTATAACTTCCTTTCCATTCATCGATTCTCTTGGCATCTCCCGACAGGCATATACAGCAAAAACACCGGACGCCGTTTAATGCATGATAGGTACCATCGCCCATCGCTCTGTCTGCCCCTTGGTGAAATGATCTTCATAGACGTCTGATATCGGGTTCGAAATTCGGATATGGTAGGTGTCCGTCCCCGTTGGCCTCGACATCTCTCCATGTAGAATCGGCTAGTCAAATAGGCAAGGTTTAGGGCCTGTTTCTAATCGTTCGCGCCGAAGGAAGAAAGAAAACCCTTCCTTTCTTCCCCGTGCCCCCCTTTTCCTATTTTCCGCTCATTCCCTAACACACCCACCCCATAGTTATGGTATATACATCCAACTTCGTGAGAAATTCACAGGTATAGGCTGTAGATAAGAGCGACTTAAACAAGCAGTACAGCGTTGACGCAGCCGTCGTTCTCGCAGTTGTTCGTGATCTGGGCGTAGCGGCCCCAGGCGACCTTGCCGCCGGCGGTGACGAGCCCGAGCTCGGACACGTTGACTTCGATGATGGTTCCCTTGCTCAGCACGCCGAGCTGTGTGTACAGCGGCTGCTGCGGGTTCTTCTTCACGCTGATGATAGGGAGTTGTAGCGTTACGCCTAGCTCTGGGTGGGTTACGTTGGCTTTTTTGTATCTGGTTGGAGGATTAGTAAGAGTTGGTGGTTGGTTTGATAGGGGGAGAGTGTGAATGGACATACCGTAATCCCATAGGTCGGATAAACCTCTCGTACTTGACCGGCCGTCTCGTGAAATCCGGTCCGACGAACGTCGGCTTGGTAACCATACGCTTCCAGCTCTTCTTATGCGTCTTCTTGCCCGTGCTCACTACCTTGAACATCTCCTCTTCGCTGATACCCCTCACCTTCGGCAGCGGCACGGCGAACTTGGCGGCCTTCTCGGCGCGCTTGTTCTTGATGGCGGAACTCAACGCCTTGGCGGAGGTCGGGTTCGACCGGTCGAGCAGGTAGTTTGGCAGCGGTGTCTTGGGGTCGTTCTCGGCGGCCGATTTCACGTTGCGCTCCTCGTGCGCCTTGATCTGCTTGCGCATCTGGATCTTCTCCTTGTGTCGCTTAGCCTGGTGCAGCTTCGCTCGCAGACCACGCAGGTTCTGCGCATCCTTCGAGGCCTTGTGGCCTTCTCGGGCCTCGCGCTTGCGCACGCGCTCTTCGTGGTCGAGACGTCGGCCGTGCGTCTTGCGGAAACGCTCCATGTACTCATTTTGAGGCTGGTGATAGATGTTAGTATCGCTGGCTTATTTTTTTGGGAGAGGTTGGAGGTCTTACCATGATGAATTGATTGTGCCCTCGAAAGGGACTTCGGGATTAGATATGTAGGGTCCTTTATAATCAATTCCAAATCTAAGGCGCTCGCAAACCGGTATTGATAATTGCGAGGATGTACACTTGATCTGTCTAAAGTCGGTGGATAGCAGCAAAAAAAGTTACAGTGGAGGTTCGTTATCGATCGGCGACCCGCCACTATCAAAATTTCTAATTGAACGTCCAAGCTCCAGCCACACAAATACCGCACTAAAGCCACCCGTAAAGCCGCAGCGGAAAAACCAGCGCCCCACTTTAACATTTCGATTCTCAACTTCGTCGTTAATCTTCCAAATATCCCGATCCGAGGTCTCGATAGACATCCTCAGCGGCGATCTAAAGGCCACCGGTTCGGCCGATTCTACACCGGATGAACTCTACCCCTTCCATCCCAAAACCGAGATAAACAAAACACCAAATCGAGAGAATCAGATAAGAAAAAAAGGAAACCCCCCAAAATGAGCCGCTCACTCCTCCGCACCGCCCTGGAGCTGCGCACGCCCATAACCCGGCTCCCACCACCCTTCCTCCTCCCTCTCCGCGCCCGCGCCTTCAGCAGCACCCCCGAAAAGCGCACCATCGAGCCCGCCACCCCCGCAAGCGAACCCAACCCACGCGGGCTCCCCATAACGCCCACCCGCCGCGGTCCACCCCCGCCCCCGCCTCCCTCAACACAGGGCCCATCCCCCATAACCTCGCCCTCGGTCGCAGAGCTATTCCCACTGCTCCGCGCGCAGCCCTCGCACTACATCACGGTGCACATCCACGAGCGGCCCTACCTCGTCACAGAAGGCGACCGCGTTCGTCTGCCCTTCCTAATGCACGGGGTTCTGCCGGGGGATATCCTGCGCCTGGATCGCGCGTCTACGATCGGTTCGCGGGACTACACGTTGTTGGGCCAGCCGTACATCGATTCCGGGTTGTTTGAATGTCGGGCTACCGTTCTGGGCGTGGAGAGCGAGCCGTTGCGCGTCAAGATCAAGACGAAGCGCCGCAATCGACGGTCGCAGAGGGTCACGAGTAAGCATCGGTATACGATTTTGAGGATTAGCGAGTTGAAGCTTTTGGGGCCGACTTAAAATGGGATGGGATGGGATGGGATGGGTTGGGGGGAAGGGGACCCTGGGGCTTGCTTGGCTGGATGGGAGATTGGTAGATGGGGGAAGAGGGGCTGGGGGTTAGATTCTTCTCTCTATCAAGATCTATGTGTCTGGTCATCGGGATGGACGATTGAGATGTTGCCTTGACGGCTGGTGAAATGGGGAAGACATATCTCTACGCCACAGAATGACAAGCTTGTGAATAACTCGACAAGCTTCGTGTATAAAACGCCAATCCTAGTACCAAGAAACGGACGATGGATACCTAGATATGTACGTGGTGCCCATAGCTCGATACAGAATACACATGTACTATACGTCTCAACATGTTATGCACTAAAATTGTCAAGTTACGTGAGCCATGAAAATGATCGACAAGTCTTTTCATTATAAATATGTAAGCTCGATAAGCTTTCTGTACTCGTAAAAACGCCGAATAAAGCAACAACGGCGTAAAATTCGTAAACGCTATAAACAAAAACAACATCAGCGGGCAGAACAGAAATCCTGCCGGCCACATAGGTATAAAAATCCACCCCATTCGTCCGTCGGTATCAATATGTAAGCGTAAAAAGTGTAAGGTAGGTTAGGTAGGTAGGTAGTATGATAACGTTTGTGCAGTGATGACAGCGTCTTTCTAAGCCAGAAACAGGTAAAAAACGAAGTTTTGCTCTTCCCCCTCCGTCCATTCAAACGCCCCCCTTATCCTGAACTCCGTGGCTAATTGGGTACGTAAATAAGCATGAGCAGAAGAACGTCAGGGATATTTTCGATGGCAGTAAAAAAGGACAATGGCCTCCTAAGCAAGGTAAAGAGAGAAAGGAACAGAAAACGAGAAAAAAAGGTGAATCCAACACGGGATTTATGCAATCCCCGTCAATGATTATCCATCCACGAACCGGCTCCTTATACAAAGAGGCAACCGTCTCCGTCTTCCCTCCTCTTACTATTCAACCGTCATTTAGACTTTTTTTCTTCCCCATTCGTAAATCGTAGTTATTAGGTATATTTTTCCCCACCTCCTTTCCGACTATGGTTTCGGAACCTCTCCCGGACCAGCGTTACTACCTCGCCTCCGGTGAACCAGAACCCCTCGAACCGATTTCCCTACCCACAGCCTTCGCGACGCTTCCCCAGTAGGCCTGTGGCCAGACGCTCAGGGATTCGGCCTCAGTAGGCATGCGCTCGCGGCAGCGCGTCACGACGCTCTGTATGATCCTACCGAGGAGCTCTTCCGTGATGGGCAAGGTGCCCTCTGGCGCTTCGACGGGGTATAGGAACGGGTCTGTCCTCGACAGAAGCTCCTCGCATGTGGGGCGTAGGTGTTGTTCGCGGGTGAGGCAGCGCCTCATGGTCCTTATTAGGGAAGGAGGCACGGGCGCTCCTCCGATTCCGCGATCGCGGAACTCGATGTCGTATTGCCAGTTGATGATGGCATGGCAACGGGCCATCGGGTTCGGGATGTGGCCGAATGGTGGTGTGCCGTATACCATCTGAAACAAGATGCAGCCCAAACTCCAGATATCGCTCGGTTTGCCGAGCTTCATGAGCTTGGGGCGGGGAGGATTGGAGATGGAACTGATGCGGTGGCCCGCAGCGTCGGTCGCGTTGGAATCGATCAAGCTTTCCGGACTCATATAGTTGGGTGTACCAATCTGGGTCTCGCGGTGTACATTAACGGTCTCGTCCGTCTGGATCGCGTTGGCGATGCCGAAGTCGATGAGCTTCAGGCGGCCTTGTACGACTACAAAGTTGGCCGGTTTCAAATCCGAGTGCACGATATTATGGGCGTGGACTGATGCCAGGCACTCGAGCATCTCTTGCCAGTAGTACCGGACGAAGACCGGATCGAACTTGGCGTTCTCGGGCGAGACCCGCAGACGGAGGAGCGTGTTAAAGTCCAACTCGCCCATCTCCATAAGCTAGATAAAGAACAACTAGTTAGCAAGGGCACCATACTATCAAGAGACCCAAATAGTAGAAGTGTATAAAACTTACTAAACTGAGGACCTGCTTTTCTTCGTTCATCTCATAGTCGTATAGAGTAACAACTCGTTCTACGTTATTCAGCTTCTTGAGAAGATTAATCTCGCCCTTGTAGCCTCGAACGGTGTTTTCGTCAGCGCCTTCAATAGAGACACGCTTCAACGCAAACATTTTGCCGTTATCGGCTGCTACGCGATACACCTTTCCACTTCCTCCACGGCCCAGAGAGTCGAGTCTTGTGTAGCATTTACCGTTAACCTTCATATAGTTCCGTCGCTTCGCAGCCCCAACGGTAGTCGCGGCTCCGGCTGTGGACGTGGCGGCTTCGAGCATAGACATCTTGGGCGGAGGTGCTGGCGCTGCCCGACGAGGCGTATTTTGATTCAGGGAACCTAAAGCCTTGCGCTCGGGAGAGGTAGGACGTAAGGCGCTCGAAGGTACCTCAGCAGCACTCATAGGACGGGCAGACATGGCAGAAACCCTGGGTAGATCTTTATCTAACTTTTCCAGGAAGCTGTTCACAGCTGGCTTATTCCTTCTGAAAGTTGGAGGTGCCTCGTTTTCCTGGTCGTTTTTCGCGGGAAGTTCTGGCTTTGGGGGTGGGATCCGATAATGGGGGATAATAATCTCATCATGGTCAGGAGAAGCTTGGCGCGATCGTGGAGCTCGACCGTTTTCTTCTGCGGATGATAAATCCCTCCTGTGTGATGCCCTCCCAGAGCTCCTGGAGCTAACAGGGCTCCCCGAAGCTAGACGATCAGGTACATAATATGACGAGGCCAGATTGTCTCCTTGCTCGTAATCGTTTGCGTCCCGAGGTTGCTGTCCATCCGGTTCCTGGCCGGATTGAAGTGGCTCTCCTTCGTTTTCAGCATCCTCCTCGCTCTGTCTCCTTCGTCCTCGACGCGCCGGGCCGCTGAGAAAGCTGCCGGGAACTTTCCCTACCCTCTTGACGCGCATTGAGCTCTGTACGCCTTGGTTGTCTTCGTGTCTACTTCTATATCCGTTAGAGCCTGGCCTAGAGGCGCTACCCGGATTAGAAGATCCAGTTTGTCGGGGAGCAGTTCGTGGAACATCAGGTATATCATTTTCATCAGATTGCACGGCGTGAGAATGGAAAGAGGATGCGAGATCAGTTGGTCTTGAGGACTGAGCTGAAGAACCCGAGCGACCCCTACCACCCGATGAACTGACAGCAATCCTGACCACTCTTCCCTGTTGAGCCGGCGTATTTAGATCCTTGTCCTTCAGTTCGGATGCATTAGCTTTCTCCTCAGCCATGCTACTGTCAGCTCGACTAGGAGGTCGATTTCCATTCCGCGAGGCTGTGAGCGACGTGGATGTTGACCTTCTCTTTGCGGGTTTAATTTGGGAGGCAGAGGCGGAGGCGGAGGCCGAGTTTCCCGATGCCGCGCTTAGTCGAACCACCCGTTTCCTTACAGGACTGCTTTCTCTACTAGGTTGACTCCTAACAGGTGAAGACTGTCGCGATGGAATTTGTGCGCTACTAGCACGAGTATGTCTCCTCTCTTCCCCATTTGATGTTACTGATGAACCCAACACGCTGCGTCTCTTGATAGGCTTTTCTGGCTCAGCGCGAGCCGGCGACGAAGGTCGATGGCTCTGGCCTCGGGTTCTAAGAACGCGTCCATTATCCCTCTCTGGTTCAGGTCCTTCGTCGTTGAGAAGAGCTTTCGTGAGAGCACTGAGCTTCATAGGCACAGGTATCTCGTCATCGGAGCTGTCATTTCCGGCGAATTGCGACTTAGAACCATGAGCTGCAGATACTGGATTCGATTCGGCGCGACTTATTTGTGGTCTTCTTAATCCAGATCTGAGAGACGATTTTCTTGATACTATGGCAGATTGGTGACCGGAGGCTGCAGCCGCCGGTAATGCGGAGGCCATTACGAGGTATACTGTTGGTTTATTGTATGGTATATGTACACGTTATGGGGTTTGAAAAAACAAAAAGAGCGGAAGCTCAAGCGGATAAAGCGCGTCGAATTGGCGAATTAGTCGTGGTTGTCGAATTAATCGATGTTTTACGTGTCGAATCCGGTCATTGTCCAAAACATTTGTAAATCTAATGGTAATGGAAAAGATTCAAAAGAATGGGGTGCGAAATGCAAAAGTAATTGGCGCGTTCATGGATGTATCCGGAAAAGGTCGTGGGATGCTTGGATGGTTGAGATGCTTAGGATGCTTGGGATGCTTGAACTCCCCCTGGTTCAAATGATTCAAATTGTTCAAAGATTGGCCGAAGATTGTTTTTTATTGGTTCAATTCAATTAGCGTCCTTTTTTTCGTTTTTTACCCCGTTGCTAGGAGCAACAGAAACATTCCATGTCCCGGTAACCAATCAGATGGCGTATTAGAGTTAGGCTAGTTAGGCTAATTCCATATCGACAATGCTAAGATTACCTAACTGTGGAACTATGTTTATGCACATACTGTACGCACATAAACCCCCACATAAACAACTTGACTGTTTGCATAAAACTCTGTTTCTCTCACATGCCCCTCCCAGCAAACCAGCCAAAAACGACTACGGCATTCGAGCTAGGGAATGACGACCGTTAGATACGTATAATTCTAATTTTTATTAGCTAGTCATTCCACGAGCATTGTCGGCATGGCCGGCCGGGGATAATTTGGATATGCGTACTTTGTACTAGGTCATCCTTTGGCAATTCATAATTCTAGACAACTACTGTAGCTTATTTAACCTTGTAACGATTTCAAAACCTGTAGACAATGTACACCAACATACCTAATATAAATATAACATTCATAAAGTCAGCATTCATCAAAGCATTTTCAGGATATCACGAGCAAATTTCACCATATCAATTCCCGGAGAGAGGATGCGCATAGTCATCTGGAGAAGTAGGACTGTATTCGCCTTTGCCTTAACCATTTCTGGATACCCTAATCGGTCAAACGCATACCGTTGCGCGCCGAAAACCATGCAAGACCGCCACAGCCCATTTTTGTGCCACTCCCCCAGAAACCCATGATTTCGTTGCGTTAAACACGTACGAAATCCGTTTAGTCGAAGAGACCGAATCCCATGTCGTCGTCGGATTCCTCCTTCTCTGTACGTGTATGTTAGTATACCTGAGCACGAGGGAAAGTATGGATTCTGAATCATACCCTCTTCCTTCTCTTCCTCCTTCTCCTCGGCAGCGGCAGCACCACCAGCGGCGGCACCGCCAGCAGCAGCGCCACCACCGGAACCACCAGAGGGAACGGAGGCGAGCTTGCTTGAGCCCTCAGCGATCAACTATAAATTTGTGTCAGTTTATGCCACTATCTCTTCACTCGGTCACAGTGCCAGGTCGCCGTACCTCGTTGATGTCCTTGCCCTTGAGCTCGGAGATGAGAGTCTCGAGACGGTCATCATCAGCCTCGATACCGACGGAGTCGAGGACCTCCTTGATGTCGGAAGCGGAGGGAGAGGCGTTGCCGGCAAGGCCGAGAAGAAGGTAAGCTGCGAGGTGCTTCATTTTTGCTGATTTTTTCTTTAAAAAATGTCTTCGGTTAGTTATTGTGGTTTCTTGCGCAAGTATATTTTTGCGACGAGCGGGGAGGGGTCCGATGTAAGATTGGCAACTTGACAGCGTCGCAACGTCTTGGTATACAGAGCTCTTGAGAGTAGAATAAACTTACGAGATATGTGAAGAACACGAGTAATCAATCGATTTAACCGCGATTTGAGGCGGAGACTGAGACTTCGAGTTCTGTGGGAAGTTCGGTGTGACGAGGTTGAAAGATGTAAATTGTGACTGTTCGGCCAGAAGAAAAGTTCTAATTCCTTTAGATTTTCGGTGCGGCTAGAATTGACTGTGGGCAAAAAGATGGAGAATGGATTCTCGCCTATCACCTGATTAGGGTCGTCTTGGATGTGATGAGATCTACCAATGAAAAGTATTGTATTTACCCCACTAAGGTTGTGGCTTTGCTTTCCAGCTAGCAGCCACATGTCCCTTCCCTGCATTCCCTGATGGCGAATGAAAGTGCTGAAATGACGTAGCTCAGCCACATCAGCACCCTTCCAACTGGCCAGGCTCTGGCCGGGGTAAGAAAAGTGAAATTTAATCAGGCTCATAGACGTGTAAGTACCTTTGTACTCAGTACGATTCGTAGAAACGGAACGGCACGAGACTTTCTTTTTGTCCAGACCAGACCAAAGCAGACAACTGCCAACTGCCAACTGCCAAACTTCTTATCATCACCACTTAGTACTTTACCACTTAACTTCCGAACAACTCCATAGATACCCGCATTCCTTTGTTGAGAGACTCCCCGCCGCTTTCGTTGATCGTGTTTCTGAAATACATGACTTCGACTTTTTGCTATTCGAATCGGCAAACACGATCATCTTAACCACAATCTCATCATCTTTTTTTTTTCAGGTCGCATCAGGTCGAGGACGGGACTCATCGCCTATCCATGACACAGCCCACCAACATATGACGCCTCGGGCACTCTGAATGCTCCTGACGGCAACTACAACGTATCCTAAAGGCTCTACCATATCTAGCCGACAGCGAGTCTTATCAAGATGCCTGTACGTGTCATTTTTTCATTCGTGATTATTGATTATTTTGCTCCTAACTCTTTGCGCAAACAGATCGGTGATCTCCTCGCCGAGATTTCTGGCGATAATCCATCCTCTGCCCCGACACCGAAGACACCTGCATCGTCAAATCTCAAGCGCAAAGCAGAAGATGATTCACAAAGTGCGACGTCGGTCAAGCTTGTCAAGTCACGACAACAGGATGGCTCTTATTCAGCAAATAAGGTCGTACGCGAAGTGAAGAATGAGCCTATCGATCGAACAAAGACTACCACGTCCACGTCATCGAAGCCTTCATCCCTCCCTCACCGTACAAATTCACCGGCAACGAACGGCCGCTACGAACCTCCTGTGCCAACTGGACCGCGTGTAATAGGTTCATCGTCAAACGGCAGACCAACACCTGGATCCAACACAACCCAGCCGAGGTCATCCACAAGTACTGCTATTCGACCAAAGCTGAGTTCAGCTTCTCTAGCAGCCGCTGCCAAGGCCCCTCTTGCTAGATCATCACCTACCACGCCTACCTCTTCCGATCCGTCAAAACCACCGAAGAAGGGATCATACGCAGAGATCATGGAACGCGCAAAGAAGGCTCAGGCAAAGATCGTGCCAGGAAAGGTTGGTGTGATTCAACACAGAGCTATTGAGAAGAATCGACCTGTGAAGCCGGAACCAAAGTCTGGTATGGCAAAGAACGCGAATGGGAAAACATACTCCGGAAGCGCCCGACCATCTTCTGCAAATCGTGGAGTGCCCAGAGCTGGAATGGCATCTTCTGATGGTCGGAACGGTGCTTCGAAGAATGTGGGTGGTAACACTAGTACTAAGGCCCGGCACGGTTCGCTCGGTGGTGAAGCGGAGAAGAAACTCAAGAAAGCTGCCACAGCCACTACAGGCTATACTGGAACTGCTCGTCCTCGCCCCGGTGCAACATCAGGAAAGTCATCATCATCTAAGAAGGGGCCATCTTACAAGGCTGGTGGTCTTCTTGCACCTCCTCGATCTAATCGACGAGACAAGTATGAAGATGAGTACGACGACGATCTGGACGATTTCATCGAATATGACGATGACGAAGACCCTGATCCTCGACACTACGATTATGCATCGGATGGTTCGAGTGACATGGAAGCCGGCCTGTCAGACATTGACGTCGAGGAGCGACGAGCCGAGGTACTAGCACGTGAGGAGGACAAGAGGGAGCAAGCCCTAGAAGAAAAGCTCAGGCGTGAGAAGGAGGAACGACGACGACGCCTCAACGGAGGCCGATGAACTCGCCTCCAATACTCTCTTCTTGTTGCTCTGCGGATGACCAAGGTTATTCAACGCAGACAATAGTGACGTCTTCGGCCTAGTTTTCTAGTTACAATCACGGTTCGTGTACCTAGACGGAAATTGCATGGAAAAAGGCGTTTTATGATTTTCACACCCGCAGGGCTAAAAACCCGGAAGCAACGGCGTTCTTCATGCATAGTTGTGAGGTCAGGTCATCAAAGGGAGTGAGTGGTGCGTTGGCTTGTACTTAATTCCAGCATAGCACAGCTTTTAGGTGCCCTTGCAGGAAAATTTTTTGCAAGAATTCCGAGCTTTGTACATTCTCAGAAGGTTTAGATGATAATTTGTAGTTATTACTTGCTTGTGTCTTAACAACTAGTTCTAGAGTTAATGGTAGATTCGTTTATCTAAGTCGTCTTTAAGTTATTGGTGACTGGAACTGTTTCGTATGAAACCCGTGGTAGGGGGAATAGTCAAGAACCAAAACTTCAACGTAAGCCTGTCAATAGGATCAAGTGAAGAGGGAAATGATAATACAGAAAGGAAGACAAACGTAGGATAACCAAAAGAAACTCCTAGTTTATTCTATGGCTTTTAGTTAATCCTTTAGGCATTTGTATTCCTAACCCCCTTTCCAAGGTTAATCTGAAGCTTTCTATACCGATCTAGAACGACTCTTAATCAAATTCAACAGTGGCTATAAAGCACCTACTAGACAGACAACAGTCAATGGATTTCTTCTTTTAGCCGAAGAACTAAATGGAATACTGTTTGTGCGGCTCTACGTTGTCTTGATAAATCTGTCTTCCACAGTGTTCAGTCTTGAATCGAACTTGTAGTACAAATGGTTGAGGTAAAGGAAAGGAAACAGACAGCAAACAAAAAGATTACGAAACAGCAAGGCAATTGCTCAAGCAAATACAACTTGCAATCATATCCTGTTTATTTTCCTATTACCCCTCTGCACCTAGTATATGAAGTTGCCTCCCCCATCCTCATGTAACTTTTCTCTTCTACCTACAAGGTAGCGTTGAGGGTTTACATCGAAGAATCATGACGGCTATTCCAATTACTTTTTTTATCTTAGCAAACCCTACTCCTTCTACATCTCACCCCGATATTATATCTAAACATACCCTTTCACGCCTTATCGCACAATACTATGATCGATCCTGTATCGTTTCGTGTTAGGTACAAGTGAATATAGGCAGAACAAGTCACCATGAAAATTCTCGAAGTTAAAATCATGCCTATAAATTCCGGCAAATGCAATATGCCCAACAACGGCGCGGGCGTCTCTGCTGACTAAACCCCCGGTTCTCATGCGCCACACTGACCGGCCTTGGCGGTTAGCCGCTCGTTGCTCCGTTTTGGCCTCCGTGCTCTAGCCCCACCCAAGAAACCGTTTTGAAGGAATATAGAGCGACCGATCGAGTTCGTCCCGCTCCGAGTGACGCTGCTTTCTACTTGACGGCTCCCTGGTGTCCACTCCGCCATGGCTCGAAGCGCCCGGATTGTAGGACTCTAACTAAACAACATGGGATGCCTCGCAACCCTGCTCTGTGAGGGAGTGTGACCTTAAGCAAGGCACTACTCTCTAGCAAATCCTAGAAAGCACTTTATGGGCATTATATTTTGGGATGCTTCACAGAGTTTAATGGATTCGATAGTTATCGCAATGAATGAACATGACAAAGATGGACGGGCGCGTGGTATTTGCTACAATACGATTCATTTGATTCTTACCTAGGAATAAACAGATGGGTGTAACCGTAGGAAACCTGTTCAGAAAAAACCAGGTTTGGATTAAGGGAGAGTGTTGTGCTAAGGATGTCTACCTTGTTCCAAGCTGCACTTTGGTTGACACAATCTCAAAGCCGTACCCCCACTGCCAAGTTACACATCCCAGTGAACTTCAAGCACCGATAGCTGAGATTCCATGGTCTCATACACCTTATGAAGGACGAATCGCTTATCTGCCGCTGCGAGAAGCGATTTCCATTCGTCCAGATGTCGTTCGTAGCTGTTGAAGTAGAATTTCACCGCCATGTCAACCGACCTAGTGAGTTTTTGTCAGTAAGCATACAAGTTCACCTGTTATACCTGACAGCCGCATACCTCATAACTCGCTCTCTCCATAATGGACTACCACTTCCCGGCTCTGGCATACATGCGTCCTGAATGAGGATCTTTGCTCCGGGCCGGAGGGCGGGAATCTGAGCTTTCAAGATGTTGACGGCGTATTTATCACCCCAAGAACGGAGGACCATGCGGAAGAAGTAGACATCTGCCTGCACCGTCTGAGGATCAAAGAGCTCGTGGTTCATGAACTGGACGCGCTCTTTCAACTGGTCGGGAACAGCGGAGTCGGCGCCTTGAATGATCATGGCCGAATCCTGGACAAGTAGCTTGACGTTCTTAAACTTACTTGCCAGGTCCATCGCGACTGAGCCTCGTTGGCCACCAACATTCACGATTTGTACATCTCCGAGGGAAGCCCAATCGTAGGCCTTGGCCACATAAGCGTCTCCGCAACCCGGAACATAGTCCAGGGACTTCATCCCGCCTGCAAAACGCATCGCCGCCTCAGGGTCTGAGCCAAGGACTTCGAATACCGACTTCCCTTGGTTGGCAAGGGCGAAGCCCTATGAAGATTAGTAAAATGAGTAGCTCGAGTTTGGATTTTCTGTGAAGGCATGGGTTAGACATGGAACATAGTCTAGACTCACGGTCTCATTGGCTTCTTGGGAGGACGGCCATTTCTCGATCGCTTCTCCGACCTAGTGTAGAGCATCTGTGTTAGAATGACGCTCTGTGTTCATATAAATGGGACATGCTTACTCTAGGGATAGCTGGCCAGGTATCATGGCTTTCAAACGTGGCCCAACCGATGATTTCTGGGCGGGCTAAGAACTTAGAGATCTTGGTATGTGCCACCATACCTGGTTCCGGCTCTTGTAGGATGCGCATGGTTATCGCATGTCGAAGCAGGCGTCTGACAAGCCCCTTATCGAGGTTCGTTTTCTCAGCGACCTCTTCAAAAGAGACCTGACTGCCATAGGGGATCATGCCTAGAATCTTGAACCGGACAATTGAGTCAATGCTAACGACATTTGAGACCTTCAGAAGATTAGTTTCATGGCGCCTAGCTGAGCCCAAGAGGTCCTTACACCGGCAAACTTGTAGATGAGCATCAGAGGTTCCAAGAGAACCTCATGGAGCTCAGCGGTTGCGTCGAGGACATCATCCCGAATATGGTGCAGATCAGAAGGGAGGTATGGAGGACTATTCTCGTCAAAGGATGGGGATTCTACTCCCCGGGCCGAAAGAGATTCTTGCAACTCTGCAACCAAGCTGCTTATCTTCGCAGCTAGTGCGACGATTTTGGTGTCGGGTGGTGCCATTTTGATCGAGAAGCAAGATAGCAAAATGTTAAGGGTACGCGCGATAAGTGAGATGTAGTATCTGATCATTTATCTAGGTAATCTCACAGAGATGGAGCTTGAAAGAGAGAGAGATTCGATTATTGAGCTCTGTGACCAGGGCTCGAACCAACTACACTAATCAATGAACTTTAAGAGGGTATATGGTTTTATCGCATACTAATACTGCTTAATATGCATATATGTACATTTATGCCCAATATCGGCATAAAGTTCGTGGATTAGTGTAGTTGGTTCGAGCCCTGGCTGTGCCTCTTTCAGGTTTGGATATTGGGGGCTTTCACAGGCTTAGGTCTTTGCTCTCCTTATTCAGCCCCGCTTGGCGGTTGGAACGGGATCTATCACTTTAGGTACTCTCTACTGCCCCTTACCTAATGTGTGTTACACAGCAGGTTGAACAGCAGGCTCCACGTTATTCGGCCCCCAAGATAGAGTGGTTGGATTCAATTAATCACATTCACACCCCTAGCCCGACCAAGTCACATCAAAAACACCTGGCACTGTGGACGGCGGACCATAAGAACAAATCTACTCTGTGCTCAAATACTTCGATGCAGCAGCCAACCTCGCACACGGATATTGGGAACTAACGGAGTCGGATCACTTGGACTATCCCTGGCATGCCACGCACCATTGCTACGAGGCAGGAAATTTGATTCTGTATCGTCTCTGGTATTATCGCTCCCTAATCCATAGCCACTACACCACCACTCAAATCTTGGAGGTGGTCCATCGAATATCCGGGCTTTTCTTACGTTACCTAAGCATGTCATTCTACATGGAGGATACTTCTGCCTTACTTACTAATGTAAATTGGATTCTTGTGGTCAAAAAATGGCCTGCAGTCCGATGGTGTGGTGCGTTGTTTGATTGGCTACGAATAGGGGCTCTGAGCTTGGCTAACTTGGGGTAGGGAGAGAACCAACGGCGTCCAAGAGCAAACCCCTCGATGATGATTCTGGCATCCTTTCCTTGTTAATATTCCATATTAACCCTTGCTGCATAGCCATGCACACCTATTCCTCGTATGTCAGCGTCTAGGCACAGGTTACCTCCTGACAAACCCGTTTCTTCACCAATACGCAAAGTAACTATTATCTAGTTACTGTCAGACATCGGTCTTCCTCCAGGTCAGTAGCTAGAGGTCTATGGGATCGGGATTCGGCCCGTTGAGTCCCCGTGAGGGTCCTGTTGGCCGCTAGTCCTAGGAGCAGGACAGACAAAGAGCTTCACCTGTATGTATACCGTGTTCTCCATAGCGAGAGTAGTTAGGAGCTCCTCGCGCAACAACGTCGTTGTTTCCTAGTCTTTTGGTTCCGCCTCGTGACAGTTACACTCTTGAGGATTCGTACTATAGAAAATGACCAGACAACAGCCAGGCGTGGCGTTCTTTCACAAGCCTCGGGGTGGCATGTATCGAAAGGATATGGTTAGCCAATGCCAACGACCCGGAGGCTACATGTTCCAAAGGGGATCCAGGCCTCTCGGCTATGATCATAACCCTTGAGTTCGTATCATAAAATAAATAGTAAACGCTAGGCTTATTTACGGTCGACCGAGACCGCTATTAAGGTCTCTGATCTACTTACAGATGCCACCATTGACATGTAACACATTAGCTATCAGATTCCTTTCGCCAGATAAGTGGAATTTGGCTACCTCCTCTCGCCAAATAGACCCGCCTGACTTCGCGTCCGTAAGTAGAATAACCACGCCATCTTGTATAGCCCAGCAAGGGGCTAGGGACTATTCTTGGTTCCCGTGGCCGTTGGTCTGGCTTTTTATCTACTAGAAATATGGACCAAGACGCCACGTTAAGGCCTCTACAGGGAGCTGGGAAGGATAGTGGTCATGGTTTCAAGGATGCCTTATCTGAAAAGACTCTATGGTGTTATAGAAGTAGGCTAGATTCATCCTCGGAAGCTTATGGTTCGCCCTTGTAATATCGGCGTATCCGATTGAGAATGGCATACGTGGTTGTAGCCCAATTCGCGACCTCAAGCGTCTACGCTCATAGCTAAATCTAACACATGAAGGCGCCTTCGAAGTGTCATACTCTAGGGTTATCATTAACGAAGTTGCGAGTAACCTTCCTAGTGTATGTAGTTCGAGCTACTATTTGACCATGTAATAAGGGGGGGAAACGCTGCAAAGACTCAAACTCTCCCAAGCAGACTCTTAAAGCTTGACCAATTTGACAGTAGGCCTCGCAATTTATAATATATACATTCATCTAGATAATGTCGACCGCGGACCATAAGAACAAATCCGCCAACCCGCCAATTCAATTAATGTATTGAAATGTATACAGTATAATACAGTGTGAAAATGTACAGTCTTATACATATCCCACACGGTGCTCTGGATCTTACAGCGGGTCATAGCGCTATAGGCCACTGAGAGCCCTGTAACTTATAGGCTTTATAGCGCATTAGCTCCTTATAACTTATAGGTGGCTTTTTAGGTAGGTATGTAAAAAGCCTTAAAGCTAGCGCTAGAGCCTTCGAAAGTTTTAAAGTTATTATTAATATTTCAATCTTTTCGAAACGAATTGAATTAATTGATTGATCTGATTCAATCAATTAATTTGATCTAGTTGAATGCGTAATAGGTAGGTAGGTAGGTAGGTAAATAAAACCATACGTGTAATAGTTCAAAACTAAGGGTGTCACGTGACATATGCTGAGCCTTATTAGGAGGTAGGTATATACATATGTAAAAAAGCTATCCATACGCTATAACCCCTATAAAATGCAGGGCTTTCAGCGCCTTATAGCGCTATAACCCACTGTGAGATTTTGGATACCGTGTGGAATATTCATTATACTGTACGTCATTGTACTGTATTTAACTGTATACACTTCAATACATTAATTGAATTGGCGGGTTGGCGGATTCGGCACTCTAGAGCCTCATAATGAATAGGTGTTTCCATAATAGGCAACCTTGAGTAGGTAGCCAGGAGCACATCGTCTAACCTAGGGTTCTGAGCTAAGTCCAAGTAGGTATAGTGAGCTGTCACATAGAAATATTAGAGATACCCCGTAGCGTAGATATCTATCTACCCCTGAAAGATGAAACTAAATAGCCGTATTACCACGTTATAAATTAAGATATGTACAGCCGTTTCTCTCCGTTTGCTTCCGTTTTGTAGCTAAGCTCGGCGCCACAATAACGCCACAACCGTTCCCTCTGTCAACTATAAATTCTGAATCGTAAGTCTATATTCACAACACAGAAAAAAAAAGTTATTTAGTAATATTGGTATTTCTAAAATCGCATTATATCGCATGACCGAACTGCTTTATTAAATTTTAAAAACAAGAAGTGATGCCTTTGAAAATGCCTAGATTCAACGACCGCGTCCAATTTTGATGGGGTGAGGAGTCGCGTGGGACGACCCGTTCTGTAGGTTGTATGTGACATAGGGGATGCCATTTTCAGATCCCAAAACTACCAGTCTTGAAAGTTCCTTTGTCATGTAGGCATCATTTATATGCAATATGTATTAACAGGGATGACAGCAATCAGAAAGACAATGCTGGCTAACCCTATCATGAATGTACATGTAAAAATTGCGAAAAAAAATAAGCAAATAACCTCCCATATGCGAATCCACCTTCATCCTAGCTCTCATATAGTTGTCTGAACCCCCCATCAACTGCTCACAAAACCCCAGGACAAGTTTATATCCTGACGATATATCTCAAACGGCAAAGCACAGTAGGCGTAACTCGCCACTGCCGTCGCCCTCCACTTCTCCATAGGTGGCCTGCTTCTTGCCCCAATCCCTTTATAAGGGCTTTGAGTCAATAGCTTATTTAGATAGGCCGTTAACCACCACAGACTATATCGATCACCAGGCCCAGTCTCGAGCGATCAGCGGCGGCACGGGCTAACGGATTCTATCGCCCAACTCAGCCACCCCATCACCTCGAGTCTTTAAGACATATCGTAGACCTTGGTCGATGGGATATAGGGTGTCGTTAGGCCACTAGCGGCCCGGATGGCCCTACATCCGGATCCGAAAAAGGTACCTAAGACGGACCTGGGCTACATCGTAGCATACGTACTCATTGTACACTAGAGAGGATGGAATGCCCGTCGGGAGCATGCCTTGGGTATCGGGCTAAAAGAGGCGCGGCCGTCAGTACAAATATAACAGTGGACGAATTATTCGGTTTAGCTTACCACTATGATGCCCTTTAAGGATGGATGTATATATCCAGCGTCCTTCCACGAGGCAGGGCCATTCTGGCCCAGTCCCCATGTCGAGAGGAACCTGCCGGCCTTTGCTGCTTCTGCGGCGTTCGGCATTTGAGCCATGGCCACCTGCGAGGTATGGCCTAGCTCGGCTTCGCATAATAGTAAGAGGGCATGGCCGTTACTACTGTTAGGAAAGCAGTAGTTCGCCGACTAGGTAATATGTTAGGAATCTGCATTAAATATTGGAACTAGGCTAAGTGCTCACCTTGCTAGAGGTATCCGCCAAGTATATACCTTTCCCGAACACTGACAGACGTTAGTATTCCTCAGAATAATGAGGCGAAAAGAGCGTATCAAAGAAAGTTAATAACATACTGCGAAAATGTTAGCTTCAGTTGCGTACAATGGAGTAATGTCGTAGAGGGGGAAAGGAGTTGTATGACAGTGAAGTCTACATACCTGTAACCATTATTAGGCGCTTCAGGAGGTGCAATCCGCAGTCCATGCGAGAGGATGCCACCGAAGTTGGTGCATCTCGAGCCATGCCAAAGGAGTTGTCTCGACTGGGGAGGATCGTACGACGCCTTGAGGCGCTCCTTTTCGCCTTTTCTCGACACTCTAAAGATCTGCGAAATCTCATAGTTGACCTGGTGTGTTGCGCCTTGGGTCTTGAGTAACAGGTCCTTCAGGTCAAGGAACTCCTGACTATCCCTATCTAGAGGAGTCATTTCGTCCAGCCCCAAGCTATTAAACTGCTGGTCCGTCGGGTGCAGTTTCTCTTTATCTCCCTCAGCGCTCATTAGTAATGAGGCTTCCTTCATATCCGACAAGCTCTCGAGAAGTTCTATTTCCTTTTTGAGCAACACCGGATCCTTGATTACGGGAGGTTTGTTCCTCCCAAAGACGTGGGGGATGAGAGAAAAGTATAAGTTAGATAATTCCTCCACAGCCGAATCAAAGCTCGTTTGGTACTCTGTCGTGGCAAGAGAGTGATCGTGTAGGAGGGCGGATAAGTCGGTCAACGCTTCGTATCCTCGCGTTATTGTTGACATGCTGAGCTTGCCCAAAGGTAACGAGTTGGCATTGTAATTGAGCTCGGACATTGTAGCGGCGAAGTACTGTTGGTTGAATATCAACTTCATCAGCTCTTGTACGGGCTTTGATAGACGAGACGGTATCTTGACACCGTCTTCGCTGCCGTCCTTCCTTTCCACGTCATACTAAATCACTTCGAGTCAGTAGGTGACTCCTATCAAAAGACATTAAAAAGACAAATGAACGACGTACGCATCTCTCGATAAAGATGTACTTCTTGGGTCGTGGTGGATGTGCACGATTCACCCAAATTAGACCAGTCTTTTCACGAAATTTGGACTGGAATTCCATGCAGGCAAGATGCTGGCTACCATCACCATGGATCTTTGTAGCTCCTTGCGCACCCACCCTACCCCATCGGACTCTACAATAGAACTTATTATCAAGGGATCGAAGAATCTAGAAAATATGGTTAGTAAGTTAATCCATTTGTTAATGTGTTCGAAAAAGATAGTGAGCAAGAGGATCTTGACTGGGTGATATCTACTAGGATAAAAATCCAAACACGTACCTGAATTCTGTAAAATTTGTTCACATTTCCAGAACTGGATGCTTGGCTTAATGATGCATCGTAGATTACACCGGCATCATTAATGAAGACCTCGTAACCAGGGAGCTCAGTTTGCGCTCCCAAGTCCAAAGGGACGGTAACATCGCGGGTTAGGGCGATTTGCGCTTCACCGATCTTAGCTTTTCCTTCCTTTAATTCAGTCTTGTCGATTTTCCCTCTTTTGGCCTGTGGTCGGGTGTCGTCGTCGTCGTCGTCGATGTTGCCATCATCTGGTTGCTGTCGTTTTCGACGAGTACCGACGATAGACGTGTGGGATCCCGATCCGAAGCGATAGGTTTCTTCGTCCATACGCTTATTGTTCTTAAGCGAATCTTCCAACCAGTGGAAGGTTACAATAGGAATATCATACTCCTCGGCTAGATCGGTCTTTGGATGTGACCATCGCCTAAAATATCCCTCGCCACAGACCAGATGCGTTGTTGTGGATGTGACGTTCTTGGAGTAAGATGCACCAAGGACATCTAGATACTTCTCCTTTATTTCGACCTGGGTTCTATGCCCAGGAGGCCCGGGGAGAGCGCCGCTCATAGATATGACGCAGCCACTTAATGGGAGCGGCGCCGGTAGGGTCGTCTCCGACGACATGGCTGGAATCCAACCTTTTGGTAGAAGTAAGTTGCTTAATTAAAAAGGTGGAGGTTAGGATGGAGAGGTACGATAGAAGTATGATAAAATCTAGGACGAATTGTATACACTTCAGTGGGCGAATAGACGAAGTGTAGATAGTTAGAAGGAAAGATGAAAGATGAATAAATAAGAAAGATGGAAAGTTACGATTGAAAAGTTTAAGTTTTCGTAAGAAGATAATAAATGAACCGGTTGGCTTAAGCGTTAATTGTTAATTGGTGATTAGAGTAAAAGTTGGAATGGGTACTAGGTACTGTGTAGCGTCTGGTATTATATATTCGACGACGATAATTGTAGAATCCAGGCAGAGTAGTAGTGCCTGCCCACATACCCACCTGCCACTTGCCCACCCGCCCAGGTACTGATGTTGTTGGGACCGTGTACTAACTGTTAGGCACCTGGACAGTTAGGTGATGTAGCTGAAAAATAGGCGAATATAGTTGACGCCAGATCAACGCGCGACAACGTGACTCACGGACAGGGATGTTAAGGCAACAACTCAATTGATTTTACTGGCCTCCATTCTTTTTTTATACTCTTTGGTACCTGGATACCTATGGGGGCATTTAAATAAATTAAGCACTAATAAACTTTATGTTTTGACATTTTTATTTTCATTGGTCAAAATTGTGTTATTCTCATGGCTCAACATGTGTGAGGTGCACTTTTGGAAATTTTATCACTAGCTCAGGTACGTCTTCAGTTTTTACTACGGTATAACAACGGCAATCACGACCGAGAACAATGAAATTGGCTAGAAAAAGGTTGTTATGTATAATTTTCTTTTCTTTTTGTTTCTTTACTGCAAGGAGTGCCTTATATGTCATTCCTTCCCTACAAGCAACTACTTCTCGAATTTATTCTGAGGGGGGCAGGTGCTAATAATCCATATTCTCTCTTCTCGACAGTGACGTCATATATCTACGATACCTAAGGTATTCGTCATAAGGCAAGCCACCAAAAAATAATGTCATACATGAATTTGTCGAGTTTGAGCCAACCTACTAGGTGAAATTATTATATTTGTTCTAGAAACTGGCAGACTGGTAAACAGGTAATCACGTAATACTCAACTTCGTTTACATTCACCGCTTAAAAATTAAACGGTCGTCGTTTGCTGCCTGGTCAGGGCTGGATCTTGGCACCCCGCGATTTGAGATAAGCTCATGGGGAAACGTAGCTCCCTGTAACCGATACCGGTTTCCGGGGAAAGAGCGGGATCCCCGTTCTATCTGACCGGACGAATAGCTCAGACGGAATTGAAGTTAATTGGTCGAAAAGTGGGGAGCTTCAGAGTAACCGAGCATTGGTGCTGCTCTTTTCGGAAAAGAATTCCGAATTTGTCGGACTATTTTCCCTCAGAAATGGAGCCTCGAAGTTATTGCGACTTGTTCCAACGCGATGGCGGAAGTCTGCAGGTCTATATATATGGGCGTAGCACCCATGGACCGGCCTTTGTATGGCCCCCTTGATTCCATTCTCGGAATCTGTGTCGGATTGTTGCTGTTGCCGTTGCCATTGCCGCTGTGAAAATGACAAGGCCGTCAGAGATCAACCAACATCCTGTAACGGATACCGAGAATGTCGAAGAAAAGAAGGAGGATCAATTTGATATTATCGAGGCGGAAAACCGATCTGCGAGCCAGGCTGTAGTAATTGACCCGGAAGACGATGATGACCCAGCGAAACCGACTTTACCATTTTCCAAAGCGAGATGCATTGCTCTTGTGGCAACGGTCACGGGCGCCAGCTTCTTGAATGTAGGTGCTGAGCATAGCACCATTGTCAATTTCCGGTGCATTCTCGCTGATTCTGTTTAGACACTATCAATCCAGTCTGTCATCATTATTCTGCCAACGATCGGCCAGGAGATAGGAATTCCCGACAGTAGACAGCAATGGGTAGTGTCTTCTTACTCCCTTACTTTTGGCTGCTTCCTACTTCTATGGGGTCGCATCGCAGATATTTATGGGAAGCGAAATATTTTCATCTTGGGAAGTGCCTTCATGGCAGCGACGATGATAGCCAACCCATTTATCCCAAATGAAATAGGCTTCAACATATTCCGTGGCCTACAAGGACTTGTGAGCATATAGAACAAACTTCTTTAACGTCTCTCATACGTACTTATCGAATTTTAGGGTGCTGCCGCCAATGTACCAACAGCTATTGGAATCCTTGGTGTTACATTCCCGCCGGGCAAAGCAAAGAACTATGCTTTCAGCGCGTACGGTATGCGATCTCGTTCCCGCTTGAAGCTTACAACTTCTCATTAACACCTCTTACAGCTGCTGGCGCGCCTCTTGGCTCCGCATTCGGTAATATAATTAGCGGCTTCATTGCTTCCTTTGCTAATTGGAAATGGGTGTTCGGGGCTACTGGTGGAATCGCGCTTGTTATCACCTTCGCAGCTTTATTCTTCATACCACCACCACCACCAGATCCAACGAATGGGCCAAACAATATCTCGTCGCCAAAATCCATCGACTGGATCGGTGGCGCTCTTATTACTGCCTCGATATTATCTCTGTTGTTTGCTTTGACGGAAGGCAATGTAGTAGGATGGGGTACGGTTTGGATCTACCTGTTGATCGTGATCTCCATGCTGCTTCTTGCAATCTTTGTCGCGTGGCAATGGTATCAGGAGAAGTATACGACAAGTAAGCCGCTTATGAAGGTCTCCCTCTTTAAAGACCCCCGCTTTAGCGCCGCTATGGTCATCATGGCTATGATATTCGGCGCTTTCAACGATATGGTTGTTTCTGCTACATTCCTCTTTCAGGATTACCAGGCACTCGGGGCATTGCAGACCACCCTTCGATTTATACCTACGGGCGTCGGTGGGACGATCACTGCGTTCGTGGTGAGCCATCTCATCTCACGCATACCTACCTGGATATTGCTTTTATTTGGCAACCTGAGTGTATCGGTGGCATGCCTTTTATTCTCTGTACCGATCCCTCCACATACGTCCTACTTCGCTTATGCGCTACCGGCATTCATCCTTTCGGTATTCGGTACTGATACTGGTTGGCCGTGCCTAACCCTCTTTACCTCCAAGACCCTGCCCCAGGAAGACCAGGCGATAGGAGGTGCACTCGTTAACGCGATGGGGCAGATTGGAAGAGCGATCGGGTTAGCAATCACTACAGCAATTCAAACAGCAGTGATGGCAAGGGACAGGGGTGTGCCGGTAGAGGAGTCGGGTAAGATATTGCCTTGGGAACCAGCATCGTTAGCTGGATTAAGAGCAGGTATGTGGTTTAATTTCGCACTTGCGTTATGCTGCTCGGGCATCGTGACTGTGTATTTTCGTGGAACTGGTATTGTTGGCAAGATTGAGACTAAGCAGCGATCCGGGAGAGTCCTTGGTCAGGAGGGTACGACGAAAGAAGATGCTGCTCGTAGATAGTCATGGATACCCATTTTCGCTACTCGCATTATCACCTTAATTCAAACTTTCGAATGATAAGATAATTGCTCAATACCACGCTCTATTCGGTGCTTTTCCTTATCTCGGGATGTTTCTCAATGACACCTACCCTTAGGGATTACCTATACGTCCTATCAGCGCAATGCGACGATGAATTGCGGCTACACATGGCCCAGTGGCTCGGGGATGACGTTACACCAGTGGTAATGTTGTTATTTCATATTTATTCGCCACCAAACTCCGGGAATTGGAGTCGGCTGGTGAACATTTCTAGGTCTAACTAGACAGTTCCGTATGCGCAGGTAGCATACACACCTATTCCTTCTCCGCCGGCCAAAGCAGCCAGGAGATAACGACGAGCAGTTTCATGACGGCCGCAATCCATAGTACCCCCGCGGCACCGACACTACTCCTAGCTAGCACTCCGCCCAGCACCGCACCGATAAGGAGCAGTGTCGGTGCCCCGACTCTTCGATTTCGCTCTGGATTCCGCAGCGCCAGCAACTCCGCGTCAGAGAACAGGTCGCAGTAATTACTCGTAAGCACAACGCTCGTCAGCGCATTGTACTTAAGCGCTCTACTTGCGACAGCTTGCCCGCAGCTCTGGAAGGCGACCAACGCGATAGGCGCTAGCACCGGCCAGTCAATAGACTCCTTGGGATCGACACCTTCAGCGGCGTCCGGGCCGAAAGTGATAATGGCGGCGGCAGCTGCGATGAGCAGCATCTGCAGCGTGAACGAGGTACAGAGAATCCAGCGCCGTTTTGGTGACGGGGAAGGAACTCGGTGGAGGGCGGAGAAGAATACCGACCCGATGCAGAAGCAACCTAGAGACGTTCCGGATTTGATCCACCGTGTAGATTCATGAGGCGCGGTAATCCCAAGGCCGAAATACACGGTGTTGCCTATTGGAAAATATTAATCGGAGTGATTTGGGGATGTGCGTAGGTATGATATGACTCGTAATTTCTTTTGCTTTTTTCATGTTTTGGTGTTACGGCGCCACATACCTGTCTGCATCGATACGAAAGAACCCCAGGTTGAGATGGACGCGCTGTCGAGGAGACCGGTGATGATGTAGCAGGCGAGCAGGACTAAATCAGCCCAATCGCGGCGCACATCTGCCGTCATATTTTTCCGCCATCTTGTCGTTTTAGACATTTGATTGTTGCTGCCATGCAGTAAAGGTTGCTGCTCCTCATCGCCATTGGCGCTCGGCCGGGAGTTATGAGGCAGGGCGCCGTACCCATTAGAAGAAGACATTGGGCTGTGACTCAGAATCGCCCGAGAGCGCCGCAAAATCTACCAATCCAACTAGTCCTACATAAACATAGTATGATTAAATTGCGAAATTTAGCGGAATAATTGGGAGATAAGGGGGTTTAGTAGAGCGAGGTCGGGCAAGATGAGTAAAATATTCAGGGCGTTCGCAGCCGAAATACAAGCTACCGTGCCGTCTTTCCAGCCCGGACCCACGCGCCAAAGATCGATGACGCTAGCTATCCCAATTAGGCAGAGCACCTAATTCGGGGGCTTGATTCGGGATTCTCTAAAACTTTAGACAACCCCCAATGGGCTTCCAGTCTTTTGTCATTCGTTGATTCAATGCTAGACTATGATCAACGAGCGCTTCGGACCAGGGATCCTAGATAGGCAGGACTGACTAAGTGCCAGGCATGTACGTACCTAGAGCTGAAGCTGAGGGTTCTGGTAGGGTACCTATGGTTTCACACATGCAGCTACAGAACAGCGCTCACGCACCATAAAAAAACCACCGAGGCCTAAACCTGCGTAAGGTTGAGAACAGCAAACGGACGAGTTGTTCCATTGGACGACAACAGGAAACAATTTACTAGGTTTCTGTTACCTATCACACGGAAAGTTCTTGCCTTCTTGGCAATGGGATAGATACTTAGGTACAACATCTGCTTGGTGATTTCAGGGCAGTCGCAGCCTTCCTATAGCATCCTGAAGCTATCCGGCAGTTACTCCGGAAGTAGCATTCTCACCTGAACGGCACCTATCATCCGGCGCTTGCCCAGGGTGTTCCTGAGCTGGACGGCTGTTCGGCATTTGCTCGGTGTTGAATATGCTACAATGGACGGTCGATGTTTCCAAGGTTTGGTGTGTTTGGTGTAGCAAGTTATCGGACGATGCCGGTCCTTGGTTGCTTAATTATGAGCTGTGACGACATCCATTCCATTGAGTTTTTAGACCTTTTTTTGTGTCCGTCTTTTATGTTTTCATTACCCATTTGTCTGAGAGAGCTTCAATTCCTGCCCTCAAGTTACCCATTATTGAGTCACCTATTGACTCATCTCACAAACATCATTACACAGGTATCGAAGCAGTTGCTTTTGGTCTCTATCGCTTCCTTGACTGCAGATGGTCTGCCTCTAGGTTAACTACATGCCAAAGCTCTAATTCACACATCTTTTGAAGTTCGTCAATTCATTTTATTCCCGAAAATGCAGCTCTATAACTGCCGTTGCGTTTCTACGTGGCAGCTATTGGTCACCGGACTCGCATTGAGCAACCCCGGTCTTGCAGTTCCGGTTGAGGACAGCCCGTGGCAATATCTTCTGGCCGGTATCGAACTTCCGCCGAAATACAGCGCAAAGTCGCAATCACCCTATAAACCAGGCTTTAGAGATCCTTACGATAAAGCTGTCGACTCGATCGGCGAAGGCCTTGATCCTCTTCCATATAGAAATGGTTTCGGTACCTCAGTCCTTGGCCCCTGGAACCGCGATCGCTCTCGTCAGAACCCAGATCTGGTCAGACCTCCAAGTACGGATCATGGAAATTTGAACAATATGCGATGGAGTTTCGCTGATTCTCACGTGCGCATCGAGGTAAGAATATAGAATTGGCTAGATTTCTCTGCATTAGTCTAATTTATTCCTAGGAAGGAGGATGGACTCGACAAACTACCGTTAGGGAATTGGGTACTAGCGTAGAGCTGGCTGCTGTGAACATGCGACTTGATAAAGGGGTTATTCGAGAGTTGCATTGGCACAAGGAAGCCGAGTGGGCATTTGTCCTTGATGGCCAGGTTCGTGTGACAGCCATCGATTATGAAGGCGGTAACTTCATTGATGACCTTAAGAGGGGAGACCTTTGGTACTTTCCAAGCGGCGTCCCTCATTCTCTTCAGGGACTTGGCGATAACGGTACCGAATTTCTTCTAATATTCGACGACGGAAACTTTTCCGAGGAATCTACTTTTATCCTATCTGACTGGTTAGGTAAGCAGTGTAGTGTTCGGTAACATGGCCCCATTCATGCTAACGACCCAAAAGCTCACACTCCCAAGTCGGTTATAGCAAAGAATTTCAACTTAGCACCTGAAGTGTTTGCCCACCTCCCCGAAAAGGAGAAGTATATTTTCCAAGGCACACAGCCCGGCGAGATTGGGGAGGAAAAACCGACTGGCAAAGGCGTTAAGAAGTCCAAGACCAATTTCGTCCACAGAATGCTTGAACAAGAACCCCTCGTCACTAGCGGCGGAGAAGTCCGTATCACGGATTCCAAAAACTTCCCCGTATCAAAGACTGTGGCAGCAGCACATATGACCATCCAACCTGGAGCCCTGCGCGAGATGCATTGGCATCCGAATGCCGACGAATGGAATTTCATCATTAGAGGCCGAGCCCGAATCACAATATTTGCCTCTGAAGGTACCGCCCGAACATTCGATTATGTCCCCGGTGACGTAGGTATTATTCCAAGGAACATGGGCCATTTCGTGGAGAACATTGGGGACGAGCCAATCGAGATGCTGGAAGTCTTCCGCGCAGACGAGTTTAGAGACTTTTCTCTGTTTCAGTGGCTGGGCGAAACACCAAAGAGGATGGTCGTGGACCATCTTTTCAAGGACGATCCGAAGAACGGTGAAATCTTCTGGAACAAAGTTCAGAGCGCCGAGAGAGACGAAATCACTCTTCCTGACTTTGACGAAAGAGAGCCCGAGCACCGTGAATTGTAAACATCGGGATTCCAATCTCATGATCAATCCTAGTCAAAGTTTATCTGACTTTCCAGATGCTTCATGAAAAGTTAGCATTTTTTGTATATTATTGCGAATATTCCATCAAATAGTGCGATATATCAATTTAGCGAGTTTTATTCTTGTCCGCTGCATACTGCTATAATCCCTGAGTATTGTAAAAAGAGGTTTCGTAAAAAGGGGTAAGCCGTTTTTCCGCTTATGTTGTGACCACATACTTCCATCATCGTCTTGGCCACGCATCTTCATACTTGTCGTCACCTAAAAATCGAGTATAATAATCTTATTGGGCTATATTTTAAAAGATGAGCCCATTTGATGCGTGAGGCTTTTGCTTGGCTTATTAGTAAGGTATAGATAAACGGGTTTCTTGATATTCAGGCTTTGTGAGGCTAGTTACGAGATGAAATATTACATGGGGGTTGATAGATTCTGTCTAGAGCGTGCTGGAGAGTGAGGGGTAGTCGGCGACTGCCTTTAGACCTTGTGATATATTGATAGAATATTTCAATTCGATTTCAGGGAACTTTTGGTTTCAATTTAAGCTAGTAGGCTACTTTGCATTACGTACTCGGTAAATCGGCTTCTGCCTGCTTGAAGCTCGGATCACTCGGCCATCGTGTATTGGATCATGTTAACATAGAGCCTTGTCGCCATCTTGGCTCTGTCCATATGTAGGCGCCGTCTGCAACGTTGAATCAATAGAATTTCGTATATTTTATGTCATCGAAATATTTCCAGTTTCCGGTTAACCGTAGTTGTTTCCCCGGTGTGGGAGATATCTAGAGGCGCCACTAATGCACGGATCGAGAGTCTAGGCTACAGAAACATGGATGAATATTCAGGGGCCTTACTTGCTCATCGTGGGGAAACAAGGGATTGACGAAGTTTAGTCTAATATAGCTTAGCCTTACAACAATTGCGAAAACGCTTTGATAAGCGGAAGGACGGGTCAAACCCGGTGTGGAAACTTCGTTTCGTCTTTAACCATAACTAGCAAAATATAGGGGTACCATTTTAGGGGATGACCAATGCTGATGATGATTATCTGTTGATTTTCAAGCGCCACATATGGATAAGAAAAGTAACCATTTACAACCTCACTTACTCTCTTCACTCAATGAACAGAAGTCTCTGATACTCTCCCTATCTTGCCTCCCCTCTGGATATCACTAACACGGAGTTAGTCGTGTCTCATGCTACACAGCATAATGAAGTGTATCCAATCGCGATGCTGTCCTGATCCAGATTGGTACGACCACGCCCCATTCGAGCTCTCCGCCCCCATCTTGTTTCTAGTAAATCATAAACCCCACGAACGTAGCATCGAATTGGGGTAAACCCCCGGGAGACGCTTACGAATTCCAAGTCGCAGCACAACCCTACCAGTATGAACGGATCAATCATGTTGTGCTCTCCATATCACCGGCATCACACCGATTTGTATATAGATAGTGCCGTCTCCCCAACCAGTTAAGAATGTGTCCGTGTCCTTCGGTAGGGGCACGGTTGGATAGCTAGGGTACCTATGTCGCGAGTGGTGCTTGCTGGCCTATCATCTTTTTTTTTACCGCTCCCAATCCTGAACTAAGATCGCCCACATTTACCCATCACAATTCTGTCCTATTTTTAAACTTCAAGTATGGTTGCGAATTCGCAAGAATATGAAGAAATCGGCCAGATCAGATGCGCAGTGATATCGCGATAGAATAGAAACAAACTAGTTAGCCCTAACTGCTTCATCACTTGGCGCTGAGAGCGAGGAACGCAAGCCGGAAGATCGCTTCCATGCAATGTAACCGTTACACTGAAAGCTTGGTACGTGTCAAGCTTTCTGTTACCCTTGTAACATATCCTAGAGTGGAAACTTTAAGAATCCATGGCGTTTTCCAAGGCGCTTGGCCGCATCAAAGAACCAAAAGAATTCCGGCAGTAGAAATATATCCTGGCTATCCGGCAACTTCTGGAGCAACAGGCCTCGGTTTTTCTTGGCTGCATTGCCACATGGACTTGTGATCGCGGCAATGTTGAACTATACACATGATCGCTGTACAGTATGTACGACGATCCTTCGCCCAGACTTGGCCGCTTACTTGGCCACGATCCGAAGATTCGGAACTTTTCTAAAACCTGTAAGCTGCCAAGACTCCTAACCAAGATTGTAAACTCAACTTTTGACTTCATATGAAGTTGACCGGAGACTACATGCCGTCATTGTGTAATCAGATTATGTTGACCGTGGTTGCTTGGGTGATCGTTAATGATCCTCGTCTAGAGATCTGACCATATTGTCAAAGTGACATTTAGGGCATGGATGATTAATCGATCTGCAAGCCATAATGCGATTACCTATAGGAATTGTCCCTTAGGATCCAGCAGTACCAACTAATCCTATCCTCAGGAATCTGTCCGGGCAAGATCTTGAATACAAAGGAGATCGCTCGCAAGACGATAGTCGTACATATATATTTGTTATAATCACATCGCAGATGTGTGATAGCGATGCTAGCCGTTTGGTGAACCATGTATCTGAATATTGATTGGCTCATAAGATTTGCTGCTTCTATTTTTGAAATCATCCCCTAGGTTGCTTACTTGCTCCAATGTTGACTACCCCGCGTCCTAATATCAGTCTGGACGGCAGTGTCACTCCAAGACATGATCGGCTATCATCGTAGGATATCGTCGCATTTAGCCACAGAATGGGGCCTAATTTGTGGCCTTGTATTCGTCTGCGAGTCGCCAATATGAGTACCAGCCTAGGTAGACATGTAGAAACGAGCATCGAAGGCACATTCCGCTTGCCGCAGCTTTGACTAGATCCCTGGTGCCTGCGTGCTGTGTTCGGTGTGGTTTCACGTCGTGTACCCTCGCCTGAATGTGTTAACATGTCCGTCATTAAGTCCAATATTTAAGGGAATCTCTGTTTGATGCCGACGGAGTGGCGAGAATATGCCGATGGAGGGTATGATTTCTTAGAAGCGATGGGTTATCTTGGTTGAAGATGTTGTTGCTTTAATGATTGAGTGGTATGAAACCTTCTGTTTACGGAAGCAACCCTCTCGAACCTAGGAACCGGGAGCGTTGAGACCTGGTTGTCTATACACTTGATCTGAAGTCTATATTAATAACTGTATCGAGGTTAGTACCATCAATTAGAAGAAAAAGCCAACGATCTCAACCCCTTACCCCTATCTGATACTTGACCATGGAGAGGCACGTCGCTGCTGTAAAAAAGGAGTTTAGGACGGACGTTACCGTCAATAGGGTAGCAAAATTCGCCCGCACTGCGCCACCCAAGTTCCCATCTGCTGCTAGACAATACCTTCTCGACAAGCTCCCTATTATCGAATGGATTCCACGATATTCACCACCATGGCTTCTTCAAGACTTCATGGCCGGTCTTACGATCGGAGTCTTGCTCATTCCTCAAGGTCTAGCGTATGCCAAGATTGCGACGATTCCAATCGAAAATGGGTTGTACTCTTGCTGGGTCCCTGCCGCCGTAATGGTATTCATGGGGACATCGAAGGGTAAGACAAACACTTACGAAACTAGATGATCGCGCAACATAATGAAATTGTACTCACTTGAATACAGACTTGTCAACAGGACCAACATCTATCCTCGGTTTATTGACGGCGGAAATAATTCGTGACTTAAAGAACGAGTACACACCTGTCGACATCTCATCGGCCGTCGCCATGATGGTGGGTATTTGGTCCCTCCTTATAGGTTTACTTGGACTTGGGTTTCTCCTCGACTACGTCTCGATCCCCGTACTCACCGGATTCATCTCGGCCACGGCCTTCGTGATTGGGATGGGTCAAGTCGCTTCGCTTGTCGGGCTCAGCGGCGGCCCGGATGGTGCCTTTAATCAACTCGGCGATGCCCTCAAACGGCTCCCACACTGGGACGGCCCAACCTGTGGGATCGGATTCGGAACAATACTTATCCTCCTGATACTCCAAAAGATAGGTCAGAAATGGGGCCATAAGCATTTTGCCATCAAGTACATGGCGAGCAGCAGGGCAATCATCGTGATGGTGATCTTCACTTTGATATCCTACCTCGTCAATAAGGATCGAGATGAATACCTTTGGGGTATTAGCCAAGTCAATACGCATGGAATCCAACATCCCAAAGCCCCAAGTGCCGCATTACTCTCGAAGGTTGTGGCACGATCTATCGCACCGCTAGTTGCATGTACGCTTGAGCATCAAGCGGTTGGTAAGGCCTTCGGTCGCAGGAACCACTACGCCATCGACCCGACTCAGGAGTTCAACTACCTCGGTGTTACCAATATCGTCAACGCGTTCTTCGGCGCGATGCCTGTCGGCGGGGCGATATCTCGAACAGCCGTTAATTCGGAGTGTCACGTCAAGAGTCCTCTAAATGGCGTCGTAACCGCGGGCTTCATCATCCTGACGCTCTATGTCTTCTCCCCAGCCCTGTACTGGCTTCCGAAATCCACTCTGGCTGCCATTATCGTAAGTTCTTCACTCTTCCCCCTTTTGTCAAGGTCGTAATGGGAGTTGCCACATGAGATGGGATATAGGTAGATCGCTAACGACTCTCTTTCACAATAGATAATGGCCGTCATCCACCTCTTCGGCCCACTCTCCCTAATCTGGCGATACTGGCGCATCTCCCTCGCCGACTTCATCGCATGCATGGTCTCCTTCTGGATCACCATCTTCGTATCAGCCGAAATCGGCATCGGCGCCGCGGCCGGATGGAGCGTAGCCTGGACGCTCCTACGATCCGCATTCGCGAAGCCGACAATCCACATCAACAGCACCGCCCCGAACTCAACCTCCAGCCCTAGCAGCAACAGCACCAACAGCAACGGCCCAACCGACTTCCAACCCCTCGCCCTCTTCCCTACCGCCACTACCACGACTATCACGCAGCAGATAACCGAAAATATCGGCGGCCCGAGTATACCGGAAGACACGGTCATCGTCCGCTTCGCGGACTCGCTGTTCTTCCCCAACGCGAACCGGAACAAGGTCACTGCGCTCGAAGCCATCCAGCTCGCGTACCCGAGCGTGCAAAGCCCGCAGTACAGTGCGGACGCGGAGCGCATGTGGAGCGTGGCAGCGGAACGGCGACTCGCACGACTACGCGTTAGTCGCGGCATCGTGATGCGCGAGATGCCGCTCGCGGTCGTGGTCTGGGATTTCGGTATGGTGCCGTTTGTCGACGCGACCGGAGTTACCGCGCTCGCGGAACTGAAAGACGATGTGCGTCGCCAGCTGGGCTTTGGGGTGCAGATCCGGATTGTGGGGATGGCAGAGGGGGTGAGGGCGAGGTTTGCGAGGGCGGGGTGGAGGCTGGTGGATGTGGATGGGTTGATGGATGGGGCGGCTGATGTGGTGTATCCTTCGCTTGAGAGGGCGATTTGGGATGAGAGGGATCGGGATAGTTTGAAGGGGGTTACTACGGAGAAGGTTTGAGAGGGTTGGATTTTGAAGAAGGTGGGTCTGGTTTCCCCGTTTGCTGCGCTAGGATGATATCCCTCTTGGTGTTGAATATAAGAGAGCGAGCTCTAGATATGGGTGATGAATTGTTTGTAGTGTTGGCTATGGATAAGAATGACGCTTGCCACCTGGTGCGCTTTTAACCATGCGTATTCACAAGTTGAGGTGCGGCGTGGTAGTGAGTGAGTGAGCAAAGGTATGAAGATGCTGCTTTGTTATAGGTATAATCTGACCGAATGTTTTCCACTATGTCACGGGTGACATCGAAGCAGAACGTCACGTTGATAATGATATCCTTAACTTTGGGAGCTGGCGATAGGAGGATGAGAGATGTATAGGAAATTAGTTGCGCCGAGTTTGTGTGTTAAACTGGATGTTGTGAAGTTTTGAAGAATACATGGGCGCGCTATCAAACATAGAAGTAACCAAATTGTAATTCAATATCCCATAAGTCTAGGAAATAATTCGAATTCATGAATTGAGTACGATTTGAGAGTCGAGTCGAACGAGAAAAAGGTCGTCAAGGTGATCGTGGGTACCTAGTACCTGACTAGTGCTTAGTACTAGGTGAAATCGGTAAAAATCCGGCACATTGTCCGTGATATTATTATAATGCTTTCTTAGCTACCCACTGATAACTTCAGCATGAGGAAAACAGCACCTTGGCGCAGCGGAAGCGCGCCGGGCTCATAACCCGGAGGTCCTCCGATCGAAACGGAGAGGTGCTAGCATGCTTCAATTTTTCTTTTTCTCATTTTCGTCTCCCACACAACTGCACGAATTCGCCAATTATGAGATATTTGATTTTTTTATGCAAAATCACTCATCCCACTTATGCATTTTGTGGCTTAAATGTGGCTACAGTTTTTAGTAAAACGCGACGCGTGGGTTCTAAACTTTATTTCTTTCCAGCTTCTTCTTTTTCCCCCAATCAACAAATTTAGAGGTTATCTATTAGCTTCGAAGATTACTAGGAAACATGTGTGGTATTCACGCAATGATCTCTACAGATGCTAACGGAATCATCTCTTCGGAATTGAAAACATTGTTGTCAAATCGTGGACCAGACCATTTTGGCCAAATTTGTCGCGAACTGCCATTCGAAGATGGGGACTCTGTGACAATCAACTTCACCTCTACCGTCCTAGCTTTACGAGGCGACCATATTGCAAAACAACCTCTGACCTCGCCTACTACAGGATCTGTTCTTTGCTGGAACGGGGAGGCCTGGAGGATTGAAGGACAATCTATCAGCAGTAAAAATGATGGGGAGCTTATCTTAGCCAAACTTGATGCAGCGGATGCGACTTCAGATGAAGCTCGAGAGTCGCACATTCTAAATATCTTACGGAATATCGATGGTCCCTTCGCATTTCTCTTTTATGATGCCCAGATGAAACGTCTGTATTTTGGACGAGACCGTCTTGGACGACGATCGCTTTTATCTAATCAAGCCGAAGATGGTAACTCGATCTCGTTCTCGAGCGTCGCAGACGTACCTGCTGCCGGCTGGGTGGAAGTCAATGCAGATGGGGTCTATTCCTTAGACTTAGGCGCCCGTCTGGCTACACCTCACGGATTGAGGCTTAACACACATACCGTTAAATACGATTGGATATCATCTGGTGGAGGTGATATGGTAAGTTCTGGCTGAAAATCATTGACTGTTGCGTACGACTGTTTCTATAAACTTATATTTACAGGTTTCGAGTATTGGAATTTTCAATATGGCTTTACCCCCACCCGAACACAAGCTAGATTTCAACTCAGTCTCAGTTGAGACTCTCAAGCACTGGTTATACGAATCTCTGAAGTTGCGGGTATTGGACATTCCAGAGCCGCCAAACCCATTGACCGATGTTGATATTCGTGTCGCCATCCTATTTTCTGGTGGCATAGACTGTACCGTTCTTGCGAGAATGGTTCACGATCTTGTACCAACAAATCAAGGAATTGATTTAATTAATGTTGCTTTTGAAAATCCGCGCCAGGTTTCGATAGGCAAAACTCTACCACACCAAAATGCGTCTGATATTTATGAGGCCTGCCCAGATAGAGTGACGGGTCGCAAAGCGTTTGCTGAGCTGAAGTCTGCGTGCCCAGATCGATATTGGCGCTTCATCGCAGTACGTTCGGGCCTTTTTACATAATACTAAACGATATGTTAATCTGGTTCAATAGGTTAATGTTCCCTTCGAAGAGGCTATGAGCCACAAGTTAAAGATCGTTTCATTACTACATCCCCATAATACAGAGATGGACCTCTCTATCGCCATGGCGCTTTACTTCGCCGCACGGGGTACAGGCAATTCCTATATAAACAAGTGTGAATGGGAGCCGACGCCGCCGAGCGTAAACTCGCCAGCTAGGGTTCTCTTGTCTGGCCTTGGTGCCGATGAACTGTTCGGTGGCTATGCACGACATGAAGCTGCTTTCAAGAATGGGGGATACCCTCGTCTCATTGATGAGTTGAAGTTAGATATTAGTCGTATCGGGCAAAGGAATCTAGGTCGTGACGATCGGATTATGTCACACTGGGGAAAGGAAGTCCGTTTTCCTTACTTGGATGAGGAACTTGTCAGGTTTGCGATCAGCTCTCCAGTATGGGAGAAATGTGATTTCCAGAACCAGTTCCACCCAGCGGTAATCGACCCAGCCAAGAGAGTGCTTAGGCTTCTGGCCGATAAGCTCGGTCTACCCATTATTGCAAGAGAAAAGAAAAGAGCAGTAAGTTACGATCGTAGCATAAGACGACGTGTCGCTAACAATCTGCTAGATCCAATTCGGGTCAAGAACAGCGAAGATTGAGAGCACTACGGGCAGGCGTCGAGGCACAGCACCCATTATCTCAACTTAACACCGTTCATCTTTGATATGAGAAGCAAATAATCGAAAGTTCGATGGTCTGGCAGTGATGATTCATCAGATACTTCCGAGTTGGGTTGCAACACTCGATTTGAACCCCAGTGCGCGTTTCTGTATCTGCAGTAACCCTCTTGGCAAGTTTTTTTCCGACCAGTTCCTCCGACGATGACGCCTTAAAGGCATGTCTGAGCCAGACTTCCCTATTTGATCCCATTGAAGTGTCATATGTCAATTAGCAGTGATTTTTCAGATGCACGTCGCCCTTACGGTAACAAGTCTATTTCCATGTTATAGGAAAGGTAGCATTTGCAGGGATTTTGATGCCCCTTTATGCTGTTAGATGACATCACGAGTACTGCAATGCGGGGTTTGAATGATAAAAATTTCAACACCGGCAATTGTCCACAATGCCTTTTGACTTATACAATAAATGAACTTGTAGATTCAAATCCATTATCGAGCACGAAGATGATGTTTGTGTTCACGTTGACTTTCCCATTTCTATTCGTAACGCTGGTCGGGGCTACTGAATATGAGCAGATTGTCCTTTCACCATCCGAACCACGTCCGTCAGATTCAGATGTGTATAAGGTCCAATATGAGTATGCGATTGCGAAAGCATCACTTGTGGTTATCATGAAAATGGTATCTGATAACTTTGTTCCAGGCTAGAAAAGGCCGAGATCTTCCCAACAGGTGTGTTCAAGACCTGCTTAGTCATGATTATTAATGCTATTAGTAATATCGCTTACTAATATGAAAATCACCCCCCTGAAATGTCAAGGTATTCGTTGCTGACTTTTACAGTCATCGATAAATTCCTCCCATCGTTTCTCCTAGAAGCCAAATGGTCATCTGGAGAACGGGCGGAACTTGGAAATACAGTAAAAGTGGATAAGGTGCAGAACGAACCAACCATTACGGTACGGAGAGATGATTCTGGTTCATCGTTAGGGGTTATGGAGAACTCCAACGTAACATACTCCATTGTCATCACCGACCCGGACGCGCCATCCCGCGATAATCCAGAATGGTCCGAGTTTTGTCACTTCATCGCAACTGGCATAAAGATCTCGCAATCCTCCGCCGTTGTGAGGGCATCTAGCCTAACGGACATTATATCGTACAGGCCACCAGGCCCGCCTCCTGAGACGGGAAAACATAGATATGTTTTCCTACTTCTTGCGCCCGTAAATGGAACTACAGATCCGTTGAACCTTAGCAAGCCGAGCGATAGGAGGAATTGGGGCACAGGAAAGGCGAGGCACGGGGTGAGGGATTGGGCTAAGGAGAATGGATTGCAACCTGTTGGTGAGTGTCGTATTAGCATTAACGTAATACCAACCTACTGACAAACGAGTAGCAGCGAACTTCGTCTACGCTCAGAATGAGAAACAGTAACTCTCTCATGAATTACATGAAAATTCATCTTCCATCTCTCAAGTGCTAGGTGTCAATTTAGTAAGCATAGTATTAGGTAATCATATTTTATTACCTAGTACCTAGTAGATAAGCACCTGCTTTTGGATTTTCAATTTACTTAGTACCTAAGCAACTTAGAAGCTGCTTAGTCAGTTCAAATTGGGGTTCAACAATGTTCAAATATTATTAATTCATTACATAATTCTGTGCAGAGGAGAACAAAGTCTATTAAGTAAGCATCTTATGTGACTGAAATCTGGTTCATATTACCTGACAAAAACAAATTGACCATGGACAGAACCTCTAAGGTTTCCATGTAATTCTGATCCTTTAAGTAAGGGATAGTATTTCATTTCTAACACGGTTTCGGAACCCGAGAATATGTACCATTTAAACATACTTTTATTCTGAGATAATATTGCTGGAGAGATTTCTATTGCTAGGTAGGCATTTGACGTATCTTCAATTAGTTGAACTTCTGAGTTATTAGGTGGAAGTTTGAACATTCTCATCCTCGTGTTCGTTATAACTGCCGTATCTTACAGCTAAGAAAAAAAAATAGGATTTACGATTTGAACAGCTTCGTTTCTGGGGTGTATGTACCAGATACCTTCTTCCTAGTCTTCTAGTGCGATCTTATCCCGATTGGAAGCGATAACACAAAATCCTTCCCGCGCCTGCATCGGTGATCTTACATCCCATCCCTACCTACCTAGGTAGGTAGAAATCTAGAAGGCGTCGTCTTACCTATCAAAAGTGACACAGAAACGTGGGTTGTCCTGGCCGCCCTTGCTGCCGTCACGGCTTGAGCGATATTCATCGCCACACCACACGAAGTACGAATAATACTCTTACCTACGAGTTTTACTTGGCACTGCTGTGAAAATATTGTAGCTGAATTATTGATGGGCTGATAGCTGATCACAAATCCCACCCACATGTAGTACGGTACAAAACCAATACGACGGCGGAATTCCCCCCAGTGTTAATGCTTCCCACCTGTAGCATTCATTAATCATACATGAAGCCAATGATCCTTCGATGGCACTCAGCGAATATGCATTTGATAAGTGCGCACTGCATAACGTCCGGTCCCCCCTCCCTACCAGAGGAAGAGAAGGGCTGAGCTTCTTCAATTGCCATGTGTAAAGAATGAAACGGTACCGGCTTGATATTATGCGCGCTGTGTATCGGCCCCAAAAGGCAACGGTCAAGGCAGCGTTACTTTAATCCCACGCGGTCAATCCTCCGGCTTATTTACCATCCGCCATGCCCTGATTGGTGATGTTTGTGGCGCACTCATGGTCTTCACCTTCTTAGCTCGAGCCATTACTAAAGGCGGCCGCGACGGATGGTTTTTGTTGTTCAGGGAAGCCCATATTTCGACTGGTTTATGTTATCTATCTTTGTGAACCGCTGCGCAGCATGTCCAGCGTCGGGACGACTCAGAGTGCTCTCGCTGTAGGGTTTTCCTTCCCCATAATCGACGGGATCCTCGTGTGTCTCCGCTTCTACACGCGCCAGAAGCTGAAGACAGAGCGCCAGCTCGACGATTGGCTTTGCATTCCGGCATGGGTAAGCCTTCTCCGCACCGAAAATCATGTGTATTCTAGAAGTCTGACATTTCGGCAAAAGCTCTGTTTGACAGGCTGCTGCGCCTCACTTATCGCAGGTCGCTGTCCCGGTTGAAATACTTTGCACAGTTGCTCATTTCGTTCAGGAGTTTATAAGGGTGCCTTTGTCGATGGCGCGCCTACTACTCAAGAGGACGTCGTAGCGCAGGTATGTCAACTCCATCACCACAACATACTCGCCCAATGCCATGGAACTCATCTATTCTATAGGTCACAGCTGCGCTTGTGATTCTTTGGATGGGGACCAACTTCCTCGTCAAGTTGATCATGCTATGCTTCTATCGTCGCATCTTTGTCGGCCGCGCCTTCAACATCTGCAACTGGGCCCTCATCGGGCTCTCGGTTGTCTGGTTCGTCTACGCTATACTATCGTGGCTATTCTACTGCGGTATAAACTTTAAGGAGAATCTCGAAGGAGGCTGGTCCGCCTGTCCAACATGGGGGTTTGAAATCCAGATGGGCGTGTTTGCCTTGGACAGCTTTATCGACTTCTTTTTGTTGGCAATGCCTATTCCGTTCGTGAGTATTTTCGCTCGTTTTGTTAATAGCTACCTCTAAAAGCGTCACTAAAACTGCCTCTAGGTATGGCGCCTGCATCTCGATTTCAAGCGCAAGATAGCAATAAGTGTAGTGTTCATTTTAGGAGGCTTGTCCGTCCCCCCCCAATGCCCCCCCCCCGTGCCAGGCTAACTCGCTTCTAGCGCTTTCGTCGCTGGACTCAACAACACCATCATCCAGCTCGTAAACCTCACCCAACCAGAGCTTACAGAATCTGGCAGCGGGGCCAATTTCTTCCAAGGTATTTCAATGTCCAGCATAGCCCTCTCCCGGATTTCACCTCATGCTAATCGCGATGAGCACAGGATCCTCCCTGCTCTTCTCTAACTGGCCTACGATCGAGATCGGTGTCGGCCTGCTTGCATCCAACCTTCCACACCTCTCCTTCCGGCTCGGTCGCGCAATTAAACAGTCCCTGCCACGCGCGTTGCGCGTCTCGCTTGACTCGATCCGACACGCAGCCGCGGCGTTGTCGCTGTCCTCGGGACGACACCACCCCTATGATCAGGGGAGCGGGCAGAGATCCGGCGATGAGGCGCGGGATAAAAAGGGAGAAAGTGTGCAGGGATTGCGACCTGGTACGGGACAGGGAAAGTGGGTGGATGCGGCGAAGAGATCGGATGAGCAGAATTCTAGTTGGAGTGGGGAAGCTATCGAGTTGCGCGATATGGCAGTAAGTAGAACAGGAGATGATGCAGTGTAGGTGGTGGGAGGTACAATGAGAACTGATTGGTAAAACGGAATGAGAAATATACCCTGGGAATGGGAGAAGGAATTTTTATTTAATTTAATAGATCTTCAAACATCAGTCTCGCTGTATTCGGACCATTCCTTCCCACGCCAGAATTTCTGGCCGCCCCTGAAAGAGTGCTCGATCATGTCTTTTGCCTTTTCTTCCATCCTTGCCTCGAAGTTCGCGATACTACCTTTCGTGATGCCTTCTTCAGCAATTATCCGCGCTAGATCTGCGGCATTCAAGATAGCCGTAGCACCGCCAGAACCACCCATAGGACTCATTGCGTGCGCTGCATCGCCGACAAGGGTGACCAGCTTACTAGGCTGACCAACTGAGCTAATTTCGATGTCTGGCTTGCTCGACAAAACAGGTGCGCAAGCAGACAGATCATGCGTAGCCGAATCAAGCAAAAGCTTGAGGGCGGGGTGCCAGGTCTTGGTCACTTTCTCCAAAAACAACTTTTTCTCCTCCACCGTCTTTGGTAGTAGTTCCGAATATTGTGAAGATGCTGTACAAACAACCCAGAATACGTAGTCGGGGAAATCAGGTAACTTGGCGTCCGACTCTTGCCGCACGCTTTTCGACCATATCATAGGCTCAACGACAACCTGAACATTAGTCTCCTGGTCTAGATACATACACCAGCTCAGCATATCTTGCGGTATATTCTCCTTTAGATCGTCGGTTAATAAAGTGCGGCCCCACATAATGCTGCGCTCCAGATCAAGCAATTTGCGATTTGGCTGTAGCTGCTTACGCACACGGCTTCGGATACCGTCTGCGCCGACGAGAAGCCTCCCGGATACGGCCGAGCCATCAGTAAATTTGACTTGAACTTGCCCGTCCACGATTTCGTAGGATCTAAACTCTTTTCCGTATTCAACAGATTGCTCAAGGCCTAGGGTGGTCAGCATACGGATCCATGTCCGGTCGATGGCCATCGTATCCGGATCTACCGGTGTTAACTTTGCGAAGTCGAGCTTCTTGGCGTCGACATATCGCGGCTTAAAGAGAAACTGATCGGCTGCGGTGCGTTTGAGAAGGGCCTGTAACTGAGGCGATAGGACGCTGTTGAGGGCGGCTTGGCTATCTCTGGAGATACGAAAACGGTGGCCTTGTGAGCTATGTGACTGCGGATGGCGCTCAAAGAGACGAAATGGGATTGAGCGGAGGCGTAGGCCTTGCGCCAATGTGAGACCAGCGACGCCGGCGCCGATAATTAAGACAGGTTGATCGGATGAAGTCATGGCTTGAATGATTGGATATCTGCCCTGATGAAACCAGGCAGTGGGAAGGTAGGGGAATTAGTTTCCAATTGTTATATATTGTTAAGCACCATTAAGAACATCGATTCAGCCTTCGACGTCACCGTGGGCTGTGATCGGGCTCATATCAGGTTAGTTGTAAGAGTCGGCACCTAAAACATACCACAATGAGCATATCCATTTCAGTATTATGTAAGCATGTCTTTTTGTTGCACATAGTCAGTCGCATCCGTGAAAATAAAAAAATAAGCTGCATCTGTACTTCGTAGGTAGGTACCTACCTAGGGAGGAAATTGACAAACAATATTCTGGAGGTTACGTCCTACAGATGGACCCCTGTAACTTTAAGCGGGTGCGAAGGTCACTCACTGAGTGGGGTAAGTCACTAGTACCTTGCGCTAAATTAGCTCTCCCAGTGTACCTAAACCTTATAATGACCAGCAATATCTCTTTTCTTCAGCTTATTATCTAAGGATTATAGAAGATTTGAAGTTCTTCATCACATTTGCTAAACTATTTATCTAGTAGATGCTTATAGAATATCCTGTAACATATGTATTCACCTCTTATTGTTCTTAACTCTATTCCTCTACAAATAGCCAATTTTAAGCTTAAAAATTAAGCTCAAAGTGCCTAGCACCGAGACCCTGTTCGAAACGTGGGGGTGCTATCTACCTGCCTATCAAGCCTGCAAGCGTAACTCAATGCCGACACAAACAAAACGGTAACATCTCGGAAGAGGCTCTCCGAAACATTATCTTACACCTTCTTCCTAAGCACCCAACCCGTCCGACTCACCCTCGCAGCAGCGAGAAACCCCGCTCCTAGAAGCATGCTGGTAGCAGCCCATATCTGCGCCCCCAGATAACTGCCTCCGCTGGCCTGCACGATCGCGCCCGCGATCGGGCTCCCCGTCAGACACGCGAACGCTACCACGCTGAATACCATCCCCATCCTCGTCCCGAGCTGGCTGAGGTCGTCTGTCAATGCCGCCAGCGACACCGCGAATAGCGATTGGATTGCGCTTGCTACGAGGCCGTATAATGCGGCGAACGCGTATAACGAACTGTGCTCATGTGCGACGGCGGGCCAGCAGTATAGCACGATTGCGACCGATACGGCCGTGGGGACAGCAGTGTTCAGAGGGCCGAGGAAACGCGCGGCGATGAAGCCTGGTAGGACGCGCCCGGGGATACCGAGACCGTTGGTGATTAATAAGATGTTGATAGAATCGAGTGAGGTGAATGAGGCGTAAGTGTAGCCGTAGAGATCGATCTGGTGATTTGTGGTTAGGGATACGACAATATGGGATGGCGGGGAGATACATACGTAGTAGAAGGCGAAGTAGACTGCCCAGTAAACGAGGAAGAAGCCGATGACGAAGAAGATGTAGGGCAGCTCCGTGAAGGCGTGGAGGTCGGCAAGAGGTCCGGATTTGCGGGCTGGGACACGCACGCGAAGGAGAAGGTTGATGAGGATGCAGACGAAAAGGGTTACGAAGGCCATGCTGCGAATCGTCCAGCCGAATCCTGATTTGACTCACGATAAGTTCTCGTTTTTCGGAGAAAAGAAAAAAGCGGAAAGGAAGGACAAAAGCTTACTCACCGACAAGAGGAAGCAGTTGTTGGGCCATTGCTGGATAGACAAGCCCGCCGGAACCTGCTCCTGATGCGATAATAGCGACGGCGAGAGGTTTTTTCGCCTTGAAATACGACGATGGCACCGAGAGGCCAGGCATATACAGGATGCCCATACCAAGTCCGATGCAGATTCCCTGCGCGAGAAGGAGTTGGTAGTACTGCGTGGCCAAACTAGTCATGAACGTGCCAAAGACGATCAACAGGGTCCCTGCTAGGACAGCTTCGTGTACGAGGCCCGCGTCACTCGCACGCCCTGAGAGAGTTCCGACCAACAGTAGCATAAATATCTGTACCGTCCCAATCCACGACACCGTCGACGGCGCAGCCTGAAGCATCTCCTCGTAGGTGGATTGGAAGATACCGAAGCTAGTGATCAAACCCCAAGTAACGAAGCACATCAAGTGTCCAGCCAGAACCTGAAGCCAGGCCCGGATACCACCGTCGGGTGGAGGACCCGGCTCCTCTGTTGGGGGAGCTGGAAACACGCCCCATTTCCGACGAGCCTGAGCCGGAATGAGATTATTCTCCTCGATGCTATTATCGTGAGTGTCGGAGAGCTCTGGCTCTGACCCCTCCTTTTTCTCAACCATATTGACGTCTTGCACGTCGTGGCCTTCCTATAGTATTTCTTTCAAAGCAATTGCCCCGAGCGTTTTGTTTGACTTGTGGAAGTTGTCTACTACGAGTAAAGTAGTGAAAAGATGTTAAGATGAACCGTTGCGCGTCATGCCTAACTGAAATAACAGTAATCTTAGTACCTAGTATTCAATCGACGAAGAGAAAGCTCGGGAAGCTCATTATATACATACTGGGTAGGTATGGCATCACGTGTTGAAGTCGCAAGGTAAGGGACAAAGAACAGGACGATTTACGGCCTCTCACTCGACAGCTGAATTATACATCACTGGTATTTCGCCGAGCTTGGTGTGACAGTCCATCGGACTCATATTCTATCCGCTATTACCTTTTTTTAAGCATCATGTATTGTGGCTTCAATGGTTGCAAAAACGACGCTGGTCAGCCTGGGGGCTAGAAAGGTTACGAGAATTGGACATACTACAATCACACATAATTAAGAAGGTGGTGTTGTATCGGTGGGCCAGGTCATTAATATATTTGTTACTGCATCTCATGTCGATCAACGTCCAATCAACGACCGTCCTTTACGATACCTCCAATCGATAGGCTCTTCCCGCGACATCGGTCCTACCCTCCCTTACCGTCCAGATGCTGTCCGCCCTCGGCCTCGTTACTACTTAGCCCACCATGACCTAGAAGCCCTATTGCCCGCGTCAAGTGTGGGGTTCTCTCCAAAGTTGGCATTTCAGTTGGTCTTAGCATAGGCAGAAGCTCCAAGCAGTGGACCCGCCTCGAAGTTAGCCCTCTTAGCGCCCTCGGCATACGAAGAGTCAGCCTTCTGGCCTACTTGAAGCATGGGATCGGTCTCAAAGTCTACGCCTTATCAGCTCAAGAACGATTCATGTGTGGGGTCTCCTGTAGCTGTATCAATGGCATGAAGCCTAAGGAAGGAGTCTACCTACTGGCGGGTTGAGCCACGGGAGCCGCAAAGATTTGGGCCACGAAGGCCAGGACAATGGCGACGGTGCTGACACGGGCGAGCATGATTGTAGATTTCGATTTGGATATTATTCAGGCAGGAAGTAAAGGATTTTGTTGACTTTTTGTGGAATGGTGTGGATTATGAGAAGACCTTTATGTGGTTTGTCTCTCGATACTGATACTATTTGTCCGTCTGACTATAATATATCCTCCCCCCTATTCGGCCAAAGACGGAAAGCCAAGGCGACGAGAATGCAGGATGAGTCCATTGAGGCAAACGAATCGGCGACGACGACTATGTCACCATCCACATCCCGCCTAATTAGAGCCTATCATGAAGCCCCCGTGCCACGGCCTTAAGAAGATCTACTCTATAAACTTCGACGACACGAGGATCGAGCCACTCAAAGGCAGCGTGTTATCACGCCTCTACTCTGAAGGATTCTCAACTATCAATATCCAGCTCGTTTAATGCAGGAATATCAGGATCATCGCGCATCTAAGTGCGGCAGAGATATGACTTGTCGAATAGTTGTTGGATCAATATCTAAAGAGGGTAGTATTCTGAGCGGAGTGGAGTTTATGTTTCATCAAGTTGAACGCCGAGATATGCACTGTTCCTCTGGATACCGATACCCCATGAGATCGGCGGCTTAGAGTAGGTGACTCGTCATACCACTTTAATGGAGATAGCTTAATTGTATGCTTAATTGTAAGCTTCTTTCTTCCCGGCAGAGCTCCTCATCATTCCAATCGAAGCTGATATTTTTCGTCATCCACCAAAATGGAATATGCGGCGCTTCCGACGAAAGAGTCTACAGAATCCGAGACTCTACTTCTAAGCGAAATCGCTTCACTTCGACCAGACAAGCCAAATAAGTTACATAGGTGGCTGCATTGGGCTTTTCATGGCATCAGCTCTGCTATTATAATCACCCTGCTCATACTTCTGAGCCTAGTCTCTCAGACAAGCCGGGCTAAATGTTGGAGCATGTTTAATTACTACTGTAAGATCCCTAGCTGTAAGGAAAAGGACTTCGGATGCTGATATGATGAAATACTATAGCTCCAGTAGACGATGCCGTTGTTCCGCATCCATATGTCCATCAAGTCTTCAATGGCTCACTCTGGCACCAGAACCGTTGGAAAGGCCCGCCTACTGAGGAAGTCGAGAAGGCCTGGTATGAGGTTATGCAATGTGAGCAAGGTCAATGAGCTCTAACATTCATTACTAATTATTTTAACTTATAGATGGCATGATCAGTGTTTCCAAGGAAGATATTGAGAAGGTCCAGCATCCCGATTGGTCAGCCAAATTTCCCCCTGAAGCTGGTGGTGGATATATCGCCGCGACCATTGGAACACACCAGGTGCACTGTTTACATTACATCTGGCAAGATCACTATATGGAGTATTTCCCGGCGACGCAGGACAAGAAGCAGCGTGTGCCGGAGCTGTACGAACTCCACTACGAGCACTGCATTGACTACATCCGCCAGAGCCTCATGTGTCAATTTGACACCGGCATCATCCCGTATAACTGGGTCTTGGACCACCAGAACCCGACACCGAATGCCAACACGCATCACAAGTGTGTTAACTGGGATGCTCTGCAGGGATGGCTGAAGAAGAGGGCAGTGAAGATGCCTGATAATTTTCAGTGGAAGCAGCCTGAGGACGCTATTTCCCTTGAATGGAACCCATAGGGAAGCACAAGACCATTGTATCACAAACAGTGTAAAAGCTCAAAGCAGCACTTTTAACACACGCGTATCACCTAAGAAAAGATGGTTAGCTACTGGCGCGGGTTTTATTGACGGAGTGTCTTGAGCCTAAGCTCAGGTCATAAAGGGGCATACCTCGGACATGGATATTCGTCTAGAGACTTAGGTAGCTATTTACACCAAGGTGATAAATAAAGAAGTATAATTAATGAGTGTAACAACATTTGACAATATTCTAATCATTTATCAATAGCTTTTACTCATTCACATTGTGATATAACCTAGAAAGATTCCTAACGAGAGTTTTGCCCCTATTACTCCATGGAATTCCGCCCAACTGCACTTGTCACCGCATCATGACTCGACAATTCTGATATCTGATGGCCGCCGAGGGTTTCCGAGTTCCAACTTGAGCTTATCGCACTTCGGGGTTCATCACCTGAAAGCTCGGACTTGAAGGTTGAATTGGCGGCTAGCTCAGGCTTATACCCATACCAGCCCGGGCTTGGCGGTTCGGGAGTGGTGGCTATTTCCTTGTCAGGACTAGATGCCTTTTCTCTCATTGCGACAGCGGCGGCGTCTGCTTGCCCATCTTGAGGCGAGGTGTTGTCCGGAGGCGGCGGAGGAGCCGAAGCGGCAGCTGCTGTCGTCTCCCCCCCTTTCCTGCGGCGGAGAATGAAGGCGAGGAAGATGAGGGCAGCGATTAGGGGAACACCAATACCTACACCGACGCCAACACCTACCTTTGCGCCCGACGAGAGTCCATGCGAAGTATCTGCAACAGGAGCAGGTGATGTCGTCGACGTCGGAGATATTTGAGGAGATGAATACGAACTACTAGTAGTCGAACCCAACGTAGGAATTGCAGTAGGGTTATACGAAATAGTTCCTCCGGCAGCGGTCGGTAGGATTCCAACTTCATCGAGCGTAGATTTCCCATTCGAGTTCCGGATCAATGGCCTCGAAGCATTGCACTTGCAATCCGGTTCTTTCTGTATCTTGATCCAGCTCGTGTGGTTATAACATCCCGACCATATGTCTATATCAGCACCTTCACACCGCGCCATCGCGACGTATTGTTGATTCGGATAATCGAATTTGTTGGTACATTCGGCGGAACTGAAAGTTGTGTCTGTGCATCCAGCGACGTATGTCACCACGTCTACCATGCATGTTAGATATGATCATCTTACGTTACAGCTCTAGATAGTGTTATGTCATAATGAAGACGCACATTCTTTATTCCAACACGCCGTGCTTGACAGACAGTAATCCCCAGCATAGCAGCAAGACTGGGGACCCATAAGCGCAGCATTGCCACAGGGAATGTAGTTCGAGTCAGCAACTTGGCCTGGACCAAAGAAGCATGTGCCGTTTGAGATGTAAAGGGCAGTGTCATTCATGATGCTTGCTTGGTAGAGCAAAACTAGATACCGGGCGACGGATTAGAAGTGTAGCCAGGTAAGCACCAAACTACGGGAGATGCGGGGAGGGGGGATTCCCTGAGAATTTGAATCATATAGTAGGCATCCTCCTCTTCACATGGATTACAAACCTTCACATAAGGCTATGTTGGGAACCATTTACTCATAGGGCCACAGCTTCCTATTCACCGTCGGAACATAGAGCATCATTCCATGCATGTCAGCATCCATATCGAGCACCCCATGTGTTTCACGGCATCAGGACACCCCAAATAGGGAGAAGGCTTGCCGCGATGCACTATAAGTTCGTCTGGGGTCGGGATAACTATCTTCAGCCGGAAATTCAACATCACGACTCGAACGCCGATAGGATGATGCACGAAGCGGAACTCGATGTACTCAACTATCCGAAGAAATATAGTTCCATTTCATTCACCGAACCCTAATCTGTGTATATTGCTCCATATTCCCTCATTATAATGGCGATGAGTCGCGACATTCGTTGAGTATCTTCTGAGAATCATGTAAGATGTTGGTGGTATAGTTTTTTGCTTCTACCAACAGGATGGTATCGGCTGTAGTGGCTGCCTATTAGATTGCAGAATGGCGTCAATCTATACCAAAACGAGGTATAAAGATCGACGATGGCTTCTTTGAGGGTGGGCAGTTAGGTAGATACTTTGTGATTCATTAGATGACTTGCTGATGAAGATCACTTCCTTTTTCCCCATCGTGATATGCAGTTTTATACCCCGAAAGCTGTGAGGATACCGTGGTAAGACATAATGACGCGCACAAAAACTACTGCTGTCGGCCATCCCCTGTGTCACCGAATCAACACCTTTCGTCAGCCATAGCATCTGTAGGCTACCTAGATAAGGCACCTACCTAGTGTAGAGGGGATAGTGTGTCATGCAAGAATGTTACTATATGTAACGCATCTTGGTACGGATGAGGTGCCATTAGGATTCGATCCGACTATTGTTTTTAATTGGCGTTTCCACCCCGATCTTGCAAAGTGATCTTGTAGTAAACCTAATACACGCTCGTTCAGTTTCCAGTGATAACTTCTCTTTTTCATTTTCCCCCCTTTTCTTTGATAACGTTTACTTACTTGGTGACTGTGAGTTAGTAATCACCACTTGACATTATATTCACGGTTTACATCCGGTGACAGCGTAGAATAGGTAGGTAAATAGGTGGGCTGCACTGTGTTCTTAATATTTATAAAGAATGAAATCTACCTACCTAAGCTCCCATAATATTGCACTGCAACCAATATCGAGACCCCCAAGTTAGATAATATATCCAGGCAATGTCGCGTGCTTCGAAGATGCAATTTAATCTAGCAACCGCACAGAGAGATATTTTCGACTGGTACGAAAAAAATGAATACAAAATTGACGCCGGAGCGATCTTCTCCCCGGAGTGGCAAGGTCGGCTGATCGAATGGAGCAAAGAGTTCGACAGCGGCAGCATGTCAGATATACGCGAGGATATCAAACTGCATGAGAAGAATCCCGAAGAGCTAGCGCTTGAACGCCTTTTCCAGGCATATCCAATTGTGGCTTTCTCACTCTGGTATGTCCTGCAATCTTGTTACGAACTCGATGGGATTATTTGCGGTACAACACTGCAGAACCGAACCAATATAGCTGAGTGGCGGACGTGGCGTCCTTTCCGGTACCTTCTGTCTCAGGATATCGCACGCTGCTGGCAAAAGAACCTGCATGACTTATTTTCCGAGGCGACAAGCTGCACCGACAAGTTCGAGAAAGAAAAGATAGACAACCGCCTGCAGCGCATCTCTCAGGCTATCCGTCCTCTTAAGGAAGCCGTGGCGACTCTCACTTCTGTATTTGAGGGAAGAAAGAAAGAGCTGGTCTACATATTTTGGATGTTGAAGGTAGTGCAGGAAAATGTTGATAAAAGATGGCCGCCGATGGCAGGTGCTCTTTATTAATTGGTGATGGGACGCTTGGACCTACGAAGTTCGGATTAAACATCTGGACTATTAGCTACGTCTCTTGCGTACTAGTGCGCGATTAGATTGGTAATTGATTTATATTAAAACCGAGAAATTTGGACCTTGTGCTGATGGCTCAAAGCCGTGTAAACTGAAATATCGTATTACTATGTGGGGGTTTTCTTTAGTGGACAAGCCCTATAAGTGGGTTTAAGTTATGGCGGCTACCCACAAGAATTTAGTGAATAGATCACTGCCAGGTCTCTGTTTTAGCCTGGACCAAAAACAGTATGGAATAATGGCTTATCTAATTGCGCATTAGGTAAGCAAGGGACGTGGCTGCCAGGTGATGTTGATTAGATAATCTATCTTGTAACTTGGAACTATGTAACTGTTATCCTCCGGTCTCCTTTTTCTTGGTCGAATTCAATTCAATATACAAGGCCTCGTTAAGACTATCCCCAAATCAAGTCTTGGGCTAGGTCCCTGATTAGATCACTAACCTAAGGAATAGGAGACAACTTACGTAAACAATCAATTTTGATATTCCGGTCCCCTCAGTACTTTAAAGCTGCTTTCATAGTGAGGGTTGACGACTTTGAAAACTAGTACATCGATTATAGATTAAGATTAAGAAGCAGTTAGATATATGGAATATGGTTTCATTTAACACATAACTTTAAAAAACATATAATATTCGAATTTTGTTACTTGAAATGAAAAGGGGTAAAACCCTTGACTAATGAGCTTACCTAATCCATAGTACGGAGAACTTGGCTCGAACTGCCTTGAACTTCGATACTAGCTTACATAATCTTGAGTTACCTAATCAAAATATTAGGTAATTTTTACCTCATCTTTGAATTACCTAATCACGGAAAACACCCATATTACATAATTATAATGCTGATACTTAGTAACAATTCTCCATTTTAATGGCGCGAAATTGTTTCTTCTCACAGCATCTTAATATCTATTCATGGAAATGATTTCTATCGTTTGAAACTAGATCTTGAAGATAAATAATCCACTGAATCGGCCGGTGCTGCCATCATGAACCTTCTGATGAGATCCAGATGAGCATTCCCTTCGCATTGAAACTCATGACGGCGTCATTCATTTCTGCGTATATATCCCCATATTCGTTACGAATTTACTCTTCCTCGACAACTTCTCCTTCATCTTCAGCCGGTAAAATGTTGTAGATGTCTAGAAATCTGCATTAGCATCTCACTTTAAGAAGCGTAGAGTCTGTTTCTCTCACATTCGGCACGCTTTTGCTCCGATTCGGGCTCCAGGGCGGCTGCCGGGGCCGGGGCCGGTGCTGCTGTAGGGGCAGCAAAACCAATAGCCGCAAGAGCAAGAGTGAGGAAGATTGAGTACTTCATTTTTGTGACGACTTTGTAATCTGAATTTGGAATTTGAGATATGTGATGAACGGTTCGTGTTTAAGGTATGTTGCTGAGAATGCTGCCTCGATCCTCTGCGGTACTGATTCAAGGCTACTTATAGTCAGAGCAGTTCAAATGCCAAGAGTGATGACATAGCACGCAACTTACTTGAGGTTTATACTTCCCTGCCAGATCTATGCCGCAATGCGCCTTTGCTTAACTTGTCTAGGACTGTAGATATGGAAATGTAGACGCAGCTTGCCCTGTGACTTTCATTCATAGCCTATCAACCAATGAAAGATCCATATCAGCTATCACGATTCATACCGACTTCCTATCTAGGATTTCGTAATCCTTCAATCCGGTTTAAATCCCACGGCCTGGATTCTTACGGGTGGTGCAGGCTTTAGGCCCCTGTTCAAACATCTAAATAGGATCCGGTTGCCGGCAAGGTACTAGGTGATGTTTTATATGTCATAGCCTTTATTAACCTATTCTCGTATTTTTTATTTTACAGAACTTGGATCAAGACTCATATTCGAAAGAACTCACTTTCAATTCCCACAGCGATGCCGTCCAGACAAAACGAGACAGAGCATTTCCACGGTGTCAAATATGATCAGCTTCAAGATCCCGACTCTTCACCGCGACCCAGATCACACGAATTACGTTCCAAGATATGGTCATTTGTAGCAGGCATTGTTGCGGCTCTACTCGTCTTCCTAGTCTTTCAACTAGTCCGTTCGTCCTCTATACCGAAAGAAAAGACCCCCCAAGAGATCGAGGATGAGGAATGGAACCATTGTGGTCGCTCCAGCGCTGCTGCCATGTCTCGTGGTTGTCTCATGGAACCCAACTTCTACGGATGGTTTCCCTCTCGCTGCATGTTCTCAGAGCTCACTGAGAAGTATCCCGTATTTGAAGACAGAACCTGGTACTCGGACGTGAACCTAACTCGCGAAATATCAGCCAAAGATCTCTGGGAGGGGAAGCACGCCAAAATCTACACCCAAAGGCTAGTAAAGCATTGACAACTCACCCGCCCCCAATTGTAAGCTGACCTGTCGGATATTTAGGATGCATGGAGAACATTGCTTATTCCAATGGAGAAAACTCCGCTATGGGATGGAACACCAGAAGGATTTCCTCGACACTAAGACATTTAGCGCCCATCACGCAAAGCACTGCGCCGACCAGTTATCGGAGCGTTGTGAGGGCATTCAAGATAAGACTGAGGTTGAGCTAGGTTTCTACCATTGCAAGAAAACGATCTGGTAGTGGATTTTCAGGGGGGTTGTCTTGGCTTTAAGCTTTAGGGGCTTTATATGTTGCCTGGATCTATGTGGGCCGATGCAATGCGGTGGATCATGAAGAAACATATCCATGGTAAGAAATGCTAAATAGTGCAATTCAGTGGATCCGTTTCTTCTACATGTCGTGAGTAGAGACCCTGGTGAGCCCGCTTACCTACTTAGTGACCTTCCCTATTTAGAAATGTGTGATCCTGCTCGCATGCGGCGCCACATGGCGACGAAGAATTAAGCTCTAGAAGGTAACCTCGCTTATCCAAGATATCCTTCGGCTAGAGTAACGTTTCTAAAAGTGTCCTACGGGATCAATGGAAAGCTCGGGCGTTATCATGGGTACTAGAAATTGTATGAATGGATGGAGAGTAACATACTACACAAATATTCTTCTCTTAATCCGTCATACCGATTTCTTCACCCTTAGCTGGGGTTAATTGATGAGATAGATGAACCGTTCATGGCGACCTCATCCGAATACCCAAACATCAAAGATGAGTCGTCCTCAACCAGGCTCCTCTCCTCAGATGACGAGTCATGCGACTTCGAGTCGCCGGAGACAACGAAGCCAGGTTTTTGGAGCACAAGACGATGGATATTAGTCTTGATCATCTCTATTATTGCTACCAATACGATAAGCATAATAGCAACTGTTCAAGTCACTCGCCATCTTCAAAGATGCCAAAGCGTATCGGAGCCCCCGACTGGAATAGCACCACTTCTACGTAGTATACCTTCCGACATAAAGCCTACTCGGGCCAACACGCCATTCTATAATAGAGAGAATAGCACATATCGAAATCATGACTCACCCTCTACAGAGGCGGCTTGGTTAGAACTGACACAGATTCGTATGTGGACATGAATTTCGATTGAAGAAGTTTATCAACAGTCACTGACAGATATTTCCACAGACGCTGGTATTCTGTTAGTACCGAAGGAAGAAGCTAAAGAGTCCGGTATTGACCCAGAAATTCATGCATATTTTGACAATCCTGAGAAAGGACTGGTCGGTCACCCAGTTCTCATTGAAGCAACTCATCAATTGCATTGTCTGGTTCGTAAATTGACCGATTCACCGCTTATCATGAACTAGGCTTACTCAATACTGACAACACTCTAAGAACTTACTCAGACGATATTCTTACTTTAACTTCAACTACACTAGTGTAGCGGAACAGGTGGCTCTCTCAGGAACCACGGCATATTACCAAAGCCTCCACGTTGGTATGTTAAGGATCACCTCCCAGGATAATTCTTCTCACACAAATAGGCACTAAACTGTTTGTCAGATCATTGCGTTGAATATTTACGTTATCGACTCATGTGTACTGCGGATGTTGGGATTGTTCCGTTCGTATGGGCTGGCACGAAGGGTCGCCTGACGGCGGACATGGACCGTATGCACACATGTAGAGATTATGAAGCGGTACGGCAATTTGTGAAGAATAATTCGATCCCTCGCCCAAAAGAGGGAGAAGTCAAGCCAAAGCCAGGCGATCATACTGTAAATGATTATATCTAATTATGCCTACCCTTCCATAGGGGTCACAAAGGGTCATTCAATAGGTCGCAATTTTGGATTGCAAAAGAAATAAACTCTACATTAACATGATACCCAAAGGAGCTTCCATGCTGTAACTAGGTAGATTTAGTCGTTCTCGAAAAAAAAAGTAGTTCTGCCTTCGTTTCCATTTGTTATTCATTATCCGGTCATATATGATAGAGAAATCTGTATCGGAATAATGTTTCTTAGTATCATGACTATAATAATGATTGATTAGAACCGGCTCTCTTCGTCATCAATCTACCTACCTAGATATATATAATTACTTTATCCTAGACCACCATTTTCGCATCCGAATGCTCGTCCATCTTCCTTCTAGATCAAACCCGAACACTCTTGTTTGGAAAGCCTCATCATGGAACCCTCCGGGAACATACCCAGCATCGAGCCGCAAGATGGACTATCATCCATCGAGAACCTCCCTATCGATATCACATTCGAGATAATGAAGCGATTACCAGATATCAACTCCTTGTTGAGCTTAATCCAAGCCTCTCCTAGCGCAATTCGTACATACAACGCCTCGCAGTTTAACCAGAATACCATAATCAAAGGTATCCTCTCCACAGAACTTGAGGGGAACTTGCCTATGGCAGTCAAACGACTTCAAGCATTCAGGATCAAGAATAAGCCGATGAGGCCTTACGGAACTTTCCCCAGGTGGGATTACGATCAGATGATGTCGGAATTTACCGACGTATACATCAGCGGAATGAAATCGAGCCAGGTAGTCGTGCCTCTCGATTACTTCACTCTCGAGACGGCTCTTGAGATATCGTCATTCCATACCTGCGTCTTGCGTTGGGTCGATATTCTAGCCAAACGCATGCCAAGAGGACCATCCAATGGCAGAGCTTTCGGATTTCTTAGTCCATTGAGCATTCGCTACCTCGATGATGAGGAAAGGTATCGGATTATGAAGATGCTCTATATCACCGAGATTACCAGTATCCTTCTTCCTGTCGTGTACGCCATTTACAATTATAACAGCCTGGAAGATGAAATATGGCAGTCCTTCTGGTATGGTTTCCATCCATGGGAGTACTGCCAGTTCTTGGATATGCAGCAGGTACTATACGAATTATGCGATCGCAGTAAGTATTACTTTATATGTACCTAGGTATAATTGGGTTACTCTTTACTAATGTTGGTTAGAATTACGGGATCATTATTATTACAAACACTCCCCAATCGGAATAAAGCTTCGGCAAATACGGATGTTGAACCTATCGAAAGAAGAGACACTGGAACTTATCTGCAGAGTGACCGCCTTTCAAGCAGGCCTAGAGGCCTTATTAGACGTAGTACCTTCGGCAAGATCCGACCCGAAGAAAAGTGTCTACCAACCAGACATTCTGGATGTTATACAAGGCCTGGATGCACCGCTCTTGATCACTTCTAGATTTGTCCAGCATGCCAATGATCGACTTAGGACCGACTATAATCGTTGGCTCGCCTATGGTTACAAAAACCCGGAAGATCATTCTTTCGATGGTAGGGAGTTGTATTTCCCCAGATTTGCGGACAAACCTCATGAATCCGCGGGCGTTGACGAAGGTCCGTTGAGGTGCTGGCTATTTGATATCACGAAGTACAGTGAGCGCCATAATCTTGATAATAGCCGTGTATGGCCTCGCGATAACCCGAATTTCGTCATGACTTCTTTCCTAAGCGCATATCGCTGGGACTCGGAGGAGTGGCCATTACCCTCACTTTCTGATCTTAGAGATGAATCGGGAAAATACGTGCTGACGAGGGATAGCGAATTGATTCCTATACCTAGCAGATTCTATAAATCCTCATCCGCGTATCAGATTGGAGGTCGGAGATGAAGACTCGAATGCTGTAACAGATAAGTGAAAGCTGGCGGAGTAAAGAATGGAGAAGGGATTGGGAGGATGCTAAATATGACCTGGTTCTGAGCACGAGATGATGTTCATAGTGCCCCTGAAAAAAATACTATCGAGGGTTTTAGATAATTGTTTTCTAGATAAGTACTTGTTATCAACTGAAGCGACATACACTAGGTACACATTTTTACCTGCCCCATTACTCCAGAAAGCGCTAAGATATTGCCAGACCCCTTTAAGCAATTAATCCATGTGAATAAAATGGCTTCTTACCCCTACTCGTTATTGGGGAAGACGTAGCTGCGTTCTTAAAAACTCAGTCAAGCCCTTCTCAATCGAAGCCGAGAGGGCCGCGAAGATGATCATATTCGTCGATGAAGGCGGAGGGCAATACTGAACATCCGGTAATACCTCCAACTCCTCAATCCCCTTGACGCGGATCAACTCCCCAACCCAATCTAGGCTCTCGTGCTTGATGTCGAACAGAAGCTTCAGATCGTCGACGGTGAATTCCTTCGGCCCCTCCCAGGTTGTGTTGGGTCGACCACCTTGTACCATAAGCCGGAGCTTCTTGATAGACGCGTGATCTTGTAGGAACCGGCACACGTTCCTCCACTCGCTACGGTCGTAGTCGTAGGGGGGCTCCGGTCCCCGCTTATATAGGGAGATCTCCCGGATTAGTTGACGGCTTGGCGGGGTGAGATCTGAGAGGAAGGGCTCTACGGCTTCGATGTGGCTTCCGAAGTCGAATGTGTGTCCGCCGTAGACAAGATACGCCGTTTCCTCGTATATCTTCTTGTTAACTCGCATGAACGACGCGCAGAAACTGACACCTTCCGTGCCAAGCTGGTACGTAGTTGTGTAGCAGCGACGGTGGAATGAACGCTCGAGGACGTAATATTTGCTCCTTATTCGACCGTCCGACTTTTGAAGTTTGCTGGGTGTTGCATTCTGTATACGCAATTGCTTATTGCCGCCATCGTTGAAAAGGTAATCGTAGATCATCATCCGGACCTCTGCCGGAGCGCGCAAGAGTGGTGAGGTATCCATTCAGCCGTTGTCGATCGCGAGTCTCCGGTTCAAGGGGGGTCTTGACGTCCCGAACTAGAGTTCAAGAAGACATGCGTCTTTAGGAGGTGGCATTGAAGAATAAAAGGGAAAAAAGTCGACATCTCAACTTTTACATCTGTGTTGGAAACACGATTGTTATATATCTGGCCTACCGGGTTCTCGACCGGGTCAACAAGGTCCTCCACCGTGGTCGACGCTCGTCATTGGCCCACAGCTATCAACTGCTACCCAATTCGGCAAACATACGACATGAACATATGATAGATCTATTGGTCGGCGATACTGTTCTGCTGCAGATTGGGTTGTCGTTAGTTGTTCCACTCCACATTTCGATCACGTCAAATAATTTGTGAGTTTGTAAGTTTGTAAGCGTCAGCCACCCTGTTAAGGCGTAATTATTTACCGCGTGGCGCACCTTCCCCCGTTATTCTCTTCATGCGACAAGCTTTTATCTCCGAACTCAGTAAAAATAGATTCTCCGAGTTGAATTGGAAATTTTATTCACCCGTGGTTTGGAAAGCGAGATCAGTAATGAATTTGAGAATATAGTTAGTAATCAGAGGACAATCTTTCGGCCCCCACCGAAGATTCGTACCTGCATGCGAAAACATGCCAACACATGCTAAAATATGTAATAATATGGAAACGCATGCAGCGTATGAGGCGATGCCCTTTACCTTGGTTGTTAAGCTATCATATAGTTTGCTGTCGCCATCAAGGACGGACGGATGGATGTAGTCATCATACGTTAGCTGATTTGTCCCTGTATCAGTGGAGAAAGGAAAGGGAAATTCCGTCTCAAGGTCCCATAGCCTTTCATGCACTTCTAACACAACCTATCGAGAACGAGAACAAGTACTCCTATCTAATCTACAACGGTTACTTAGCGGGTATTCAATCTGAATACCTTAATTCGACTTCTTACTGTACAAAGATCCGCAGTGTGCAATTAACCGTTAATTCATCATCAATTGATGGTTTGCAAGATCAAACGTTTGAAAAAAAAGAAACCGTCGACTGCGCGTTTTTTTATTTAATCGTTTATGTTTTAGATTAATATTTACTCCTTTTCGAAACGTTTAGAAAATTTAAATGTTTAATAAATCTTTAAACATTCGATATGAAGCCCTTGATGTACCTAAACGGGAAGCTACAGGAGCTAGCGGATAAGTGTTTCACTTTAGAACCAACAAGCAAACGGGCCAGATCAGGTTGAATCATCTAGCCCTCTACGTTTCTACGATTTCTACGGTTTCTACGATTTTTACGATTACAGGATTACCTACCTACCTACCTACCTACCTACCTGCAAGAGCCGCAGTTGAGCCTCAAGTCACTGGCAAATCGGATAGGCTGGAGGTCCTAGAGATCCTGGAGATCCTGGAGATCCTGGAGGCGATCCTGGTGTATATGGGGTGGGTAGACTTCTTCAAAGACTTGGAGGTTTTGAAGATGAAGATGAAGATGAAGAAGAAGGATAGGTAGTAGGTAGGTGGGTGGGAGCAAGGTCTTATATACACTTCAAGGGCGGATTAGATCAAAACAACAAGATCAAAGTACTGAAAGGGTTACACACACCAGATCAGGGACTTCGAATAGTTCGAGCTATCGCCAAACATTTATTTGAAAGAAACGTTGACTTTTTTTCCAACGTTTGAAAATATATAACGTTTAAATGCGAGTAATCGTTTAATTTTATAAATATTCAGATAATTAAATGTTTACGAAATCAAACCATATATTGATAGTTTGAAAAAGAATTATCCGTTAATTAAGATGGGCTAGTTTAGCGAAGTATCCCGTGTAAGGGATTAGTCAATTCTCGTAGATGGATGACGGGAGGACCCGCATCTTGCCCCTTAAAGCATGGTGGCTTTATATAGGAAAATGCCGGAATACAACTAGACCCAACGACCTCGAGAAGTTTCCTGCAATGGCGTCATCACAAGTTATCTTCAAGGGTGCTGTGTATTCAATCTTATGTAACCAGGACGAATGCCAAGTGATGTTGGCTTTATCGTGCGGTTCTTGAGAGGTGGGCTCGTATTTGTGACTTTGCTCCCTACCATAAGTATTGTACACGCGGCCAATTCCTTCTGGAAGCTTGTTGGATGTCTCACTGTAATTTCAATGTCTCATACGGGGCAAAAGCTGTGGAAGTTCCGAGAATTTTAGTATTTAATATTCGTGGCTTGCTGCTGACTATGTGATTGGTACTCATTAAAGGCGAGACTTGCACCATGAACTGAATTTAGCAGTACCTACTTCCATCCATGCTTGCCCTGAAAGTGCATCTCATAGGTACCCTGTACGAGAATATGGGTAACCCTTAATTAGACATATCTTGCGAGGTCGTTTGCCAACTAATTTATGTGGAGAGAAGTATACATAGGGTAAGTATTGACCTCAAAGTTTCCTAAGTTTTGTTTAGACTTTAATTTCATAAAGTATAATTAGAACTTAACTATCAAGTTCACTAGCCGAGTTCATGAATATTGGATCTGGGGAAGGATGACAATAACTTTTCAAAACGGTCTAGTCAATACTGCAATGCGCAGAGAGTCTTTGTGGTAAATTCTCTCGATACATGCGCCTCGAAAACTTGGTGGTGGCTGTTATCCCCCTTCTATCTCGACAAACCCAGCCTATCCAGCCCGCCGAGCCACAAAATAGGAAATACGACAGCGTCTCGCTCAAGAGAGCATGTACGAAAACAGTCCAAAGAGCATCTCGTGATCTCTTTTTAATTCCGCTAAAGGCTGATTCGTCTAAGCGTCAAACCATTTATAGATTTGGCGTCGTGACTAAGCCCAATGGCGACGTTGTTGATACCTTACTATCTATGCAATGACGTTGGGCACACGGGTTTGTTCCGCTCTCTCCATGGGGGTTCACCTGAGTCCGGGGATCCGAAGGGTTTCGCGACGGGCAGGTTTGCTAGGATATTTGTGTGACGTGCGCGGGAGCGGTAGACTAACCGTCCGCGACCCCAACAAGCACGTACTTATTGACGTAGCCTAACTTTCAGCTGCGGTGTCCGAACCAAGTCTCCAACACACAATAAACGCGTTGTAGCCAATTGTCGCGTACCCCTAAGCGCACTCGCATGGAGCTAAGGCGATACCCCGGGCAGCGGCTGAACGTGGCTATCTTTGCATATCTGCACCGTAGCAAGGCGCACAGATGGGCAGATCCCCAAGGCAAAACGGGAGATGTTGCAAACGCGCGAACGAGAAAATAGAAAAAGGTTAGAATGAGGGATTCTGGGCGTCGCGGACCCGGAGATTACTTATGTATCTAGGCATGGGCGTGGCTCGCGACACTCGGATCCTGGCTTCTCCCCCCTTATCCCACGAAATGAAGAGGGAATTATAACTATAGATCTTCGCAGTTCTTCCAATCAAGTCTGATTCTTCCTTTTTTTTCTGTCATGTAAGTCATTTCTTAAAATGCCCGCCATGTCGATCAAGACCCTTATTCGCAAACTCTTTAGGGCCACCATAATTATCCGTGTAGAGACGACGGCGGCTAGGGAGTGCGAGGTCATCGACTTGACGGTACCGTCAAGGGAGCCATCGGTTCAACCTGTGATGGGTCCAAAGTCATCTTCTACCACCCTTGGGACGGATAGATGTGAGCGCGAGAGTTCCAGGACCTTATCGAGAGAAGTGACACCGGCTCCCCCCGGAGAGCTTGCGGGAGAAAGAGAAATCCAAGAACTTGATGGTCCGCCAGCGATATTCAAGGGGAAACAAGTTCGTCGCTCACCTTCACCGGCGATAATATCAAGGAGTCGGGTTGAGGTTGAAGTAGTCTCGCCATCTAGATCAACAGTGACAGTGGCGGAAGCCAGCAACAGTAATTCCGTCTCCGAGCTATCCGCCACCGCAGAACGCGGAAGGAGCCCCATCCCAACGGCGACCAACGGCATTAACAGTAATAACAACAGTCCAAAACAACTCAAGCGCCGTTATGAGTCCCCAGAAATCACCGTCATCGTCAAGGAAGAGTCCGGAGACTACAACGCCCCATCATCTCCAATAGACGAATACCCCCGCTTCATCAAAGCCGACGACTCAGATGACGACAAATTCGAGTTCTCACCCAAGAAGCAGCGAGGTTCCTCCCCAGAATTCGACCTGACACCGATCCCCTTCTACCGCTCCTCCACTCCCTCACCCCTCCCTCTCCCCATCCCCTTCCACCACCCAGAATACCCAGATCGTCCAGCCCTCCGCTGTCCGAAGAAGAATCCAGAACACCTTGTAATCGAACGCGAAGAATCGACATCAAGCCGGAATCCAAATCGACTATACTACAAATGCCGCGACGTAAGTCCCCACCCCCTTCCCCAATCACCAAACCCCACACTAACCCCTCCCACCCAGTGTCCCGGCTACGGCTCCTTCATCTGCTGGGCCGACTCGCGTCTAACCTGGGCAGCGGGACGGACAGGCGTAACGCCCAAAGACCGGCTATGGCCACGGTGCTGGTGCGGCCACGCGGCGCGAGAGGACATAACAGGGGACAAGGCGAAGAACCCGAACACGTTATGGTACAAGTGCGCCACGGACGCGTGTCGGTTCCGGCGCTGGGACTCCGACGACCCGCTGAGCCCCGAGGAGATTAATCAGTATAGCGGGAGTCAGGTGTATCAGATCGGGTATTGAAAAAGGCAAAAAGGACTATCGCTAAATTTTTATTTCGTGTTTGGTTTGGTTTACTGTGCTGGAGTCGGGAGCCAGGGGAATGTATACGGATCGTGGTGGGCGTCGGTGACGGGTTTCAGGGTTTCTGATATGGTGACCGGGCTGTTGTATTTATAGTTAGAGAACTGGATCGGTTGGATATTTGTATTTAAAATGAGCGTAACATACCCAAGTGTTAAAAATGGCGGTTCGTTTTTTGGATGAAAAAAGTGCCTATGCTAAATGATACTGAAATTGAAAAGAGGAATGAAAAATAGGAAAGAATCGTTTAATCTGAATAAAAAAAGGCTTGTAAGATTAGTGTCGTATGATACCAGTACGAAACACCTGTATCTGTTAACAGTTCTCAAAACAACGGTCATATTTCTCAAATATACTATTCTCAGCCAGCTTCCGAGCCGGCCATCAAGCTATGTGACGATACCCTGAAATAGACCAGGTAGAAGCATAGGAGTCGGTCACCTACATCTACATATACAATACACAATGACGAGAACCACCCGTAACCCCGTTGACGCCGAGCAATGCAACCCATTATAACCCACAAGAAGCTTTCTTGAAATTAGGGCACCCTTTTCGAGCTGACCATTATTCCAACAGCGCTTTAGCCGCCTTCGCTATGATACCTGCGGTCTTGTCGATGAGCTTTTGGGTCAGCGACCAATCCTCCGCGTCCACGGCGTCCCGAATGGCTGGGAAATACGCCTCGTCATATCCGGACCACAGCTGCGGACCAAATACGACATGCTTAAATTGGGTTCGGTTTGGAATCTATGATCAAATGTCAGTAAGTAACCAAATTGTCTAGAATGTGGCAGTGAAAGTCGACTTACCCCGCCACCAAATTCCAAATCAAGCAGACCACTCTCAAAGTCAGCCATACGACTGTTATAGTCACCTCTTTTTTGTCCTAACCCTACTGGTTCCCACCCGTTTGATGATAAAACGGCTGATTGCCAATTAGATTCCCACCTCTCGAATTCCGAGACGGCCTTCTCGACCTCAGTAACTGCATCCTTGATTGGGTCCAGAGTATAGTGTTTGTTGACATCCTTATCTTCGCCCCACTGCCATAGGTTTCCTAGATAGCGGCCGAGAGCCAGTGCATAGTTGCCCATGTCGAAAGGTAAAACTGGTCTGTCGGCTAGTTCGAGGATGAGGAGCCCAAGAACCTGGCCGAGGAGGTTGTGATATACAAAGCCCGGGTCACTAACACGATCCATCCAGTCAAAGTTGTCATATGAAGAATGGTAAGGGTGCATGGCACCGTCAAATCGAATGTCGATAGAGCTGGTACCCGCAATGTCCTGGAATGCGACGTAGTCGCTACCAGCGCCGAGGCCCTCGAGCTCTGCATTGCGACCATCCCACAGGGCACGCAGCGTAGCGTTGAAATTGGGGTCGACGACTCTGTCGAGCACTTTGTAGAGAACTTTTCGAAACACTGGAGACGCGGCAGCATGGAACTCCTGGCCGGAAACAGCAGTGTCCAGATTTATATAAGCAAAGCCGTTTTTCTGTAGAGCCTCTAGGTTATTCTCAACATATTCTGTACTGCCGATTAAGTTGTATTCTTCGGCATCCCAACTCATGAATTCGATTGTGCGAAGTGGTCTCCACCCTCTACTTAGGAGATCGCCAAAGATGCGAGCAACTTCGAGCATGATTGCGGTTCCCGAATTAGGATCCGTCGCACCAAAGGACCAAGCGTCACGATGGTTGCCAATAATGATTGACTTCTCATTCTGCTCGATACCGGTAATTTTTCCGTAGATGTTCCAGATCTTCTGTCGTTCATTCTCGTCTTGTTCGTTCTTCAGTCGCACGATCGGCGACGATGAATTTCCTGACCACCACTCGACATCAGGTACGCCCCCTTGCCAGTCATTTGGGCACGGCTCGCCGAAGCCTTGGATATGCTGTAGGAGCACTTGAGCATCGCGCCAGGCCAATGGTAGACTTGGAATGCCGACAAGACCTGCAGCTTTGCTCTTCTCCATCCGAGGCTGGCCCTCCTTGCTTTCCCAACCAGGGGTAAGCACGTCGCCTACTACCCAGCTCATTAAACTGACACCACCTCTCTGGACACCGTCCGCTGGCATGTATCGTCCGTTGGGAGCTGGCTCCCCTTTTACAAAGCCGTCATCTGCCGGGTCGCTGTATATGATGCATCCGGCAAATCCAGCCAATTCTGCTGCTTTGATCTTCAGAGCCCTATCGCCTTGAGTGCCATAATAGCGCACGAGCGCGATGGCGCCTTTCGTGTCGATTCCCTTGTCTGCTAGCATTTTGAAATCTTCTCTCGATCCATAATTAGCATAGATTAGTGGTCCTTTCACATCGCCAGCCTTAGAATGTCCGTGGAATACAAGTGTTTGATGACCGGCCGTCTCTTCGCCAACTTCATTTTCTTCCAAGGCAGCAGTCCACGCAGCTTCCTTTCCATCTTCAGACATGATCTGTACAGCTCTGCCACCTGGAATCGGAAAGTTTAGGTAAACCTGGTATTCGTCGACCATTACATCCTCCAATCCATAATTCATGAAGTCGTTCCGCACGTCCATTGCTAGCGCATAGTCGCCTTCGGTTCCCGCGATATGTGCGTAGCTCGTAAAGTGCTTGAGAGTATTTCTCATCGAATCGGAGTTAACTTCGGCTTGTACATATTGTCGCACAGCTTCAGGGTCGAACATGTGCCCACCAATACGCCTCGTCATTTTTGTGAAAAGATCACTCATGAAGAGGATGTAGAGGAAGCCTAGAATTAAGAAAACGGCGAGCAATCTACCAACCAAGAGTATAGCAGCGGCGCTATTTATTTTCGGCAACCTAAACCTCCTTCTCTCGGTCGGCTCGTTATCTTGATCATTCGTCACATCGTTTTGGCGAGGTAATCGAACAGTAAACCTGGGAAGTCGCCATCGCCATTGCCATTTCCATTGGGGTAGAGAAGATGCTATCCGTTTTGTCCACGATGATGTAGATGATCTGGAACTTGTATCATCTAATGGATCTTCAACTTCCAGCTCTTGCATTTCGCGCCGGACGCGCGTACCTTCACCATCATCACCATCATCGCTGTCATCTTCTTCGAGCGTCCATTGCGATCCTTCATCGTCTGACTCTACGTAAGGAGGTCGATAACCGTCGGGCGCACGTCTTGATGAGTCAGTCTGCCGGGATCGTGAGAAGAGAAGTGATTGCGCTTCGGTTTCGTGGTTGGGTCTCGTATCTATTGGCGAATGAGGTCGGTGGCCTGATGAATTCCCGCCGGTCGCTTCATCGTAAGTTGGTATTGGGGGTGGTGGTATATATTGGGATTTTTCGGAAGGCATTGTGATTGTACAACGTCATTTATATGCTTTAAGAGATGAAATTTATATCAGTTTTCTTGATGGAGTCGGTCGGATGAAGAAAAATACATCGGATCGTTGGGAGGGATTAGTAGTAAGAGTAGTTGAAACGAGCGATACGAGTCGAGTAACGATAAAGGAGTGGATTTGACAAGAAAGTTTAATCAAGGGAAAGAGCCAAGAGTAGATTCAATACCACCGAGGTGGACATCGAAAGGGGGAAAACGGGAAACGAGGATAATTGATATATTAGGTATCATTTAAAAAGGAAACATGACGCTGAAAAAATAAAGTTTACGAAGTTAGATGTCTCAAATGGCTTCTGCATTTGGATCTTGAGGACTTGCAGGTCATGGTTTCTTAGTTTCTTAGTTTCTTAGTTGCGGAGCATATTAGTCATGTGGCACTGCCACAATCAGGGGAAGGAACCTAACTCAAACCTTGGAAGGACTCAAGCTTACATGTACCTAAATACACGTAACACGTATTAAATCATAGCGATATAACTGTACCGTACTAAGTGATCATATAAACAAATCAATACAAGATTACGGATGGCGGGTGGAATTGATTTCTAGAAATGCATCTTGCATCTGCATCTGCGTTTGCATCGCCTATGATAGATATCTAGTCAAAAAGACCTTCGGTGTTGATATCCGCGAATCCGGCTTCCCTACGAACTGGTACAAGAGGGGTCAGGGGACTATCGGCACTAACTAAAAAGCAATTCTCAAAAAGGACGCGAGGACGCCGAGACTCCTACGAGAAGCCAACGCATCCTAGGAAATCGTCAAGAATATACATATGTACACAGTAATCTATAACTAAACGGAAGGCCACAGAAACTACCCCTTCCCTTGTAACGACGCAGGCTCCTTAACCTTGGTATAATACCCTCAGGGCAACTCGTACATGTCGCGATCGCGTGATTTGAAAGCGTTCCGGTATCTCTATGGAGACATACTCATTTTTGTGGCGGTTGGAGAACAACCCCTTCGTACTGCCTAGATGCGATATTATCTAGGGTATGCTTGAAATGCCGCTTGCTGCTCTCTATACTGGCAGAGTCCTGTTGGTTTGTGCCTAAGTTTGAGTGAATAAGCTCAATGAGACCATTGATGTATTTAGTAGTAACCTATAAATGGTAAGCTTAGTTATGTCTCCACAAGATACGCGATATATGCTCCTTACTGATTCATTTTGCTGATCAAAATAATAGACGTAACGATCCAAAATCTCGACAAATAGCTCGATTGACGTTGCCTGCTCCATACAGGAGTCTGCAACACGCAGGGCTCGCTGCAGGCATTCTAAGACTCGTTTTCCGTCCCGATAGAGCTGTGGTGGGGGGTTAGTCAAGCTCTGCAGATCAACGCCACCAATAAAACTTACACCTTCATCCGATTCTTCAACGGCAGCAATCGGTGTTGCCCACCAAAGGTGGCTTGCTAGATATACTGCTCTGCACTGATCTGGCTTCCGCAGAAGCTTGCTTCCATGTAGAGCGCACTTTGTGATAAGAGTATCGTAATTCTCTTTGCCGAAATTCCTCGTCTGGTGCAGAGCATTGGCAATGACACACACAGCTTGAAATTGCGCCTTGGAATCAGAGATTGCCTCCTCATACACTGTAAAAGCTTGCGCAAAGAATTCATAGGCAACTTCTTCGAAGCTGGTCATATCGGCGGTCTGACCGCAAGCGGAGAACAACCTTAGGGAAAGTTCTGCAGCACCTGACCCATTGACTCTGGTATAAATACTGGAAATCGCGGAGTGCAAGAATTTATAGAGGGCACTTAATTGAGTTTCCCAGTTGTCATCATAGTGCTCTCTAGCTTTGAAGCGGCGCGCAAGCTTCATACCTGCGGTGATTAAGGGTGGGGTTGTCGTACGGATCCTCTCATTTCCTTCGGCAAACGCTTTACGGACCATTTGAAGAAGGCGGAATTGGGTATCATTGTTTTCACCGTCTAGTAGATGGATAATCCGGGCCAACCAACCTTGTTCTTCCATCGTTTCATCGGTCTCAAGAGCTCGACGCTGAGGACCACCAGGATAACCAGCAGGGGGTTGAGATCCCTCCTTGATTAAGACCTTCAGGACCTCCAGGACGTTTTCAAGTTGGGTAGTAGTAGATATTTTGGTTTGGTTACGTAGCAGAGTTCTCGCAACTTCACCAGCAACAGCTCTTCTTGTAGGATAGGTTTGGGACTGGAAGAGGGGTACATAGGTAGGAAGAGAAAGGGCAGTAAAAATAGAAACATATCTCTTGAGTGGAGCATGAAGTAATCCGAGTAGACTCTGCTGTGCTGGGGCAGAGTGAAGATCAGCACTGTTGGCATGTTCCTTGACCTTTTGATTCGCATACTCAAGAATCTGGTCAACATAATCAAGCCGGCCGGGATATATGTTCAATGCAAGATTGGCGAGTGAGACCAACAAGGCAATCGTATCCTGGATGGGTAGGTGCTGCGCATTGACAAGATTATTGACTTGCTCAAAGAAAACCTCGTACAGCTTGACGTTAGGGGGGATCCCACGCTGCTTCTTGGTAGCTTGAGAAGATCCGTCCGTTTCTTTCTCGACTGCTGTTGCTTCTGTATCCGCGACTGACGGGGCTGGTTCGGAGTCTACCGGCGCGTGACTTTCTGCAAAATCAGTAGCCTCACCATTGGCATGAACGCCATTCGCGTCCACAGATTCTTCTTCTGCGGTTGGCTTTGCCTCTGGTTGTTCTTTGCTTAATCGGACTTTTTCTAAAAGATTCGCGAGCGCATCCTCTTCGAGTTTGGCTTTGTCTTCAGCAATTTCTTCCTGGGATTCCCGCTCAGCATAGGCAGATAGCCTATCCATCAAGCCAATAACAATAGCCTTGACGTTGACGTGAGGGTTCAGCCGTGATACCGCAGCAAGGAATTGATCGAGAGTATGTAGATGGAACTCATCTGGGAAAACCTGAGTGATTATCTCTAAGAGATACTCTTGGGCGAGGACGTCGCGACATTGTACCACTTGTTCGAGTAACGGACCCAAGATACCGTCCTGGTAGGCCTCGAGATCCACCAATTGGCTTAGCCGTACGATATTGCTACCGACGAGAAGTTGTAGCTCTTTGCGTTCCTTTGTCCTCTGCTCGCGCTCTCGTGAGTGGCCTTGATGTTGTAGCCGTACCCAGAGCTTGTTCATCTCGACAAAATTTGTTAGGATGAAGTTGATAGAATCCTGGAGATTTCCTTCGGGGCCATCGCCATCGCCGGCGGGTAGGTAGTCTCTAGCTTGTCCGGATAAGTAGTAACGTAGGAATAGACCGCGAATGGGGTGTTGAACACCACGGCTCATATCCATCATATCTTTCATCAACTCTTTTACTGGTGCCCCAGGTATAGACATGTATGCGGTACCGACAGTTATCATCAGATACAAACGTGGAATAATGTTGCCGGCATATTGGACAAGTTCATAGAGGTCAGCGAGATGGTTGGTAGGGTGGTTCTCCCGAAGGTGCATGGAAAGATAGCGCATAGCATCGAAGACAGCCATGTATAATTCGTAGTATTGTTTTGGACCCAAACTGCTTGTCCGCAGCTCGGCGACTAGAGTAGAGCTACGCAATCTACAGTTAGCTAGCTAAAAATAAGAGAACCCGGACACGAGGTTATTGTAAGGGCAATTAAATCACATCTCGACTCACCAGCATTTAAGAGCATCCATAAGCTTCCCGGGTGTGTCGAGGCATTTGCGCATAAGCGCAGTCTGTTGGCGCACTGCAATCAAGGCATCTTCCAATAATCTTGCCTGATCCTCAGGCGGAGCAGGTGTTGTTGACATTTTCGGGCTACGTCGAAGATAATGCGGCAGTGGCTAGATTCGTAAGAGGAATGGATGCCGTAGAAAAGTCTAGTGATATCTCGCACAAGTCATTGGGTCGCCGTTCGCCAAATACGATGACTACAGATGCAGGAAGAGCCTGCGGCAAGTGAAGGAGATCTTTAGAAATTCGGATGCCTGTAACGAGTCGATGTGAGCGGGACGAAATTCGGAACAGTACAGGTAGGTAGGTAGCTATTGGAAAGCTCAGGGCTCTAGGCTACTAGTATCAGTGTCTCAAGCAAGCCACATTATTGTGCACCTACATAAGTCAGGACTTCAGCCACATTGTAGTAATCCCGACATATCCGGCGCTAGTTAGGTTCAAGCCCCGCTAATCCCCGAGCATTCAAGACTTTCATCTTTTCATCTTTTAATCCTGATTCATTAAAGCCAGCTATTAAATCAAAATCTCATGTTATAATGCTAAAATTCATCTTTAATAGACGATGCCATGTTTTGTGGGACAAAAAATTTCACCTATCCGAGAACGGGATCTTCGAAGGTTCAAATACAATGATCATTTTCTAGCTGCGCTTAACATTTACAAATTCAAACAATACTCAGGTATAAATAACTAGCTATCACATACATACACATACACATACATACATTCTCTGTATATCTAGGTCCACTCATGTAAGTCTATAACGACCACTAATCACCACCGACGCCGTCATCGAAAGAAACAAGACACTGAAAATCCCAAGAAACGATGACGCTGAGCTACGCCCGACCTTCCTAGGTTCCGCTAGAGCAGCACGACCCGGAATAGGGTATTTCCAAGGAATAGTCGCTGTTGGGAAGGGCTCCTTATCGTCCAAGAAATTGAGCACCTGGCCCTTACGCGCACGCCCTGAAATGATAAACCTCAAAACCAGAAGATTGATGAAACGAGGAAAGTACGGCTGAACAAAATAGTCGAAAGCCCAATACACCGAATTATACCAGGCCGACATTTTCGTCTCTATGATCGAGAGTGTCCAATCTTCTTTGACATCATCCATGCGCGAATTCTGATAGCGCTCAAACGCGGCAGACAAGGTCTCGAGGCTCGGCCCGTTCTTGTCATTCTCATCACCATACTGTCGCGAAGGGGTATGTATGGCTCGGTGTAGCTCGTTGGTGAGGGCTACCGCATCTTGCAAACCGTTGATATACCCAAGACCTTGGTTTGGCGTGAATTTGTGGGCCGCATCGCCAGCGAGCACGATCCGCCCCCAAGACCAGCGCTTCAAGATACCTTCTTCGAGGACCGCCATGCCGACTGTGTATCGCTGCGCGAACACCTCCTTCACCGTCAGTCCATCGCCGACAGGCATATGGGCCCATTTATTCGCGAACTCTATAGCATCTTGTTCAGTGTAGCGAGTCCCCATCCTTATCGGCGAGTTGGGGAGAAGCTCGTATATGAAAATCCACGCCCTCTCCGACCCTACGAGATACTGAACAGAGTGGTCCTTGGCATGCGCCGCCCACGCCAAGCCAGGGGCGCCCTTCTCATCACCCTGCAGAGGGAATGAGCACCACAGCGTCTTATAGGAGCACATGAACGGCTTGTCGTCGTCGATGTCGATGGTAGGCGACGCTTTTAAGGCAAGGGAACGCATACGTTCACGTGTCCGGCTATGGACCCCTTCGGCTCCGATCACGATGGACCCTTCGTACTTCGTCCCGTCCGAACAGCTAACAGTGACACCAGAATCGTCGGCCATAACATCCGTCACTTTTTTATTAGTCAGAACACAAGATTTGCGTTCCTTGCTCAGGCCATCGTAGAGAGCCTTAACCAGGTGAGCTCTGTGAAATATATGCGACCCAATTCCATGGCTTGTCAATAAGGCGCGTGTTAGCACTATCTATGTCTAGGGGGGGGTTGCAATAAACTTACGCCTTTCTGAATACATCATGAGCTAGAAACCTTTTTAATGGGCGGTTGTCGCCGGTGACGATCCGCATATCGCTCATCTCTACACTGATCTTGAGAAGGCTATCCAGAAGGCCGAACTGAGCCAAGGCACGCATTCCATGAGGGGCAAGAACCAAGCTTGCGCCTTCGTCTTCCGCGATACTCTTGCGGCGCTCGAGGATGACATAGTCAATACCGGCTTTGGCAAGCGAGTGTGCCAAAGTTAATCCCACGGGGCCTCCACCAACCACTATAACTTTGAAATTCTCGTTGGCCATTTTGATCTCGTCGGGTAATATGAAGCTGCCGTTTTTTATTGATCCTCTGTTCATCCGAGGTAGCATTGGGACATTCTTTGCTATATATCTTCGTCTAGATTGTCCTCCCTTGCCTCGGTTTCCGCGCGCACCTTTCGGACCTGTCTGCTACGAGATCTTATACATGGTGACCAAACCAACCAGCCCCCGCAAGCATGGCACCATCAATCGGTGATAAAGGCCGCGTATTCTTGAGAGGATCCATCTACCCATGCCAATAGATAACCACCTGGTTCGTCATTGTGGTAGAGTATGTACGCTGTAACCCCTCTGGAAGCCTAGAATGCGCCATCCCGGAATAAATTCATCATTTCCCTATTAATGCCGAAGCAGCGAATTGTACCATGCCGTTTTCGACTCCTTACTTCCCACGGGTGGATTGACAACCCAGGTTACACTGCCACTGCAAATGTCGGTTCCCTGCGATGACTTGGCGATTCTGATGGCTTTTGGTTTCGATCATGTGGATATAGACGCTAAAATCTAAGCTTCAAGTCGATTCGCACCTCGGAATGCTGTATGCAAACACCTAGTCGCATTTGGAAATCAAGGTCTCCTGCATCTTGGTCTCCACATCACGAGCATGAATCGACCGGGGATGACAAATGACAGAATTTTGAATCCGTCGAACCGAGATCCGGACTGCGGCGGACGAATAATCCCAATAGGGTTACACTTTGGTAGGATTTCCTCTGAAAAGTTACTAAACGAGGGAAATTTTAAAGTCTACCTACGATCGAAGACCTTTAGAAGGCGGGAGCTCCCACAAGCTAGAAAATTCTATAGTAGATTATGCTTAAATGAGGTAACTACTAACCTTATAATCACGTACATTGAGATATGTTTCTAGTCTATTACTAGTAAGCAGGTCAACTTGTTCAGTTGAGATCACGCCCCCAATTTATTGTCACATTCTATCATGGATATCTACAAATCAAGGTAGCCTGGAAACCTCTTTTAGCGCTCATATACCTAGCTAACTACATCTATATAGGTAAGTAATCCGCTGTCACCATATTTACATGAGTGGATATGATACCCAGGTGAGTTAAGCATGTGCCTACCTACCTAGTAACTACATATGTAATAGTTGATTTTCTCATGGTAGCACACATGAAACTCATTAGTATAGCATTATGGATCATATCGTATCCTATTATGTGATCAAACTAACTGTAGTTAACCCGGTTCGGGAGTGGGTCTTCCCCGGGAACACGGCGATTATGAGATATCCGTGAACAGCGGCGGCATCCGAAACCCGGAGTTCAGGCATCCATATGTAAATAGTAGGTACTTGGCAAATAATCGACTCATTTATCCTTCCCGGTATGTACCGACTAGGCATCAATCATCAAATACCTACTGACACATCAGCTGTATTCGTGATTGTACAGCAACGGACCTTCTATCCCGTCGGCTATATCAAGACTCATAACGTCCATTCCCGATCCTTTCTCCACGAAGTCAGCTGCGCCACTGCCGCTCTATCCCCGTCTCCCACGCGATCAGTATCGGGAGATAGCATCCCTAGACCCACTTCGACGAACCCGAATACGAGCCGCCTGCAACGACCTGAACATACCTATATGAGGCTTCCTCCAACTCAGTATTTCCCATGTGCTTAAAGGATAAAACCAAGATCTACATTCTGTACCTATGTAGATATCACTACGTATCATATTAAATCTTAAGCTCCAGAAATTCTTAGGGTATGCTACATTCTTCGCTTCCTTATGCCTAGTTGCCGGAAGGATTGCAGCTTGAACTGGCGTGGCTCTTGCCTGCTGCCGGGCTTTCTCCGCGGTGACACGCCGCTGGCGGTCATCGTTCGGTAGGCCCGGTTATGAGTACTAAAATAATACGTTAATTATGTAGTTGTGTTGGGAGAAAGTCGAAAGCTACTTACATGAAATCCATTGGACATAATATCCTTTTCAGACACAGTTGTTGTATTCATCATCAACACAGCCTCATTAGTTCATAAATTATATAAATATGGAACAGGAACTGTGATCCCGAGAAATTAGATGGGTCCAACCAATGAGAAAATGGGTCTTACGTAGAACATGAATTTCGAAAGTGAATAATGAAGGTAATAGTTAATGAGAGCACCTACTACTTTGAAATAGGCACTGGATACATTTCTTGCTGGTCGACGATGCTAGGTGGTAACCAGTTATTTGCCCTACTTCAAGCACAGTTTTTCAAACTGTGTACTATACCCTTCTGAGAAAGCTTCTTAATGTCCGGTGAGTTTTGATTGGTTATCGCTGGCTAGCGTAGTTTGTAAATACTGTACCAGGGTTAGGCACTTCCCTTCTCCTCATCATTTCATCACAACCTCTGACCCGACGAAATAATTTCGGGATATAAATTTACATCACCAAGAAGAAATGAAAATAAAGAGACCGAGAAACTCATCATAGGCTCACAGCCACATGTACTTTGGTTTACCATCAACATAGCGCGTTGAAGTAGTTTCCCGCCCCGTGGAAACCGCCGCCAACGCGCTGTTTGACAAAGCCGAACCCGGGTCCCCACAGCGAGAAATCGACGTACCACCCGACGCGTCGGAATCCAGCTCATGAGAACCGGACGAACTAGATGCGAGGAGAGTGATTAGTGTGGAGTTCTTTGATTACTTGGCTCGGGAATGTCGCAAGTTAAGTGACATAAGCGAGGTATTCGCAGGTGCCTTGAAGTTGCCTCCTGTAATCGCTTCAAAAGGGAGAGTGAAGTATTTCATCGACCGAGTGGGAGAACTTGCTTCTACACAAACAGCGGTGCAACCCGATTGCTTTGCGTAGGAATCCGGAGAAGAAATAGTACGGGTTGCCGCCCAAATTCCACCTCACAATTTAGCACAAGACGTGCTCGTGCAGACTGTGGCTTCTCTATACGCGACTACAGGGAAGGAGAAGGAGAAGGATGAGGTGTGTAATAATAGATACCTTCTGCATAATACTCATTAACCTGAGTTAGGTCCATGCGTGGAAGAACCTAGGAGATTTTCGAATGTCCGTGAGAGAAACCTGGAATCTAAGTAAGCGTTGTATCTGATGTACTCGTCATTCTGGTGTGTGTCGTCGACCTTCGGACAGGCCCAGGCTTTAAACAAGACGACCAAATTTTTACCGGATTCCAATGGATAAACCTCAACTCTTTCCTTGCCATGCTTTATCGATATCAAATCGTCCAGTGGAAAACGTATCCAATCTGGAAATTTAGAAGTGCCCTCGAAACTCCGCCGTTAGCTACGACGAGCTATGGTGAAACGCCGCTGGTGAACATCGGGAAACGAGTTATAAGGGAGTGGCTTAGTCAAACAGCGCCTCAACTCCTACAAGAATCACTCCTCTGTACATATTCGGGCTTCCCCGAAGAAGAATGACGCTGTCGCCCGTACTGTGGAGGGCCGCTGTATACCGGCAAAAGCGGTTTTAGTCTTGAGCGATGGTATTTCTGGAAGCGGCGTCTCGAGGAAATAAACGACGACAACCTAGATGCTGTAATCGACGAGGCTATCAATTTTATGATCTGCTCTGAAAAGAAATTTGGAACTATTGTTCAACGTTCAACCGGACGGGCTAGTACGAAAAAGGGGGCTGGATGCAAGTCTGGTTGTGATCAAGCTAAGCACACGGAAAGGGTGGATAACGAGAACCACACCAGGGTTGAGCCTTCCATGGAGCCCGATAATAAGATACAGAGCGATTTCTTCGTGAAACACGAAAACTGCCACGTAGATCAAGAAGCAGTGAAGTATGAGGACTGTTTAGAATGCAATGATTTAGAGACATGGACTATTATCGACACATAGTACGAGGAATAGGATGTAACGAAAGATCCGTCTCTTGTCGCGTAGTGATGCTTGTTACAGCAGGTATCTACCTCCCTTTATCGATATTTCCTCGCTGTTATTGATAGATGATAGGACCAGCTTTGTAGTAGATCCACGTCTCTTTTAGATGGATACTAGAAGCTCTGGTGAATTCCTTCATTGCCTAAGAGGATTCATCATAGGGGTGGTCGCGTTAATACTAGTTCAGGTTTATGGATTTAATTCTCACGGGGAGGCCATCTTTGATATGGGCCGCGGCCACGTCTTCAGGGTCAACCACCTGATACGCTTTATCGCCCATCCATTCCGGCGCGTCCATGGGATAGGCCTCCTCGACTTGAAACTCGCGCACTGTTAGGGCGAGGATGAGTCTAACCTCCACGGAAACCAACTCTTGGCCAATACACGCTCGTGGACCCAGCTCAAATGGTCGCCACGTGTTTCTTACGGGGTACAAAGGGTCGTTTCCATTGTGCGTCATAAATCGCTCCGGGATGAACGAATCGGCATCATGCCAGTACTCCGGGTCGCGTTGTATGGTCGACGCAGAGGAATGTAGCATAAAACCATAAGTTGGATACCGAACTCCAGTCTCGGGATGTGTAAGGAAATGCCCCGGTGGGGACTGGCGAATTGAACCACCCACGGGCGGATATAGACGCAGCGTCTCTCGGAGAACGGCTATCGTGTAGGGCATCTTGTTCAGCAACGTAGGGTCGGCTCTGATACGGTCGGCGGCAGTTGTCGGGTCGACACCTAGAACTTCATTATGTTCAGCTCGTATCTTAGCTGCCTTATCTGGATGTTTGCTGAGCAGATAATATATGTATGCGAGGACAGTAGCAGTTGTATCATGTCCGGCAAACATGAAAATCTTGATGTGCTTAACGACTCGTTCAATGAAGTCGTATGGAATATTCCCTCTAGTTGAGTAGCCTTGTGCTTCATTGATATATGACTTCAAAGCAAGGGAGATAATTGTTTTGGGACCTCCGACTTTCTCGTAGTTTTGAGCTGTATTTGAGATAAGAGGAACGAGCTCGTTCCGAATAATGCGATTGTATATCAGGTTTTTAAATACTCTAATTGGGTTTAATAGCTTCATAATGTCAAGCTCGAAAAAGATTAGCCTAATCTGAGACTTCATCGTTGCCATTAGTCGATTTGGTTTGACTTGCGTTTCTAGACGGGTTCCCCTATTGCAATGTTAGACTTGGGCGTAATTGCGCAAAAAGGATCCTGTTCGCTCGAGCTTACAATACGGCACACCCAACAATATCGACGGCTATATCGGTCGTATAATCCTCGAGGCGCACAACTTGCTCAGACGCCACGGCTTTTCGGAGTCGCTCTTGAAAGACTAAGACTTCCTCTATCATATTTGGAACTAGCGATAAAAGGTTCCTGGCTGAGAAGCCAGGATTGAATATGCTTCTAGCTTTCTTCCATTCTGGGCCATCTAGGTTCAACAAGTCCTCACCTCCTGTGAAGGCTCCGAACTCAACCTGTCCCATGGCCCAATATTTAGGGAGGCTATTCTCTTGAATGAACTGGGCCATTAAATCTGGATGATAGACAGCTATCATGGGGTATCCAATTGGCCATGGATCCATATACATTATACCCCTGTTTAAAAGATCGGGATATTCCCGCTTGAGGTGATAGAATATCCAGTGGCCATGAGCGTCTCTCGGGATCCGGTATTTTATGCTGGCTTTAGCGATTGTCACCAAATGGCCGAATATAAACGAATGAGGGAGAATCGGCTATAAACAGTTAGCACCGAAAAATCATTTGCTGAACTCGGGTTGGATATCTAGACGCAGAACTGTGCCTGATACCGAGACAGACGCTGTAACGCGTTTGACACCAGGAGACCCAACACGATGACGTAGCAGCTCAACCCCGCAAGACGACTGTATTAAGAGACACCTACAATGCCATGCTCTTTTTGGACTCGTCGAAACAACATTCGAACTTGATAGAGACGATAAAGGAAAGCGGCCAGGCCGATTAGGGCCAAATAACCAAGGCTTTTCCTGATAAGCAAGGCGGTATTAGGACCCCAAGGTTCTAGGCATAGTGACATGATGTTCTACTTTCGATTGATACTTCAAAAGATAGAAGAAATGCCACTCAATTTTAGTTCACGGCGTAAAGCCGTCAGTGTTGTCTCTTAAATACCCGATTTCTTATCGATCTGTTGGTTTGATACCCTGTGTACCTACATAGGTAGGTAGGGATGAATGCTCAGCCTATGAGGCAAACAATCGTGGTTCTTCCAGGGTGTATGTAGGTAAAATAGAGCCTAGAAAATCGAATACCAGGTACCTAGATGTTGTACCTAGATGTCGATCTAAGCAACTCTGGAGTTATATATAGATTAGGTAGATCATTTATATCTAAGTAGATGGTCGTAAAGAAACCGGTAGTAGTCAATTTTATGTATTGGTTTAGTCCCGATGCGTTGAGCCTCACTGTCGACAACAATTTCTTGCATCAAGCTGAATACGAGTTGTACGGGTCGGTTAGATGTCGATCCAATATGCGATATCTCTCGCTACCTAGTACCTACCGACATAGAGATAGGTGGGGTAGGTACCTAACGTAGGTACCTACTCTAGGTACTGCATATTCCTAACAGCCCTATGATAGCCCTGTAACTGAAATGTGAACGTTTCCAACGTTATCGAGACGTGAAACATAGATTGCGTTGTTGCTAGAATTATGCTTGTGATGTTTCATTTGGTGGGCGTTTGAGAGATGGCGAGATGACTGTTGTTGGATAGGTAATTGGCACGGAATTGAATTGCTGCAATCGCATGATTAATATTATTAAAGATAGGAGATGGACCGTAGCTGCTTTTCTGTAATCCGTTTTTGTATTACCCCTGACGGCGCGCTTTCCAGGTACGCGTAAGCTTTGTACACCCGGACTTATAGTTAGCCTGTGCGCTTGTCCGACTCTCTGGTTTAGAGAAAATCAAGAAAATCTCGCTTTAGTACACATCCTTGGCTGAACTCCGTAGCACCCGTACCATCGTACCTCATTTTCAGCCAACCATAGACCCCTGATCAAGATCAGTCCCAAAATTAGATACCTAGTCTGAACACTAAACCTCCTAACCCCCGCATATTGCGAGCTCAATTACTTGATTGTTTCTGAACTCTACTCTAACCTGTCCGACTAAGTTCCAAGGAAGAAAAGTTCTCAATTCTCATTTTCCTTTTCATCCCTTTCTTCAGTCTACCTATTATCCGGACTTATCTAAGTATAGGTGCTCATTCGTCCTACATCTCGGTCATCTACGAACCATTCACACAATCGTTTCAGTTTCACCTTCACTCCTTCGTACGCATGTTCCCAGTCTCCTCGGTCGGCATCTTGTGGTCGTTGGTTTCGGTTGTAGGACTACATCGGTAAATCAACAATATCAGTGAACCACAACAATGGGGATCGCCGAGCGAAGGTCCATTCGCTCTTGTATTACGCGCCTGTCTCGTCCGCAGAAGATAATATTGGGCGCGCTGGCCTTTTTCCTTATTATATATAATTTGACCCCGTACGACAGTCGACCAAGATCGTTCTTTAGATTCCAACACAATGTTATCCAAGACTATTACCAAAACGTACACCCGTCCGATTCCTGGCTCTTCAAACCCCAACGATATCCGATCGATCCTAATAATGACATCGCTATAATAGTTAAGACTGGTTTTGGAACGAAGCGACGAGTTCCGGCAGCGTTACGAGCGTTGAGTAACGAGTCTTTCTACGCCGATACTATAGTCACCCAGGATTTCCCCTTACTCCCGGATCAGAAAAACTACACTTTCGCGAATGGTAAGGAGGTGCCAGTTATCGATATTATTGGGTGGAACTTAGAACGAGGAGCCCTTAAGGGTCTAGAACAACAGGAGCGTGTAATGAAATACGCGAACCTTGCCGATGCCGTCGACGGTGAAGAGTGGATGCTTGCCGATGGGTTAGGTAAAGACATGGGGTGGGAACTCGATGCGATGAAGGTTAGACACTCACGATGAATAGCAAACAAGCACATATTAGCTGACTTCAGTATAGTTCCTCTCTAGTCTTGAGTATGCATGGCAAACCCTACCAAAAAAGAAGTGGTACATCATGGCCGATGACGACACATACATCATCAAGTCGTCCCTGAATTTAGTTCTCGGGCATTTGAATTATGCCAAGCCACAATTTCTTGGGAATCCGGTAGGCGACTATAAAGGTCGCTTCCCGCATGGAGGGTCGTCCGTGGTCATGTCTGGTGCTGCTCTTAGCAAGCTATACGACCAACACCCTGAAGTCGTTGCCGAAGGTCATCAAGAGTCAGCTACGGCGATCTGGGGTGACAAACTACTTTCTACAACATTTATGAAGATCGGTATTTACTTAGACGAAACATACCGACGTCTTTTCAACGGCGAGCCTCCCTGGATGACGCGGATGTGGGTTGATCGGTTCTGTTTGCCTCTTGTTTCATTCCATGGTCTTGGAAACAATGATGCTATGGTGCACGTAGGCGAAACCTTCAAGAATATGACGGAACCCGTATTCTGGAGGCAGATGGGTAAGATTTATGGTGCGCCGGACTTCTCATCATTCATTGCCGAACCGATTCGAACCAATGTGGATTATGTTGGGCGACTTGACGAGTATAGTACGACCGTGGATAAAATCACGGAAGTTGACGAGTGTGTCAAAATCTGCCATGAACATCCGGTCGGATGCCTTGCTTGGGCGTTCGACCCAGGACGGCAACAATGTCACTTTTCACAATGGGCAATCCTCGGAGATCATGTCGAGGGTCGATTTTCAGGCATAAATGGGAAACTAGCCAAGAAGCTAGAAAGTTTATGCCACTCTCCGAAATAAGACTCTTGGGTCTCCGGATTCTGTTTGAAGATTTTATTCTGTATATATACGGGGTGGGTAGGATACACACGGGGTGTCATTCAGCAAGGAAATGATGGTCGGACGGACGATATTATAGACTTCGCAAGGTGGAAGCACATGACTTGGAACGATACCCGGGACGGACTGTAATTTGTAATGGATCGTAGATAAGTATCTTAATCCTAATAGGACTGAACAGTCTACCTACACATGGACGTTAGCCGCAAACCCTACGGGCGATGCTGCTGATCATAAAAGGTACCACAGCACTGCTTGATGCACGTCTCCTATCCCATGCATGTGGTTTTGGTAGATACATACTATGTTGTATTTACTACTAGGTAGTTAAAGTAATTTCTGGTAAATATGTGTTAAAAATGCAATGTGACGCTGCAAGATAGATTTAAGCTATCCATAGGTATGTACCGAAGAAACCACATGTAGGTATTTATAATAATACTCCAAGACCCCTAAGTGAATTACCTCTTATCATTCGGTACGTGCCTGGTGTATTTCTTACATACTAACCTTAATTAACATTATGTTTGGCAAGGCTCAAGGTAAGAAGATACATAGTAGTGTCTGTACATATCCATGGATGTCATCTCAGGTCTTCGTCCAGTATAGGCAGGTGGTGTTGCGTCCTAAACCTTAGATTCCAAAGTTGGGCACATAACTTTTCAGGCCGATTTCAGATCGCGCTAATCCACGGCCAAGCAAGCTAAGTGAACCCAGCAGGGGTTACTGGAGGTACTATGAAGGTACCTAGTTTAATAGTACGGAACCTATGACGTGTGGGGAAGTTTATTTTTTGACGTCAAATTCAAAAGTGGTGTGCGGACGCCTTCTTGATCTACCTAAACCTTAGCATTGTCTATTACTCAATCGATCCGACAACCGCCGACCTTACACTTCAGCTGAAAGGGAATCAAAATTTGATTCAGTTTTGTGATACCAACCCTTTTCCGTTTCTTCCGAAAACAAGAAGCACAGGAAGCTTTGTTTACCCGCTCAGCCTGCCTTGCCCTACACGCGACCCAACTTTGGAACAGCTTGTCGATCCATCGAATAAAATAATTCATATTCTCAGATCCAGATCCCTTGTGGAACTTTCCCCGCCAAGATAACAATATTATCATCTTGTCGGTCTTGCGCCTTATTCATTTTCACGAAAGTTGAATACCAGCTTTCGGACATCAAGTTTAGGGGGTCTGGCCGACCACATTAGGGTATCATCTCAACCCCGCCGTGTCCGCGAATCTGTAGGCAATCAGTTGGAGACGTCATAATGTCGGAAGTTACACCAAACTCCCAAGCCACTGGTTCTAGTTGGACCTCATTCCTCAAAGTCAGTTAATAGTTCACGATCATATTATGACTTCTAATTCTTTGCTAACGATAAGTCCTTTGGATTAGTCCATCGCATCTTTCAATGGCGACCTTTCCTCCCTGACGGCTCCACCCTTTATCCTCTCCTCCACGAGTCTCACTGAGTTCAGTTCGTACTGGGCGGAGCACCCCAGCGTCTTTGCCGCACCCGCACACGAATCCGATCCCGCCAAGAGGGCTTTGCTAGTACTGAAATGGTTCTTGACCACTCTCAAGCAGCAATACGCGAGCCGGAGCGAGCAATATGGCAACGAGAAGAAGCCCCTCAACCCCTTCTTAGGCGAACTATTCTTGGGCAAATGGGAAGATAGTGCTGGTACAACCGAATTAATCAGCGAGCAGGTTAAGTACGTCTATTAAATCTAGATTTCCTCGTGTAGATAAATATTTTTGTTGACCAATAGTTTAGCCACCACCCACCTGCCACTGCCTACAGCATTATCAACCACCCTTCCAAAGTTCACCTCCAAGGGTACAATGCTCAGAAGGCCAGCTTTTCCAAGACTATCAATATCAAGCAGATAGGACATGCGGTGCTTACGGTTCCTGACCCTGCCGACCCTGGGGAGAAAGACACCTTCCTAATCACGCTACCGTCGCTTCACGTCGAGGGGTTGATATTCGGCGCGCCCTTCATCGAGCTTGACAGCGCATCATACATCACTTCGTCGACGGGATACACTGCCAAGATCGACTATAGTGGCAAGGGTTGGTTAAGCGGCAAGAAGAACTCATTTACGGCAACTCTTTACCCCACTGGTAAGGAAAAGGAGGTGATCTACAACTGCTCCGGTCAGTGGACGAAGGCATTTGAGATTCATTCCGGACCAGTGAAGAATAATTCACCGAAGAACCTTCTTGAGAGTTGGGATCCTACCAACAGCCCTATCGCCGAGCTGATAGTTGCTCCTATCGAGAAGCAACATCCACTTGAGTCGAGGCGCGCATGGGCCAATGTCGCTGCAGGTATCTCGAAGGGAGACATGGATTACGTTGGCAAAGAGAAGACCAAGATTGAAAATGCGCAGCGTGCGATGCGGAAGAAGGAGCAATCTGAGGGCCGTGAGTGGGAGCGCAGGTACTTCGCCGCTGCAACCGAGCCGGATGCGACGCTTGAGTCATTGGCTTCCAATGTTGGCTTGACTGCAAACGGCGATGCTGACAAGACGGGAGGTCTGTGGCGCTTTGACGCCGCGAAGGCCGAGAAAGTGAAGAGCCAGGAGCTGAGCGAAGACGAAATCACCCAGCTGGCTCACGAACTACTCGGCCAGTAGATCCTTGTTAACTTTTACACATAGCGATGTTCGGAGTAATTGTATAGGGGTGGAATGACATTTATTTCTAGATGGTTAAGATGAATAATATTGTTGAGGGAGGATATGGCGTGGAGATTGGAGGGGCGCTTGGTGGCTCTTTGGGTAGACCACTGAATTGTTTAGGTGTGTAGCAATGGCTTGAGAAACATAGCGTAATAAAACGAACCGCTCGTTATTGCTAGTGATATTAACGAGTGATAGGTAGTTTGTGAGCAATAGACATACGACTAGTCCTGACGAAGCCATTATGAAATCCTGGAAACATCTATCTCCACAATCTTAGCTAGCAACGCAGACGTCTAAGATCTAGAAGTACCAAGTGATAGAAATGAGGCGTATACTCATTCTATATTATATTCTGTCCTTCATAATATTCTTGGCGAGACCCCTTGAAGAGTATCTGACTACAGCTAGCACGGGATTTCCCATCTGAAGTTTATCCAAAACACCCCTTGCGCGATTGAGCGGCTTGTGTTAAGGCCACCTTTGCGATATATAACATGGCTTGGAGCTAGATGTTCAAATATATTAAATCTTACCACTGTAAACGATAATCGAGCCGTTTGACGTGATTAGGTAAAAGTGCTCGGGCGATTAAAGTAGCTAGGGAGATACTCCTTGATGAGAGCCCTTCCCGACCATTCCGATCTCCTTCATATCATGAACAAGGAGAGTAGTCTATAAGAATTCTACATACTCCATTCATTCATACATTTCATGCATATCTACCAATAAGTTGGACTTTTACCCGCTACATACACCAGATCATCCCTATATCAAAACACAAAGGCTACACCCAAAGTCCAGCTATCTCCTTACCTTAAGCAACCATGAAGATCACCACCTCAGCCCTCATCACCGCCATTCTCTACGGCCTCGCAACAGCCATCCCAAACCCGGGCGTCCTCTCCGGCAGATACGTGCGCGACCAGTGCGTCGACGACGGCGGTACCTGGATTTCCTGCGAGTACCCTGACTACTTCCTCAAGTGCGACGACGGCCACCCCAGCTTGTACACGTGCGATGGAGGATGTCAGGCTTCTGGGTGTACTCCCGGCAATGACGCGTGTGAGCCGGTGCCGGAATGTGATAATCCCCAGCCTACGGGGTTTCCTTCTTGAGTACGTTTACTAGTAGGACTGGGGGAGACGGGGACAATGTTGGGGAAGGTGGGTAAGGGGGTTATGTTGCCGGTGTGGAAACTACATACCTAATGGGTGGATTCAGGATATAATTGTTCGCTGGGGATATATACTTCTTAAATTTCAACTTATAATTCTAAAGTTTTGAGGCGGTTAATTGATTGGAGTTTAAAAATTCCGCTAGATCGGTCACGTATGGAAGTCGCATCGACTGCTTTACTTATGACCACTGAAGGTTTACGGTGATTGGTTAGAGGCTATTCACAGGGAGAGACGTGTTGATGTAGGAGAAAACCACAACGTAAATGACCTAGCTCTTTAAATCAGAGGAGCGCTAGTAAAAAAAAAGAACAAGAAAATGACGAATTAAGATAAATATCATCAATTGTAGGAGACAAAAAGTTGGACGAGCAGGGAGTCGAACCCTGGGCTTCTCGCAAATCTCACACTGTTAGAATTAGATCCAGTGCAAAGCGAGCACTCTACCACTGAGTTACACGCCCTTAGTGGGCAAGGAGTGCTTGCCAATAGTTATATGACATTCCCTAAATGTGCGCTATAAGCGACAGGGCTCGCCTATTCACATGCTAACCACAAAAGAGTCGACAACTCACCATGTTAAGATTAGTTTCTTCATTATCTACTAATTTCCAAGGTTGTTCTTAATTCTATCTTAGTGGTGGAATAAAGTATAATCCATGCATGTTTGAATGTTTAATTGGAAGGGTTCTAAGTTGACCGCGGGTTTATTGTGAATTCCGGTGTCTTCAAGCTGTGTGGTACATAGCGTCACAATGCATTTTCCCCGACCTAATGATCAATCACCCTGTCGCATTGAGATTTCCTTTTTTTATACTTCACATAAAGTTATCAAGAAACATTCCAACCTATCTTCAATCATGGTAGGTGCGTTCCAAAGTCGAGATCATCAAGCGCTAAGTTTCTTGCTTCCTGCTTCTTTATGCCGCCGCCCCGTCTGCAATAGGGCAGCCACTAAGAACGGATCGGTAACAAATCGGCTATCGCCTGATAGGCCGATACTAAACCTTGGGTTTCCATGCTTCAACACAACTCATCGGTTCTCCCTATCTCCCCTTCTCCGTCTCATAATATCTACAACTGAACTTAGGTATATCATGAAACACTTCATCCATCCATCCATCGCATAATGTTTGTAAGCTAAGATAATATCATTCTCATCACCAACATACCAACGTATGTGAAACCTCTCTAGTGAGATCTTGTGTGTTGTTAGTGCACCTATCTTCAGCTTCATCGATAGTTTAGGTGTCAAGTAAGAGATCTAGATACTTAGCAAAGCTTCTGCTTAAATTGGGAGCTCTATCACTGAATCCAAGCCGAAAACGTAACCTAATATTTGCCTCTTTCTACTCTATACGGATAGATCTATAACCTCGTCACAATGGCTCCTCACAACATCCAAGACGAAGGCCCCGCGGACCTCGAAAATGAGCCCGCAGGGACCGAAGTTAGGCCCCCAACGCCACCCCCTCTATCCGCCAAACCGCCGCGCATCTTGATTATCGGAGCCGGTTCGCGGGGCCGCGTCTATGGTCGGTGTACCTTACAATCCAGTAACGGCGTAATCGCCACTGTTTGCGAGCCCGATATCTACAAGAGGCAGGATTACGTCCGGACCTTCATCTGGTCCGACGCTAAACACCCGGCTCCTGAAGGCTCAAGCTTCGCCGACTGGCGCGAATTTATCGAGTGGGAGGTCCAACGACGGCAGCGCGAGGCCGCGGGGGAGAATGTACCAGAGGGCGTGGACGCGGCATTCGTGTGTGTCCGTGATGAGATGCATCACGATGTCGTGGTAGCCCTCGCTCCACTAGACCTACACATCATGTGTGAGAAACCTCTAGCCACAACTCTAGACGACTGCGTCGGCATCTATCGGGCGGTAGCCCCCTTACAACCAACCAAAGTGTTTTCAGTCGGTCACGTATTGCGATACTCACCGCACAATATGCTACTACGCAAACTCCTCCTAGAAGACCGCGCCATCGGCGAAATTCTCAGCGTCGTGCATACGGAACCCGTCGGGTTCTGGCACTTCGCTCACTCGTACGTGCGAGGGAACTGGCGTAAGGAATCGACAACAGCGCCCTCTCTCCTAACCAAAAGCTGCCACGACATCGACATCATCCTATGGCTCCTCTGCTCACCCACACACCCGGAGTCAGACGCGGCCCCACACATACCATCCGAAGTATCTTCGACGGGCTCCCTACAATTCTTCAAACGCAGCCGGAAGCCCAAAGCCGCGGGCGACGCAACCAACTGCCTAAGCTGCGCAGCCGAGCCGTCATGCATGTACTCAAGCAAGCGGGTATACGAAAGCCAGCGACACCAAGGTCTAGAAACAGGGAACATCCGGTGGCCAATGAGCGTCGTACTGCCGGACATCGAGAGTTTCGGGGGCGACATCGAAGCCGCGCGACCCAAACTACTCCAAACGCTCGGAGAAGACTACACATCCACAACCCCGCAAGCAGAAATCGATGCGCGGAACTGGTTCGGACGATGTGTGTTCGAGTCCGACAACGACGTATGCGACGAGCAAACCGTAACGATAAAATGGGACGAAGAGCCGCTGTCAGCCGAGCAGGACGCATACGCAGACAGTGTAGGCCACCGCGGCGCAAAACAAGCGACTTTCCACATGATCGCGCAAACAAAGCGGCAATGCCACCGGTTCACATACATATACGGCACGACCGGCGAAATCTACGCGGACTCGCGCACCATCACCATCGAGGACTTCCGCACCGGCGCGCAGACATCGTATCACCCTAAGCTAGAGAGTCTAGGCCACGGCGGTGGTGATCACGGTATCACGCGGAACTTCATATTAGCAGTTGACCGCGTGAAGAATCATGGGTGGGCGGCGCCGAGGGCTCAGCGCGAGTTTATTGGATGTAGTCTTGAGGAGATCATACGCAGCCATGCTATGGTGTTCGCGGCGGAGGAGGCGAGGGTTGGGAGGAAGTATGTTGATTGGAGGAGTTGGTGGGATGAGAAGGTTGGTGCTATATAAGGGTATTAGGGCTAAGTATACTTCCCGAGGTCCTCTACGCGTATTCTTGGCCGTGGTTATTCCCTAAGTTGGTTGCATGCATGGTATTAGGCACTTGTAGATCAACGCCTGTAGAAGCATCCCTTGTTCTCACATTGCTTGCTTGCTCGGGCGTTGTTAATTGGACTGGGAAGGCTCACGATAGGTAGCATGGAATTTTCGCGTTTCTAGATTGAAGCAACAAAGATGCATAGAATATAATTATTTAATTCGCTACCTATGAGACATACCGTATCATTTCGAGTCTACAGATTAAGTCTAGCAGCTCGAATTATTATAACGCACTTCTGGCGTTTTATCTATGTCTCGCGCTTGCAATGTGTCTGTAGAATGTAGAGTTCGCATCCATGTCGATCAAGAAAATTGCCTTTCGTAAGGCTGAACATGTCAGAAATGACTGGAGTCTTTATCTCGAACCTTTCGTTTAGGGTAGAGTCGCTGTGCTACCTTGTTGTAATGACTGGAGATAATCGTGTAATCCCTTCTCTCTCCGCTGCCGCACAGCCAATTCCTGTGCTGTATCCCCTGCTTCGCGATGCCAAGCTTCTAGAGTTTCCATGTTTTCGAATATTTGCGAGTCGCTGAAGCCACGTCCGGCCTCGGTGGCATCAATGGCCTTTTCAAGGGCATATCTGGCCAATGCATGTCGTGGTCCTAGTGTAGAGCCACCTGCATCGCATCGGCTTCGATGGAAGTGCGCAATGACGCGCCACGATACCCAGTGCGTCCAATCGTCCTGATTAGGCAACTCATCTATAAGGTTAAGAGATGAGTAGGCGAGCTGGGCAGAATGGTCATCGTAAGGCCCATGTTGCCAGAGATACCCTGCCGGTTCAATGAATCTTACTATACTCGAGCAGGGTTTCTTCCCCTTGGAAGAGAGCCTTGACGTGCAAGCCACTGCCCTTTGAAGGGATGGCAAATTGGTCCTTGACGAGTTGAAGAGAATTAAGTCTCCTAACAAGAAAAAGGTGATAGAAGGTACCACGGTCTGTGCGAAGTCGTTTGTCTCTAGCAACATGCCGATTATACTTTCCATACAATTGAACATGAAATCTACTCCGATTTGTAGTGAGTTGTTGTTGAAGACCTCATTTAGAGCCGCGAACAGTCGATATAGAGTACTTGATGATCCTAGGATCACTTCCGCATATCCCGCAAGATACTTCCATAGTTCCTTAATGAGGCCATGATCTGGGGACATGACGCTAGCTACTAGTAGGTCGAAGAGACCAAGAGCCGAGGGTGCTCTAAGAATAAGGTGTAATGACGAAAAGGCGCGCTGACTAAGCAAAGAACCATGGGAATTGTGATTTCTTGAGAAGAACCAGCATGCTCGACTAAAGTCCCTCGTAGCTTCGCACAGCTCGCCATCGAAATAAAGATTGAAGTCATCCTCGAAAGATTCTGGCGCTGGTGTTGAATCATGCCAACCCAGGGCGAGATCTCTAAAACACGAAACGAGGACCTCTTGTGCATGAAGGTGAGATGGAAGAGTCATATGTTGAGGCTCAGCAGGCGGAGGTGTGAGCGCTCGTAGGTAATCCGGCAAGTCAGCATCAGTCATAGGCGCAGCAAGGTCAAAATTCGAAATGCCTTTTCGCTTCATGTAAGCTTCGATGTCGATCTCCCTCCCATGGCGACGGAATGCTGTGGTTTTGCCGACAGCACCTCGCTCGCGTTGTAGTCGTAACATCGTTGCCACATCTTTTTGCTTATTGTTTTTGACAAACCCCCATTGCGCAAATTTGGCTTTGTACATACGAGGCCTATTACAAATTAGTATACGGCCTCACAATGAACTATTTCCTACTACGAGTACTAACGTAGCTTCAATGCCCTTCTTTCTCATAATTTCCATTAACTCAGTTAGAGGCTTATTCTGTTCAATGTATAGTTTGTGAATCTCTTCTTTATGACGTTCCCATACCCCTGGAGGAAGATGGTGACGCGTTGGGGTCTTGTGTCCTCGTGTTAGCCCTGGAGTTAGAGCAGTAGTGTTTGCTGTCGAGTTTGGGGGCCGAGATTCATCTTGGATGGAATATTTTTGACCATGTTGCGATGCGCTCAAGGGTCTTAAAGGAAGTGGTGCCAATTTTGAATCATGATAAAAGGCTGCTATCCTCGATTGCTCTGTCCCAGAATCGGTTCCAGAAGAGGACCTCTCCGATGAGATTGGAGAACGGCCGGCCGCTGCATCGTATTGAAGCAGGCTAATCCTTGGGCTTTGGCTCTCGATCTTCACGCCATATTGTATAGAAAGATAGGCGCCAATGATATCAGAGTGGCTTTCACCTGGCGTTGCTCCGTGGGGCAAATCCGGATTCAGCTCAGGATTCAAATCCGTCCCCGTCGTTTCGAAATGAACATTTCCCCTCATGTGGCTCATCAACGCGTTGTGTTCTGATAATTGGCAATACTTAATAAATGGTTTACATGTTTTGTTTCGTGTCTAGATATGAACAAACGTCGAACGATGTTAGTTGAAACGTCAGCAAGTGGCTATGTAGGCGAGGAACAGTAAGCTACTAATATAGATTTTTGCGGAGTTGACACCGGTATAGATTGTTGAGCAACGTGTTGCTTGGCAGACGCATAAATAAACGGTCTTGTTCATTTGAGTTTCGTCGCTATACGTCGGTGATCATAGCAAAAAAAAAAAAAAGGATTGGAGAAAGCGAGTTTCGGCCATACTATCCAAGATAGCTGGCGACCATTGCTTATCCGGATCTGAGTATACCGTGCGACCGAGTGAAATAATAAGCAGAACTGTCAGATGACAGCATTATGTTGGTCGATGAGAGGTCCAGATCGAAGTCCCCAATCCAAGCAGTCAAACTGACCAATATGCTTGGCCTAGAATTAGTGGCTTGGGGGCCAATGTGCAGTACCTACGACACCTTGTTGCTAGGCACATGTAGCGATCGTAGACATAATGAGAACGACCTAGGTGAAATCCAAGACATTAAAGTATGGCATAAGCCTTCGAGATTCAACGGTTCTTCAAATCCTACGATGGGCAAGGCAGAAAACGGCTATTCAGCCGCATCCAGGATGAGGAATCGATTGCCGGATCATCGTCTGACTAGCGTCGGCTTCACCCTGCATCCATAATAGCTGGAATACGGAAGGGAAAGGATGAGCCATCTCAAGAGGAAGTATTACTCCCACGTAAGGCTAGATTGAATGGTGATATTTCTTAGAGGAAAATGAATAGGCCGAGTTAAGTTGTTGGAGGTTGGATTCTCGAGAAAGAGGAAAGCATCTTCTCAGGGGATATGGTGGGGTCCAATCTGTTTCTATTAACGAGGCTTACTAAGGTCTGTGGCTACTATATCCGCTATACCTTAATAAGGGAGTATGCATTTAGACAGGTTCAACCCTCAAAAGCTACCAATAATATTAACCAGAATAGAAACTTAAAACGCGTAACTTTTCATCTTACATCTTACTTCGTACATCACGGTTAATATTGATATCGATCTATAATGCTTCATTAGACATCGAAACTAATCTTGCTGAGAGATCTGGTTCTTCAAATGAACGATCGAACGGCCACATTGGACGCAAAATCTGTTTGTGGCCTAATCTCTCTAAGTCTTGGTCAACGCCACCAGGCGTAAGACTCAGCATCCAGTCCTTGGCCATATCATACAGCTCCGGTTCTAAATATCCAATCTTGACGATAACAATATCCGCAGAGCGAGGCACAAGGTTGAGTTCCGTGAAGTCACTCTCGTGATGGTACGGCTTGCGCAGTTTCGTTAGAATCGCGAAGACGCTTCCCACTTGCAGAACCACTTCGGTCTCTGCGTGTCTGTCTCCATGTTTTATTGAGTGTACCTGACCAGTCATGGTTATTGGACCAGCATGAATGTCATCTACTTCTGCGCCAGCAGTTACTGTCACGGTTGCTCCGATGCCTGCATCGACAGCCTTCTGAATCGCTTCGGGTCCCGGTACGCTGGCGTAGATCACTTTTGGTCCTGAATCTACTTTGAATTCCGGACGCGAAAGTAACTGTGTCAAGCCCCAGGTGACGTCACCTGAACCTCCCGCCGTGGGGTTATCACCGGAGTCCGAGATAAAATATGGGCGTTTGTTAGATGCTAATGCGGTATCCAGACACTCCTTAAATGATCCTGTAGGTGCGACGAAAGTGAAGTCTTTGTGGGAATCCCAGAACAAGCGCGCCAATTTCTCAGCGCCTATGGCAACAGCTTGCTTGTCCCAACCAGTAACCACAACAACAGCCCGATTTCTCGGTTCGTCTGCCCAAGCATAACCGACCCAAATTGCTGCATCTAAAACACCTTCCATAGCTTCAACCTCGGGTACAGCGGCGTAAATGTGTGCAGCTGGTTCATCTCTTGTTGAGGTTTGCTCGCCTGGCAGAAGAATAGGAATCGGCGCCCAAGCCTTAAACGGTCTCACGGTCTCACCATTCGCCTGCCGTTGAAGCAACTGAAGTAGGTTTCGACAAGCCCGCTCTTTCGTCTCAGCAACGTCTACATGAGGTGCTGTGCGGTAGCAAGTAATTAAATCCGTCTGGTGCGCTAGTTCCCGCGAGACATTGCCGTGCAGGTCCATTGAAGCTGATACCAGCACGTCCGGTCCGATAACCTCACGGATGCGCTTCAAAAGTTCGTACTCCGCATCATCAAGTCCTTCAACACACATAGCACCGTGTATGTCGAACCAGAACCCGTCGACTTTCGTGGAGGCCGTTATCTGGGTAAGACGGCTAACGATCTCGGCGGAAAGAGATTCAAAGGCATCTCTGGTCACCATGCCACCTGGTAAAGCATGGCCAATTAGCGCGCCACGCCACTCTGCAGCATCGCCCAGAGGTGTTCCAGGCTGTATAAAGGGATATCTTCTTATAATCTCCGCATCACGTTGAGGGTGAAACGCTAGTGCAAGCGTCCTCGATGGCGTAAAAGTCGAAGTTTCACAAGCCAGGCCGGCAATAGCGATGGTTGGACGGCGCGCCATCATCACTGCTTTTAGGCAGTCCCTTCACAAACTTACTACTTCATATGATCGAAGCAGTGCGGAAAATCAAGGTCGCGCAACCCGCGATTAAATCTCAATATAGATATCAAAGCTTAGTGAGCAGCCTATCCATTCGAAAACCTCCAGGTACACTTTGAAGTTGCTCGATACTTATCTCTGAATAAGTCCATTTGAGAGGATAGCAGATATCAGCATATCTATCCCCGCTACCCCGCATAGCGAACTTCTGAACTCCCCTTAAAGCTTGACCTAAAAAGTGCTCCAAACATTACGATACCAATACCATGAGCTAGTGCCCATTCAAGCCGTACGGGAAATTCTTTCATTTTTCGACAATAGATCGGTGGCATATGGATCTCACTCCGTCAAATTTCCGATTTATCGGTGTCAGCTTTGGTCACGAGCGTTTGACATTATTTACCAGAGACGCATCCATATTGGCGTGTAGTTCAAGACCCGCCGGTCTTCTTGCCGTCGCGATAACTACAATCCAACCTACTTAGTGGATTAGGGCTCAGGGTGTAACCTCTTCAGACTCCCTCATCCCTTCGATATGAACCCGTACAAGTGTTTCGGATTTCCTTCCACCCTTCGTTAAATCTAATTACTCTTTCAACTTAATATGTTTATGCAGGGCATAGACCCTGCCTTTTTTACGACGAAGGTGTATGCAATTTAATATGTCGTCCTAGTCGGGGTAGCTCTCTACAAGACATGCAGCTCACCGGCACAGCCAACAAGCAGAGAACCAACATCTCATTTTACCCATGCAGTAACATTAGATAGTTCCCATAATGAGAAGGTCGTTAAGTAACATTTTGTGATAGTTTCACATAGATGTTATTTTAAGATGGATAGATGCACGGCATTCCCATTGCTACATCACTGAGTTTCAGTGACAGTTACCTTACGCCACAACTAGAAGAGCACAGTTGGGAGGCTGCTGAAAAATAATTCGCCCAGGCCCAGGTGAAGATCATCTTCATTCCTCTCATCTACTCACACCTACAAATCCAGAATATGTCGCCTTATTCTAATAGACGATGGCAGCGTCAAAGACTTCAGGAATACCACCAGGAGCCATCGCGGCTACTGCTTCGTTCCTTGGTCCGCTGACCACTACTTTCTCTGCCCCTTCAACTTGCAGTACGGGCAACACATATTCCTTAGGCGCAGACTTGACGGCCGTTATATGGCAGGTAGGCCCCACAAAAACCGATGATGGCTGTATGCCTTCGAAATGGGTTGTCAACGGTTATTACTCACCAGCCATATGCCCATACGGATATACCAATGCTTGTTTCATGACACAAAGTAATGTCGAGACCACTATTTGCTGTCCGACGTATGTTGAGTAAACTCCCACTCCTCGAGCCACTGATGTAACTAACCGGCTTTCTACTAGCAATCTAGACTTCAGTTGCTATTCAGGGGTCGCGTATAATAAATTCGGTTGTAGCTATTCGGCGTCGACCATGCGCTTAACCAGCTTACTAATTGAATACGGACACACGACCATCGGCACGTACACAGATATCACAATTTCGACGCAACCCATCTGGGCATTTAGTGTCCAAGTACAAAAGGCAGCTTCGATAACATCCCCTCCGACATTAACCTCTGCCGATATATCCGCGTTGTCCATCCCTCTTGCCACATCTAGCCCAACTTCCAGCACAAATCCTAGCATAATTATAAGCTCAACTCCGGATACGACCCCTACGGTACAGACTGCGTTGACTTCAACGAATGCGATAGCTTCAACGAGTTCAATACCACCTGCCGGTACGTTACCAGGTGGTGCGATTGCTGGTATCGTAATAGGAGTCCTTGGGGCATTAGCGCTGGGGATCGTGGGCACGTTTTTACTTATGCGTCGAAGGAAGTCACAAAATATCCCTACCAATTCCAGTCATTCTCAACTAGGCCAACAACAACTCGTCCATGAGCCAGAAAGGGTCATCTATGAGTTGGGCGTGGGGGAGAAAGGCATCCATGAGTTAGACGAACAACGCCGTCCGTCTGAAATGTCTGCGTGGGCCAGACGTTATTCCCGGAAGTCCAATAAGCAAATGGCGTGGGAGCTGCCCGCATGAGGTTGTACGATTCAACAAAGGGGTGCACGTGGATAATATCTTGTACAATTTAGGAGACCTAGCTTTATGAAAAGGGGAGCATATTAATGGATATATAAGAGCCCATAATTACTTCGGACTACCGTCTAATTACCTTAGTCAAGACTTATGAGATTTTACACGTGGTGGGAGCGTGCGGTAGGTATTGATCATATTCATACGAGCGGTTTAAATGGTCAATTACCTTCATCAAGCGTTACCACAAAATGAAGCCAGATTTGATGGTGCGCGAAATACCTTAAACCGCCAAAACATTAAATACATTAAACTTTTTTAACTAATTAATCACGTGCTTCTTCATATTAATATTTTACGATAAATAACTTAAGAATTTATAATTATTATTATACGTTTTTTCGTAATTATTATAATTAATAAATATTTTTAAATTTTTAAATAATAATATTATTATTAAAAAAGTTTATTATTAAAAGTTAATAAATTAATAAGTAATAAAAAAAAAGGAAATTTAAAAGAATTTTATAACATTTAATTTATTAATATTAAATATTAATTTTTTTTTAAATTAATAATTAAAAGTTTATAAAATTAAAATTTAATTCGTTAAATTTTTAAAAGTTTTATTAACCGTTAATTTTAAAAATAAAATAAATAAAAAATTTTATTTATATATATATCGTATTTTTTATAACGAAAATATTAAAAATTTTTCGCGTAATAACGTTATTATTTTTTAATTTTTTAATTCCGTTTTATAATAATTAAAATTAAATCGTTAAAAAGTTTAAATATAAATATAATTTAATTAAAAACGTAAATATAAATAAATTAAAGTTTTTAATTTATTATAAAAATATTAAATTACGGCGTAATATATTATATATTTTTTTAATTATTTATTTATTTATTTTATAAATATTAAAAGTTTTATTTAATTTTAATTTTATATTTATATATTTATTAAGTTTTATATTTTTTATTTTTATATATATTATTTTATATATTTATTTTAAATTTATTTTTAAAATTAATTTTTTTAAATAATTTATTAAACATTCGGTTTTTTTTTAAATTAATAATTAAAAGTTTATAAAATTAAAACTCGGTTCGTTAAGTTTTTAAAAATTTTATTAATTATTAATTTTAAAAGTAAAATAAATAAAAAATTTTATTTATATATATATTATGTTTTTTATAATAAAAATAATTAAAATTTAAAAACTTTTTACGTAATAACGTCGTTATTTCCCGGATTTCCCGGAACGTAAAATTAAATAAACTTTTTATTAATATTAAACGCATTTTTATTTAAATATATTTATTTAAATTAATCGTTTAAGTATATATTTTAAAGTATAATTTTTTATATAAATTTATATATTTTTTAAACGTTTTATAATCGAAGTTTTTTATTATTATAAACCTTGTTATTATTTTTAAAATTTTTTTTCGAAAGTTTAAATAAAACCGTTAAAAAGTTTTAAAAAAAATAATAAAGTTATTAAATTTAATATTAAATATACTTATTTAAATTAACGTTATCGTTAATAATAAACGGCGTTACGTATTTAAATAAATAGTTTTATTTTAATATAATAATTTATAAATAATTACCACGTTTTAATTTCGAACTTTTATTAAAATTAATTATTAATTATGTTTTTTTTTTATATTTTTATTTTTATATAAACGTAATAAAACTTAATCGATATATATATATTATATAAATATAATATTAATAAAAGTAAATATTATTTTAATAATAATAAGTTTAAAAAATATTTTATTTTATATAAATAATTATATTCGAAATATATATTAACGTAATTTTTTTCGATTAAATATAATTATATAAAAGTCCGTTTAATTTTACGAACCGTTATTTCTTAATTTTTTAATTTCGTTTCGTAATTTAATTTTTAATAAAGTAAAGTTATTTAATTTTAATTTAATATAATAATTTTTTAATATTAAAATAAATGTAAATTATAAATATTATATTAAATATATATTTAAGTAATTAATTAATTAAATTATTAATTTTAAATAATAATTCGTAAATAATATATATATATTTTTTAAATATAAAACGTAAACTTTTAATTACTTAATATTTTAACATTTAAAGTTATAAAATTCGTGGTTTTTTTTTTCTTTTTTTAAAAAGGTTTTTACGTTTTTATTTAATAATAATTTATTTAATAAACGTTAAAGTTATATTAAATTTTAAATACCCGATAATATCGTGTTAATTTTTATACATGATTTTTTTATACATTAATATATTTTTTTAATTAATTATATTTTTAATAATATAATATATAATTATTTAATAATATTTAAATACTTTAATATTAATAATATTTAACATTAATCCCCATATAATAAATATTTAAAAATGTTATATAATATTATTATTATTAAAAAAATTTACGTTTTTATAAATTATTTTTTTTATTATTAATGATTATTTTTATTTTTTATTACGAAATAAAACTTAAAAATTAAAAAATAATAATATTATTACGTAAAAATTTTTTAAATATTTTCGTTATAAAAAATACGATATATATATAAATAAAGCTTTTTATTTATTTTATTTTTATTAATATATAAGTTATATTATTTATTATGTTTATTTTTAAACTTTAATTATTTTTAAAACCGAAACCCCGTTTATTTTTAATACGTTTTTACTTTTTTTATTTATAATATTTTTTTATTTATAATGTTTTTTTTATTTATAATATTTTTTTTATTTATAATATTTTTTTTATTTATAATGTTTTTTTTATTTATAATATTTTTTTTATTTATAATATTTTTTTTATTTAATTTTTTAATAAATATTAATAATAAAATATTATTATAATAAATCATTAATTAAATAATTATAAGTTAAAAATGAAAATAAAAAATATATATAATAAGTAATTTAAATATATAAAAATAAGTAAATGGCTTTTAAAGTTTAAATTAATTATATTAATTATATTAAAACGATATATTAAATGAATTAATTTTAATATATCGAACTTTTTCGTGGAATAAATTATAATATATATTAAAAGTTTTTATTAAATATTAATTAATAAATATATATTAAAATAAATATAAATTTATTTTTTTAATTTATTTAATAAAGTTATTTTTAAATATATTATTAAATATTTTAAAGCCGCGCGTTAATTTAATGTATATAATTTATAAATAAAATATTACTCGTTTTATTCGTTTCGTTTTAATAAATAAATATCGTAATTATTTTATAAAAATTTAATTTATTAAAGCTTAAATTCCGTTAAAACGTTATATTATATATAAATATAATAAAATTAATTAATTATATATTTAAATATTTTATTATTTAATAATTATTAATTATTTTTTAATTATATACGAATATAACTTTTCATTTATAAATTAAATAATATAATTATTACATTTAAATATAATTTTTTATTTAAAGATTTTAATAAAATTAATTACATTAAATTTAAAGTTTTTTTCGTAAAATTATAATAATAAAAATAAATTGTTTAATTTTTACGAATTATTTAATATGTTTTAATAATTATAAATTAAAAATACACTTTATAAATTAAAAACATTTTTAAATATTTTTTATAATAAAATTTTAAAAAAATATAACTTAATTTATTAAAAAACGTATAACGTAATTAATTAAAATAAATTAAATTTTTAAAAATTAATAAAAATTTAATAAAATTATATAATATAAAAATATTTAATTAAAAAAAACCGGGACCGTGACGTTATTATTATATTAATCCGAATTTAAAATTACGTTTTAACGGAATTTAAGTTTTAATAAAACGAACTTATTTTAATTACATGAAAATGTAAATATTAAAAAATAAAAATAAAAAAAAATAAAAAGTTATTATTTAAATAAATATATATTTAATAATTTAAAGTATTATTTTTATTAAATATTTAATATATAATAAAAAAACGTTTTCGCGATATAAGTTTATAAAATTAATAAAATTAATAAAATTAAATATAATAATAATTTTAATTTTTTATTATTACGATATAAATATAATATTTAATATAAAGTAATTTTTACGAAAAAATTAATTTTTTTAAAAACTTTATTTTAATGTAAATATTATTAAATATACGATTATATTTATTATTCGAAACTTTAAAATTTAATTTATTATAATATTTATATTTAAAAATATATAAAATAAATACATTTTTTTTAATTATATTTAATATTAATAAAAACGTTTTTATTAATTATTATATATATTAAAATAATAAGAAAATTATAATTATTATAATGATATATTTTAATTAATTTTAAATATTTATATAAAAACGTAAGTAATTAAATAATTATTATTTAATTTTAAAATTAAATTTAAAAGATTTAATCGGAAAAAGAATATTTATAATTTATGTAATAATATATTCGTATTTTTTTCGAAAATTAAAAAAATAAGAAAAAACATTATAATATATAAAAAAAAATAAGTATTAAAATTTTAATAACTTTTAAAGGTTAAAGAAAATTATTAACGTTTTCGTTAATTTTATTTTAATGTTTTATTTTTTTAAAGTTTTTTAAATCGGTAACGAAATATATATGTTCGTTTTTAAAATTATAACGAAAGGTTTTTATAAAATAACGGTAATATTTATAATAAGTTTAGTTTAAATAATAACGGAAATTAAAATTAAAATCGAAATAAACGAAAAAAAAAACTTCGGTTTTAAATTAATTAATAAAATAAAATAATAATTATTATATTTATTAATAAGTTTAACCGTATTTTAATATAATAATTTACGAAAATACCATTTATTATATATAAGTAAATATTTTTTTTATTTTATTAAATATTTAAGTTTTAATTATTTTTTTTACTTATTTATTTTATACGTTAATAATTTTTTAATTTCGAATAAAATTTATTTTTTATTATTTTTTTCGATTATAATTTTATTAAATTAAAGTTTTTTACGAT